TTTACGTTAAAAAGCTTTAAGTATTTATAACTTAAGTATCTATATTATTATTATAACGTTTTTGCCTAGCTTAATATCTAAATACTATAATAATAGCAGAATATTCTAATAAAGAGTATAATTAATCTAAAACTATAAATTCTAGACTCTTACTAAACAAAATTATACTTTTAATATATAGTAAGAAATATAGGTAATACGTAATCTTAGAACTATATAGAAAGTATACTTAACCTAAATTAAGTAACTTTAAACTTCTAGCAGCTTATATTACTATATATATAGAACTTCTTATTCTAGAGTATAACTATCTTAAATTTATTACAGCTTAAAGAGAAAAGAATTAGAAGTAGTAAGTTTATTTAGTATATAACTTATAATAGCGTATAGAGAATACTTATAAATTTAATAACCTTATAGTAAAGTAGTTTATAATAATGTAAAATACTATATTATAGTACTAGCTGTTTACGTCTAAGTATTTTAATAGCAGGTAGCTAATTAAATAGGTATTATAGATAATATAGATAAACTATAAGAAAGCTGCTACTTAAGTAGAAAGAAGTAGGTTTACTAGAACTTATATAAGATTTATTATACTAATATAGAAGACTAGTAGAAGAGAAAGAAGACTAAATTATATATAGGTTACCTAACCTATATAAAGAAGTCCTAGGTCCTCTAATTAATTATTAACTAAGGGCGTCTAGGGCTAGTAAATTGTTATATTATATTAGTCTATATAAGAGGTTACTCTATATCTAATATTTTACTAAAGTTTACTAGGAGAGGTATAAAGAATATATTAAGGCAGAGATATAAGATAGAATAGCTATAGTTAAAAAGTAGAGTAACCTACTAAACTTAAGTTAACTAATAGCGCTACTTATATATAAGTAAACTAAGAAAGTATACTTTCTAATATTAAGCTCTACTTCTAGATATATAGAGCTATCTCTAACCTCTTTAGTATATAAGAATAAGCCTAGAGCTAAACCTTATAATAGGTTTAAGGACTTAGTGCTTCTATATAGTATAACCTTATACTCTAATAAAGGTATATATTCTAGTAGTTATAGCTTATATAATCTAAATAGGTAGCTAATATAGAAATACTTATCTTAATTAAAGAGGCAGTAGTTAAATACTATTACTAGTTATCTCCTAGTAGAGCAGAGAGTTTCTTATAGAACTACTATATCTACTACCTAGTCTAGTATAGATAAGCTAAATAATATTAAATCTTTACTTATATACCTTTCTAGTACAGAATTATAAGAGTTATAAGATTATTAATATTTAGCCTAGAATAGCTAGCCTAGCAGAGACGCTAGATTACTATAGGCACTTAAAGATAACTACCCTATAAATAAAGTAGATACCTAACTAGGTTCTTAACTACTATATAGAGTACTTAACTACGTATTAGTAAACGCTAGTAAGTATATTAGTAATATATATAAAGCTTAGTAGATCTCTAATATAAAAGACGTCTTTCTATAAGATATATAGCTAAAGGTTAGAACCTTATAGAATATATTAGTATTAGAGATATTCTACTTCTTAGTAATAGATTTCCTAATAACTATATAATATATAGTAATCTTAGAGAAATTTAAATTATTAGTCTAGGAAAGGTAATTATAACTAAATATAAAGTTATAATAGACCTTACGTAATATATATAATATATACAGCTAAGCTAATAGTTAGTTTAATATATATAAAGACTCTAGTAGTAATAATATAAAAGAAATTCCTAAGCTATCTAATATTAAATCTAGTAGTAGAAAACGTATAATATTATTAAAAGCTATATTATCTTAAAATAATTACCTTATACCTACTAACCTAGGTAATATAAGAAAGAATACTATAAGTAATAAGAATAACTAAGATAATAGTAACGCGTTTAAGACTAGTATAAATAATTTAGATATATATAATAAATAAACTAGGTCTTTATAGGCTTAATATAGTGTCTTAGAGGATAGAGCTTTAGCTTAATAGCTAATAGATAGAATATATATCTAAGATTTTCTCTATATTTACTTAGAGTATACGTAAGTAACTAGTTAATATTATTATAGATCTTTTAGTTTAGCTAAAGGCTTTCTTAATTAAGTACTTTAACTTAAAGTATAGAAAAGCACTTTAGAGGACTTTATTAATTACTTCTATACTAGTATATAGATTTCCTTATATAGGTAAAGGCTTATTTAATTAAGAATTTTAATAAAAAGTATAGAAAAGTGCTTTAGAGATCCTTACCTATTACTCTAGTAGTAACTATACTAGTAGTCTAGTCTAATATTATAAAAGACTATATACTCTAGGCTATTAAAAAAGCTAGCTTTAACTTATTAGAATTTCTTTAACTTAAGAATATTATTATTATAATAGAACTAAAGTTTACTATATTATATACTTTAAGACTTTACGTAGTATAGTATAAGATACCTAGTTTATAATTAATAACAGATTTATTATTTATAATATAGGTAGTAAAATAGTAGATCTTATTTTATATAAAGTTATAAGACTTTAGCTTACTACTATTAAGAAGGCTATAGTAGAAAGTAGTAATAAGTATAGTAGTAGTTTTATTAATTATATATTTTTTACAGCTACTAAAACGTTAGCTAGGTACTATAGACTTTATAAGATTTACTAGCGTATATACTAAAGATATTTCCTATATATTACTATTTAAGAAGGTAGCTAGAATACTATAGAACTTTACTTTAAAGGTTAAGAGTAGCTTTTTAGAGAAAGGTATACTATATAGCCTTATATAATACTATATATAAATCTATACTATGCTTAGTAGAATACAGCACTAGCTCTATAACTATAGCTACTATAGTAGTAATTATAGTAACTGTTATAGGTAAACTAGGTAGTATAGACTTAATAGTTTTAGGTTATTAGAGTAATAAGCTAGTAACTATAGTAGTAGGTATATATATAGCTATAAGTATAAGTAGTACTACTACTACGTCTACTATAGCTATAGTAATAGCCTTAAGTCTAGTATACTTATTTATATCTATACTAATATAACACAGTACTAGTAGCTAACGTATATTAATACTACTTAAAACTAAGATATTATAAATATATCTAATTACTTAGAATAATATACTTTACTTATATAGAGTATTATTTATAAAGTTTTATAATAAAGAAGCCTATAATAGTAATAAGTTAAGTAGCGTAGAAGTTTAATTTTTTACTATATACTTTTCTATTAATAGTAAGTAATCTATATTATCTATAATAGAGCTATAGGTATAATTATTTCTATTTAGATCTAGTATCTTTTAAGTAGTTTAACTGCTTTATAGCTTACTCTTTCCTAAACTTCCTATTAGGCTTAAACTTAGTAACTAGTATTATAAGGTTAATATAGTAGTTTACTAGATACTTTATATAAAATAATTATATATAACTATACTAACTCCTACTATAGTTAGTGTATAGAGTCCCTGCCTCTCCTAGGAATTACGTAGAATATTACTATTATTAGTACTTAGTATCTAAGATTATAGTATAAGGCTAATAAAGTAGATCTTATTTAATATAAAGTATTAATTATTAAATTATTTCTAGGCGTATTATTTACTATTATAAACCTTTAGGTATCTATAAATAGTTAAGTTTATTAGTATCTCTTATATTAAAGTAGAAGCTATAATAATAGGTATAACTTATATAATAGCCTAAGTAAACGCTGCTTACTAACTACTATTATATAGAGTTTTTCTTCTTATAATCTTAATAAATACTATTTAAATAGGCAGGTTTAAGTAGCTAATATCTCTAGAATTATAGGTATTCTTACTATAACTAAATATTACTATAGCTTAGCCTATATATATATAACCTTACTTTTATATACCTTTACCTACTTTAACTTATCTATAGTTATTTATTAACTTTAACCTTTTAATCTCTTTAACTTAGAAATAGTTATTCTTAATTATATCCTTTATTATCTATAGTCTCTATATTCTGTCTAAATAGTAATTAATTAGTTACTACCTACCTCTATGTCTATGCTAGTCCTAATTACCTCTCTACTTATAGTAATAGGTATAAAGACCTCTACTACTACTTTTTATATAATAGTATCTACTATATATTTTACTTACTTTACCTTATAAGCTAACCTTAATCTAACCTCTTACTTTTAGTATTAATAACGCTAATTATAGTTTATAGAATAACTATATTAATAGCTACTAATAAGTCCTCCCTAACTATATATTTATATATAATAATAATAGAGTAGGTCTTTTTATAGCTTTAAATAAAGTAAGCTTAGATATAGTTATACTACTAATACCTAGTACTTTTAGAACTATAGCCTACTTCTAATAGTAACTTTAGGCTGTTCTAGTTAGAACTTACTTTTTCCTATCTAATATATACTACTATAATATCTCTACTTTAGGTATTCTATATAGTCTAAACAGTATCTTAGCTATAAATAATTAATATTATATTATTATAGATCTTTAGACTAGCGCTAAGCGTAGCTATATAGTCTTTATAATATTTCTTCTATATTATACTAGTATAGTAGGTTACTTAAGTAATAATACTGCTACTTAGTACTTACTTAACTATAGTAGAAACTTAATTATTATACTTTTTACTACTAAGTATAACTCTAATAGTATTATTTTCTAACCTAGCGTGTTTAGGTTAAGTAAGAGCTTCTTTATTATTAACTAGTATAAAGTTATATTTTAAGCTACCTATAAATAGTTTACTTATAGTAATATAGCCTTAATATAGTATTTAATCTATTAGGCACTGTACTAGAATATATAATTTAGTTAAGGCTTAGAAGAAGGAGGTAGTAATTATATAATAATTATAAATAAAAGTCTATTTTTGCTTATTCTACTTTCTTCCTCTTATAAAGATTTCTTATATAGTAGTAATTTAAAAGTAATAAAGTATATAAATCTTTTAATATTAGTATAAATTACCTAGAATATTAGGTAAATTTAGCTAGATACAGTGTAAAAGTGTAAATTTACCCTTATACGCGGTGTAATTTTACCTAACCTAGTGTATTTTACACCGACGCGGTACCTCAGTGTTTGTATGGGTCCTGAGGTATAGAGTTAGTATATGCAGTAATCAAGCTGCAAGAAACGTACCTTAGGCAGAGACTACACTGCATGTGTTGGTAGCTATAGACATTCCACTTCCGAGTGTGGTAGCATACCCCAACCTCACGACGGTCAACCCTGTCCCAGCTGGTTGGACCCCTCCAGAATGGATCAATCACCCGCGTTGGAAGCGAAGTGCGCACGTTACTGAAGATTCGAAGCAGGGCATCCTTCATCTGCATTATCGTGGGGGTTACAGTATCAAGTCGCTGGAACTCCTTCAAGACAGCTACACGGAACTCTTCACTAGATAGGACGTGGATCAAGTCATGATCGATGAAGACGTTCGACTCGCTGCGGAGTATTCTCCGCCAAATACAAGGCAGATGAAATAGAAGCCTACCCCCAGATCGTAGGGTGAAGCCCGGCTCTTGGTCCACAGGAGGTGAGGGTACATGTGAAGTCGACACAGCGGTACTCGTAGATGTAGCAGTTTGTGTCTTCCGGATGTGTGGCGGGGTATACGCGCGCAGAGGTATACCGGCTGCCTCGTGTGGATGCGAGGTAATGGTATCCATCGACTGTGTCTTCCGAGTATGTGGGGGAATATACGTTCGCAGAGGTATACCGGTTACAGTCTTAGTGACACTAGAAGTAGAAGGTGCCGCTGTAGGCGTAGGGGACTGGATTTGGTTATCCATAGACACCGGAGTCTTTGGGAGCCTTGCTATGGAGACGGTAGCAAAGCGTGGTTGCGTTCCTGCTTTGACGTTGTCGAACAAGTCCTGTAGGTCGTTCACGCCATTGAGTACAAAGACGGCAGGTGCTTCATCCCACCAACGGCCGGGTTCTGTAACACTGCTGTTAGAGAAGTAAACGATTTGCCTGCCACGAGGTAACACTTACCCTTGCTGCATACTATTCGGTTCAACTTTGCCACCAGAGCGTGAATAGTTCCATCATCGCCGCTCTCGAGGACGACCATCGTGGTGCGATCAGATGGTCGACGATCGGTTTCAGGGACAGCCAGCATGTACACAAGACGGTAGAACGTGAGAGCTGCTGGCGATAGAGTTACATCTACAGACTCAATATGCTCGAGAGGCATTCGCGGCGGTAGAAAACCTGAAAGTAAGTGTGGTCAGTTTCACTCTGGTCAAGTCAGGACAAAATCGAGAAGCAAGCTTACAGGTCGCCAGCATAGTTGTAGCGCAGTCCACGGAAAAGACACCGGTCACGCCCTCGACGTTACTGTATACGTCGTCGCTCTCTTCGCCGCCCCACAGAATATGGTGGCGGTGCGTGAACATAAGTAGGTTCCATGAGCCTACATACAGGCCGACGGTCTTGTCTGAATGACCTGCATCGCAAATACCCAACATAAGCTCGAAGAGGTGGCCTTCTTCGAGCACGCCTGTAGACATGTTGGTGTTGTTGTGTGTGTGCTGAGTTGGGTGGGTTGAGGGAGAGAAAGAATGACGGGAGCTCAACATAAGACACTGAGACTAGCGACTTGAACTGTCACCTGACACAACTAGACAGCCGCGCAAATCTTAGCGTATTGGAGGTGAAGGTCAAGGACGGTAGAATTGAGCTGGCTGAGCCGCAGCCCAAAGTTTAGGACACATAATCAAACCTGGCCAATTGGACGTGCGGTGCGGCATCGTGGGAATATTCTGACAGCCTCTTTGAGGGCTTTGAGGGCTGCGGAGGAGCGCATGCTGCTGGCATCCGTTGTGTTGTAGCCTCCACAGTCCATGTTGACAGAGCGTCACTGGTGTGGTCTAGGGTGTGTATGACAACGCGGTTTCCTCATCGCCGTAGCTGACTGTCATGGTTCGGCGAGCAAGACAGTAGTAAGCAGCTCTGCCTTCGTTATTTAAGCCCTCCGTCTCTCCCTTTCAACTCTCTCCTCCAGCCACTCTCTACAGTCCCTCACTTATTACCCCAACACCGCACCCTACTTGCTCCCTTTCTCTCCTCACAATGATTTTGAGGCGCCCGAAATACCTCAAACGATAGACAAGACTGACCGCCTTCGGGATCACGTCTACGCCAGGTCCTCGACATGTTCTCGTGCAGCCAACGGTGAGAGATCCCACACCCCTCTTCCATTCGCGCTCGATAGCTAACCGTTCTACAGGCTGGTGAAGCTCTGTCACGTCCAGGCTTGGACACCGTCCTGGAAGCTGTCCTACGCAAGTCTGCCGCCGACGCCGATCAGAAGGCTGCCCTCCGCGCATCTGTCGAGACAGCCCAGACCGTGAGTATCACCATCTTCATGCTCTCCAGCCCGTTGATCTCAGAATCTTGTGCAGTCGCTGACCTTCCTCTCACGGGAACATGCCATGGACAAGGAGCTGGCCGAATTCCTAACTTCGACGGGGAAACAGAGGTTTCGATATCCGCCAGTTCCAACTCGAGAGCGAGACCCAAAGACATGGGCAGCCGCCGACCCAGCAATTGACGAGAACTGGGACGACGCTGTCCGTAACGATCCGATCCTGTCCTCCGTCCCCAGTGGCTTCTTGACGGACAAGTCGCTGCTCGTCAAGCCAGTCGGTTGTTTCGACTCACCATTGCTTGTTGTGAGTTCTTATCCGACCGAGGACGAGACGAGCACCGTTCATTGACACTACTCCACAGGGGATGACATGTCGAACAGGTGTATCAACGACCTCTACTCCAAGTTTGGAGATTCTATGGGAATCACTGACAAGAGTCAATTCCTCCACATAGATGTCTACCCTCGCCGTCTGGATCGCAAGAAGATCTGCCTGCCAGGCAAAGATTGGGATGTCCTTGGCTACGTTCCCAAAGAGAACCGCTCTTATTGGGAGGCTTGGGCGGCAGACATGATCACGAAATCGAAAGCCCGCATTGTTCTCATCGCCGGTCGATCCACGCTTGAGATGTATCGCAGGTACATACTGTCCAACCACATCGACGTTGAGGAAGTGTTCTGTGCCGGGACCAGCCTCGACAAGCCCGTCGCGTTTCGAGAATTCAAAAACAAGGACGGTTATCGCCTTGTTTTGTGTTCGTTACATCTGGAAGGCTTTTGGCGGCGCAAGGCGTCGCCTTGCCATCTACGGGCGACTGTACGACCTGTGCAAAATCCTCTTGTATGGTTCACCAAAGATCCCAAGTCGATTGTCATCAGTCAACTACTTCTTTGAATTGAAAACAGCCACGCTTATACCAAGCATGGCATTCCGACCGGAGAACCGCGAGGTACTGAAAGATTCACTCCGTCGACCATACAGGAAGGGGGGGAGGTTTGGAGGCGTGGCTCGGGTATCATCCCGAGCTTCCCAAAGACGAAATCATGGCTCTGCGAGGATCGGTGAGGGTCACTCACAGAAAGGCACCAGAGTTTTGGAAGCGCGCAGAGATTGTTGCCCAGTATGGGCCTTGGGCCTTGACGTACCAGCTACTTGCCGAGTCGGCCGCGGCGAGACATAGACAAAAGCAGGCTACGTATTGGAATCACCCAACGGAAGGCAAAGCGAGAAGGGATCGTAGGAATCAGTTGGCTCGGGACAATCGGGACAAGGCGAAGAAGATCGGCGACGACCCAGTCAAGTATGAAGCTCAATTGAAGACCAGACGGGGTATTATTAGAGCCAACCGCATTGCGAAGAAGCTCCAGGTTGACTCGGCTCTCCATGGCTCCATGGGCACTTTCCTCGTACCTCTCTCGACCAGCTCAGCACCGACCGACTCCACCTCCACGGCCACACGCTCAGGAATGACAACCAGGCCGATGAGCGACAAGACGGGGTGAGGCTCTCGCTTTCTTCACGGCCGTAGTGTTTCATGGGTACCGTTATGCTCACAATGCCCTCATCATATCCAATATCTTGTTGTAGTTCTCTTTTCTCTGTATGTTCCGATTATCTTGTTTCTCTATCATTCGATACTATTCTGTAGTCCTCAATCAAACAGTTGAACATCACATGTCTTCTTTAGCTCACCGTGACTTCTACATGTTGCCATTGCTGTTAGAACTCTGTTGCCGGGTATCCGCACACTATACCAGAGATGTTATCTCTACACATAGCTATCTAGACTTACTGTGTAAAATTCTTACCCTGCGGCCTTGATCGACAATCTGGGCCTGTCTTCGACAGCCAGACGACTACATACACATGTTGAATAAATCTTGTTTCTTTGAGAATAACATAGTTTAGCTCCGGGTGTTTCGAGCAGTCGGAAGACTGGAGGTATGTTGGTATGTGTTCTGGACGTTTGGAACGCGTGTGATAGTGGTAGGGCTCTGGTGAGAGGTTGCGACTCTGCTACGTAATAATTGCTCGCAGGTGGTGTATCTATCAAGCCTGATCAAGAAGAGACGAAATGTGTTTAAGAGAAAGTGCGTGGAAAACTCTTGGTAGGGTTGCAGAGATGATGTGTAGCTTCTCAAAGTCCCACACGACTTCCTGACAATCATCGACATGCAACGTATCACTGCAACTCTGTTCACATCTGATTGTAAAGCAAGTTTCGATTGTCTAAGTAGAAAGTACATGAATCGCAAAATTCGCTGTCCACAGAAATCACCGTCCAGATTAGAGCACCGCTCGAAACCTCCACGCGCCAATGACTACCGAGCTACAGGTAGAAATAAGATGGTATCAAAGTAAAAACTTGGGATGCCGCAGTCATGATCATGATGAAGAAAGAAAAGGGTATTACAAAGAAAAGAAAAGATCGGGTCTCAGAATCGCAAAACGTTGCAGCTCATGATAGGGAAGAAAGTCTTACTCACCAGGGCTACATATGTCCAGTGCGTCATGAGGCGTACTGATACAACCGTAGAGGAGGTTGTGTGACGACAGCGTGTAGCGTAGAGAAGACAGGGTCGTGTGAAGAGACGGTGGCGTGGGAAAGAAACAGATACATGAGTCGGTCGTGGAACCGTGGGTCGTGTCGAGAAGATCGTTCAGAGACAAAGTCTTGGGCAGTGCTGGCGGTTGGAAAAGGAGACACGTCAGATGACGAGTGGCCTAAGCCTGCTGGGTGGTTTTCTTGACCGCGCCCTTGGAGGAAGTGCGACTAGGCGTGCTCTTGAACGGAGACTTGACCGGAGAAGATTTCGCGGAGCGAGATTTAGCTGTTGATTTCTTGGGCGAGGACGTCTTTCCAGGAAGGACGGGAAGGAATTCGATCGAGGGAACCTGTTCAGTATCCTTCTCTTGTAGCATTTGCAGAATGACGTTGACAACCTCTTTGACCTCGTCGATGTTCTTGTTCTTGCCAAGATACTGGTCGAGCTCTCGCAGAACCATGATAGGCGCCTCGAAGTTTTTGCCGGATGTGGGAGCAACGGCGGCCATGGCGTCCTGCTCTGTCACTCCTGAAGAGACTTTTCGAGAATAGTCGTTCAGCCGAGCCTCTTCGGCCTTCTTTAAACCGATGTCGTATGTGGTGCCCGGGAAGTCTTTCTCGATGATGTCGAATTGTCGCAGGATCAGGTTTATCTTGCGAATTTGCCAGAGCGCCTTGTTGTAAGTCGCCCGCTGGTAACTTAGGTGCAGTCACGGTCAGTCAATATGTCTCTTATGATACTGTTTGTGATAGCAAATGACTCACTGTTTTCGACAGAAGAGAGGCCATTCGCCGAGAAACCTTGTGCAAGCTTTGTTACGCCCGAAATAATCACTGATCACTTTCCTAGCGAGATCTGACGTGTATTGGCCGGTCTTGCAGGTAGTGAACTCATCAGCCTTGCAGATGAACTCGCGCTCTATCTGATCGTCCTCATCGATGTCCATGCCCTCAGCAGTCTCTTCATTGCTCTCAGCCTCAGCCTCAGCCTCAACATCGGCGATGCTCGACAAGACGGACTCTGGGCTGCTGACCTCCTCCTCTTTGGCGGATGAAGCGTCATGCTTGGGAGTGGATGGAGGAGCAAGAACAGGTGCCTCAGCAACAGCGTCAGAAGCAGCCGCGGCGTGCGGAGTGAGAAGATTCGAGAAGCTCATTGCATCGCGAATGGCTTCGGTTTGGCCGGGTTGCGGAGTGCCTGGTGAGTGGATCGGCGTAGTTGTCATATTGGAAGTATCCGTGAGGGGCATCAAGGAGATGTAAACACGATCAGGCGGCGTTGAACAGTCTATGAGTGAATCTGGACTTGATCCTGGTCGAGCTCTGTGGGCCTTGTGTGATGGTGGAGATCTCGAGGCAGGTGGGCGGACGAACTTTAAATCAGAGAGAGGTGTTCAGGTCTCGGCAGGCTCCGAGGTGAAGGCGTCTTGTGTTAAAGTGACAGCCCAGCGTTTGGCATTGCCTGACCAACTCATCGTCACAGACACATGAAAAGGAAACCCACCCGCGTATACTCTGATTCACTTCAATGAGACACAATGGCGCACACGGCTGCCCGATACCGCTCCAGCCCGGCTCGAACCCCCCGTTGCCAGGGATCTGGAGGCCAATCGACGCGCGCACGAGGTTCACAAGAACGCGTTGTGGTCTCGAGATTCGCCGCCAAGCCAGCCGTTCGCGCAAGCTTTGGCCCAGTATACGACCCTGCAGACACGAAAGGACTGTTATCGGCGTGAACGAATGAGCAATAACCAGGCAGAAGTATGCGGGGAAAACAGGTGACACGATCAGAACTGGTGGGGTAATTCATTTGTTTTTGTCACTGAGCGACAAACACAGGCGGAAGTCATTGAAGGACTGCGAGAAGAGCTTCACGCAGTGGAGACAGTAGCTGGAAACAGGCGAACACTGTGCTAGCTGTACATGTGAAAGTGTGAGGATAGTTCCGGCCAACAGATGAGTACATGAACACTCGGGCTAAGTAACGGGAGTAGACGTGAAGCGAACAATAGTAACTATAGTAGATGTGATACGTGGATAGAGTTTGTGACTGAAGTAAAGTAAAATGTACATATCCAGCAAGAGCCCATATGGTGGCGTATGTGAAGTTATCCTGAGTGGTTTGTACTGAGTGGTGAGTCTTCGTGAAAGTGCTGGACCAGCATGGACATGGTCTGACCAACAGAATAGGTCATGATTCGTACTGTTGAAGCATGTTTACAGACCAAGCTGGTGTGTTAATCTTTTGACTGCAACGAACTCACTATGATGTTTCCACAATCACCTCTGTTCATCGATAACCTCCCGCACAAGCATGAGATGCATGGAATTAACAAGTGTGGCAATATGGCTATGCATCCTACAACGTAGAAAGAATTCACTGGCTGGACAAGATTCTGCTGTATGCTTCAATTAGATTCCAGCATGTACTTGGTTTGGAGAGATGGTGGTCCAATTTTTTGACGTCACCGGGTACGGACAAACTGGATGCCCGATGCCGCTCCCACGTGATTATGGTTAAGCACCATGAGTGATGCGATCGCTCGCTCCCACACGCCCGATACACGCGCACACATACCCCGGCCGACACACGCAAGCAGCCTCCACTCGTGATGCTCTCACACGCATTTCTATCACGCTGATTCCTTCTTGTCGCTTCAATCTGCGCTGAGCGCCCCCAGATCTGCGCCCTGCCCCCGGTGCCGCGCTCGAATAGCCACCATCATGCCCCCAACAACGGGCACGCGAACGTCGACACGACAAGGTCGAGCCACGGTGCGACCCACGAATTACTATGCGCGCGGCTTTGCTGGAAGACTTGCTGCGAGCGGGTTGGAGCAGACGCCCGAGTCGCACAGCGCGCCGGGCTTCCTGCCCGCCCTCACACACTTCTCTGGAGCAGCGGACGCATTTCCGAAAGAAATTATCAAGCACTTCTCCATGTTCAAGGAAGTGGAGGCCAAGCTTCATGACCCAGAGCAGATGCTGAAGGCGCTGCTTGACGAGATCGCCCGACAGCCCATCACAACGAAGGCGCAGCGCGTCGCGGAGCAAAACACTCCAGGACAAGATGTCAGCGCAAATGTAAGTGCCATACGAGCCAGCACTGCATGGGCTGGCAGCTGACATATCGACAGCATCTCCCCCACAACTTCGACAGCCTGGCTCCCGAAGAGCAGGCTACCTACCAGAAGCGTCAGCTTTTCTACCGCCTCCGCATGCTCATCGTGAACATGCTCCCCACACTCGACGAGAAGCTTGTGGTATTGCATGGCGCAAAAGCTACCAAAGCAAAGGGTCTCGCGAGGATGCAGAACTCGTTCTCCCAGCTCGACAGCGAGTTCAGCGAAGAGGCACGGTACGGCAGCCTCAACCACTGGGCTTACGCGGATAAGGAAGAGAAAAAGAAGGGTGGGCCGTCACATGAGCGGCAGCGGCGCGAGGTTGCAGCGGCAAATAATCTGGCTGCAGCTGCCCAGCACGTCCACGATGTAGACTCTATAGCTGCCAAGAGCGAGGCTCGACGCGAGGCAATGTTGGCGAACAAGCGCAATCGACATCAACAACAAGTCGATTCTGACTTCGACGATCGGCCAGCCAAGAAGCCGCAAAAGAGGAAGGCTGCGGCGGCCGACGTGCCAGCGCCAGACAATCGCACCATAGGCCTGGGTATATCGAGCAACGGCGCAGGGCCGCAGGGGAAGAGAAAGAAGACGGAGAAAGCGCTTGCTGCAGCAACGCCAGCAGCCCCGCCTATGGAACGAACTTTGAGCGCGGCGCTCAAGGCTGCGGCCAATGGTGGGCGCGCTGGGTCAAGCCCAAGAGTGACTCCAGGCTTGGAGAATGGTGCAGCGACGAAACGCAAACCACGAGCGCCTCCTGTGCCGACGCAACGCAAGAATATTCTTCCACCTTATTCACCACCCCCTGCCCCATCGCCTCTCGCCGCAAACTTCGCCATCAACAAAGCGACTGCTGGTATCTCGGAACGTCCATTGTCGTCACGCGCTAGAAAGAACTCGATAGCAAACTCAATCGCGTCCGTCAATGCTCCAGAACAACCCGTTAGCCGCCGCCCTTCGTCTTCCCATTCAGTTCAGCAAGTCGTTGGTAGCAACGTAATCTCTGAACTCGAACAAGCGGCAGGCATCGTGCGTGATAATGTCTCCAACAGGGGCGGATCGACCCCGGAAATTATGGACGCTCCGCAGCCGCTCGAAGTATCTTCTCTCAAGATCGAAGAAGAACACCCCCAGGAACCGGAGAGCATGGACATTGACTATCCAACATCAGTGCCATTGACAGCGGCTAGGGCAGGCCGAGCGTCCAAGACTGCGACGCCTGTAGTTGGAGCATTCCCAGATGTTCCTATGGCTCGAAGTCGCAGCACCAGAAACGCGAACAACGGCAACGGCAACAACAGCAACTCCAACGCCTCGTCGGAGAACAACAGCACCACGACAAGTGCTGTGTCGAAGCGAGGCCAAAAGAAGAACACACAGCAAACTACAAGCAATATTCTTGCTTCCCCAGCGTTGAAGTCCGCGCCTGACACACAATCAAACCATCCATCCTCGACAGCAAGCTCTCCAGCTCCTGAACAAGAATACCAAGACGCAGAGACAGACGACGAAGCCGACGAACCACGCTACTGTTACTGCAACCAAGTTTCATACGGCAACATGGTCGCATGCGATAACGATGCCTGCCCTCGCGAATGGTTCCATCTCCCCTGCGTCAAGCTGGAGAGAGCGCCTGCTGGCAGAACGAAGTGGTTCTGCAGTGACGAGTGCAGAGAGATGCACGACAAGGCGAAGCCAAAGTCCAAGGGCGGACGGCCGGGAAGCTCTAACAAACAATAGGAATTAGGAAGGAGTTCAAGGCGTTCAGGAACCGGTCCAGCGGCGTCTGGGTCGAGGCCAGGCCCGAAAGGTAAGGGCAAGGCTCATCTCGGTCTCTGGGATGGATGGAATGCTCTCTGAAGCTTCTTCCTATGTCATTTTTGGGGTTTTGGATTTATGAATCGTAGGGGTTTCGCGGCGTATTTTGGATCGAGGATACATCGCGACTCTGTTAATGAGCATGACGCTTAGCGACTTTGAGCGCTTTTGGGGATGCAGGAGGTTGTTTGGTCTGGCGTTTGTCCAGCTTTCGCATCGACTCGTGGTGTGGTATGTCGTCGGTTTCTGTTGGTTTTTACCGTCGCCCGCACCTATTGCGATTCGGCAGGTGTACGTTGCGTTCTGCTTATCTTTTTCTTCTCTCTACCTTGCATATTGCATGGCGGTAGCAATCTATTTCGGTCAGCCGATCTTCAAGGAATCGCTATTCCGTTAGGCGTTCGTCTTGTATAGGAGCTATTCACTACTTTTACAACTCAACAAGACATATATCGTGGTGCCCTCGAAGCTCGCAATACCTATCATGCTCTCTGCAGCACTTCGTAATGGCTGTCTATAATTGGTCCCAGCTGGATCGAGCTTGCTGGACCCTGAATCCGCCACGCGACGTGAGGTGATACAACCCAGCTTTGGCACTCACCGCTCAACCGCATGAGACAAACGCGCCGTGGTTTACTTTTTTAACACTCCTTCTTCTTCTCAAGTTCAATTCGTCGTAAGCTTCGCTATGGCCCCAATAGAAACTACCCCCACTGCGGAAGAACAGCTCATATGCGAGCCTCAGGGTGGGGCGCCAGACGCCCCGCCAGACCTCCGGTTCTTGCATTACAACGATGTCTACCACGTCGAAGCTGGCTCTAGAGAGCCTGTTGGCGGATATGCGAGATTTCAGACTCTGGTCAACTATTACCGGGACGATGAGAAGTTTCATGATCAGCCAAACGTTGTCACCTTCTTTTCTGGGGACGCATTCAATCCCAGCATCGAGAGTGCTATCACAAAAGGTATGTTTTTGAAGGAGTCATGTATAGATTGAGCTAATTGTGAATCCCAGGCAGTCACATGGTTCCCGTGCTCAACAACATCGGTACCGACGTTTCATGCATAGGAGTAGGTCCTCAGGCATTTTATAAGGTTAACAATTGCTGACGACCACTTCAGAACCATGACTTAGACTTTGGTGTGAACCAATACCAGCATCTCACCGCTAAATGCAACTTCCCCTGGCTCCTCGCGAACGTTCTCGACCCTGCCCTCGGCGAGGGCGTCCCACTGGGCAATGCAAAGAAGACAGTCATGCTCACTTCGTCCAATGGCATCAAGATCGGCGTCATTGGTCTAGGAGAACGGGAGTGGTTGGATACAATCAACGCACTGCCTCCCGATATCATATATAAGAGCGCATCGGAGACGGCAAAGGAGCTTATACCCGGATTGAAGGAGCAAGGCGCTGAGATAATCGTATGCGTTTCACATCAACGCGAGCCAAACGATAACAAGCTAGCAGAGCATACTGGTGGCGACCTCATCGATATTATACTTGGTGGGCACGATCACTACTACTCATTCAGCCTCATAAATGGAACACACGTGCTTCGATCAGGGACAGATTTCAAGCAGCTATCACATATCGAAGCATGGCGGAAGCCAGAAGGTAAGGGTTGGGACTTTAAGATCATCCGGCGCGACGTTGTGAGCAGTATACCCCAGGATAAGGCGGCTATGGCCTTGGTAGACGAGCAAACACAGAAAATTAGGAAGCGACTGGACAAACCCATCGGATACACTGCTGCGCCGCTTGACGCCCGCTTCACTACTGTACGAACCAGGGAGAGTAATATTGGGAACTTCGTTTGCGATTTGATGCGCTACTACTACTCAGCCGATTGTTGCATCATGGCTTCTGGTACAATACGTGGAGACCAAGTGTATCCTCCTGGTGTCCTGAAGCTACGCGATATTGTCAACTGTTTCCCCTTTGAAGATCCTGTTGTCGTACTGAAGGTCACGGGCAAGGCGATTCAGGAAGCATTGGAGAATGGCGTGAGCAACTACCCAGCACTTGAAGGTAGATTTCCACAGGTCTCCAATATCTCGTTCGAGGTGGATTACTCGAAAAAACCAATGGAAAGGATTTCAAATGTGTTCATTGATGGGAAACCAGTCGATGAGACGCACGAATATGTGCTTGCAACTCGTGGGTATATGGGTCGCGGCAAAGGTATGTTATCACGCCATCACTCCAGCGCGGCTCCAATCCACAGTCGATTTAGCTTAACACCCTTGAACGAAACTAACATGTAAATACAGACGGCTACACATCCCTTCTCATCGAAGAGGAAGGCGGCGTTGCGAAGGAAATTGTCTCAGAGGAAAATGGGGTTTTGATATCTGCAATCCTCCGCCAATACTTCATGTCCCTCAAGGTCCTCGGAAAGTGGAAGCGATGGGGTAACTCCATGAACACAAAGTTCGCGTCCATCCAAACCAACCTACAAACAAATCACCAGCACACATTTCACGAAGCGTCACCTACATCCCCAACTGCTCCTAAATTTCCTAACATCGACAAACTCTCGGTGTCGGATTCGGGACCTAACACTAGGGACAGTGGGCATGATGACCCAGATGAGGATGAAGATGAAGATGATGGGCCGATGTACGACGATCGTGTTCCGATCGTTTTTAGCGAGAGGGAGACAGAGGTGCTAAGGAGGGTAATGGCTAAATGGTGGAGACTGGCGGGACTCAAGGGTAGTCCGAAGCTTTGCGATGAGCTGAACCAGGGCGATTTCCAGGTCAATTGGACGAAGGCTATTGCGCCAAGATTGGAGGGGAGAATCAAGGAGATCGGTGGTGCTATGGAGAAGAAGTAGGCGTACGTGGGAGGTGTGGCCGTGATGGCTGGGCTTTTTGATATAGTCAAAACCGTTGTATTCGGCAAAGCATACTGAGCAAGTAAAAGAATGACGGTTTTATCCATAAGCTGCGTCCTAATAAAATTTGTAAAAGTGCCTGCTAGGCGTATACATCTAGAAATTCAGGCCTAGGACTTCTACGCTAATCTTACTTGTAGTTGTCGAGCTAGCGCAAGAGTTCGCTGCTGTTATCTCGATTAACCGAGAGGCCCCATCTGGAAGTTGCTGCCTGTCAGCATTCCTCTGTGTTTCTTACTTCCTACACTCAGCACTCTCTGAGTTGCTACTCGGAACTTCAACACACAGATGCTAGACCAGGATTCTTTGTGCGAAACATGTTCTTCGCTCTCTTATGAGCAGATGCGGACGACGGAAGGCCAGGCTTACCATACCTCCTGGGCGGCTCTGGAGGAGTCTGCGTCACTTGGGTGCCGTTTGTGCAAGTATTTTTGGGCCGGGAGCACCGTCTCTGTGTTCGATAAGACCCAGTCTGCTCGACTTCACATTGAAAAGCACCCTGACGATGACTTCGGGGTATGGCTTTGCCTTCGGGTCGACAACAGGCTATTGAAAATCTTTGAGGTTTTCTCAAAACCAGGTATGCTCAACCAGTTCATAAACAATCTTAATTTCATGGTTCATAATGCGATGTAGGACCACCAACTGGTCTACTGGGACGTGAGATTATCGGTCGAGAACTGGCCTTGGACCGCTCTTCCGATTCGGCCATCAGCAAGATCCAATCGTGGATACACGAATGCGAATCAAGTCATAGTCAGTGCCGTGGTCGTTCTATTTCACCGCTCCCAACTCGTGTATTGGACGTTTCTCCATCCCAAGATCCGGACCAGGTTCGTTTGATCGAAGGCCGCGGTTTGAAGGCCGAATACGTTACTCTCAGTCACTGCTGGGGTAAAACACCTCCAGATTCCGAAGATTTGTATGTATTAGTCTTAGTTTCCTCTTGTTGCTTGTATTGAAAAGACTTTTACTAAATTGTTGTTGTTCGCAGGATCTTCACGTGCACATCAAGAAACATCCAAACCCTCACCCAAAGCTTCCCTTTGAGCGTTCTGCCGACCTTATATAAAGATGCCGTCATGATGACCAGACTACTACGAATAAGGTATAGATGTGGATTATTACCATCAGCCCACTGTTTTAAAGCTACATTGGCTGACGAGTTCCAGATACATATGGATAGATTCCTTGTGTATTATCCAAGACAGCAAAGAAGATTGGGCGAACGAATGCTTGCAAATGTGCGATGTCTACTCGAACACATATCTTACGATATCCGCTGTTTCGTGCAAAAACAGCCTCCGAGGCTTCGTCAGAGTAGATCAAGAGTGTCTACCATTGCAGGTTCAGCTCTGTCAGGGATATGGAGATTCCAAGCAAGCTCTACACATCCGTGATACGTTTGTTGATCCTGCGATGTACTTAACTGGTAGGGGGTGGGTATTCCAGGAGCTGCTCCTTTCTCCGCGCGTGCTACATTTCAGCTCTATCGACATGGTTTTTCAGTGCGATACGCACACAGTTTTCGAATCAACTTCGGTTACCTGTTACGGCTGGAATAACCATGATGGTAAACGGCTAGTCTATGGAACAACTCAACACTCGCGAAGTACGGACTACGACAAGTGGCTTAAGATTGTTCAAGACTACTCCGAGAAGAAGTTGACCTACGAGACTGACATGTTTCCGGCTTTGTCAGGTATTGCACACATTGTACAATCTCGAACAAACGACGAATATGTTGCAGGTCTCTGGAAAGGTGATCTGGTTGCTGGCTTGCTGTGGTCCAAGAATCAATGGCTTTATGGGCCCGTACAACTTTCGACGCAGTACCTCACACCAACATGGAGCTGGGCTTCTTCCAACCATGTGGATACCTTCAACACTCGTCGACGCAAGTACTTGAAGCTGGATATCCTTCACGCCGAGGCGGTACCGTCAACTACAAACCCGTTTGGCGAGATATCATCAGCTTCCTTGATAGTTTCCGGACCACTCAAGAGAACCATGATATGCGACTTGAGAGAGATACCGGATGATTGTGTGCAGTTAACCTCGGTTGGAGGTTCTAAGATTCGTTTCGCTTTCGACATAGGTCAACACAAGGTACCAGATTTGGACGAAGTCTGGTGCCTAGATTGCACAGTTAACAAGGAGGACGACATCCCCGAGAACATCCACCACGGCCTCACGTGGTTCAATGCACATGGCCTAGTCCTCGAACAAGTGTCCGAAAAGAAGCAAGTTTACAAGCGGATTGGAGTTTTTGAAGTCTTCGGAGTCGACGTTGGTACTGGAGGTGATACGGACTGGCATCGGACAGGGTGGAGCAAGACGAGGTTGGAAATTATCTGATAGTTACAGATTAAGACGACTGAACAAACGTCTCGTTATTGCAACCTGTTGATGCTTGAAGCTTCGACTGGAATCTACAGAGGTTCTCATATGCTTCCAAGTCTGGAACTTCGCTGGATAATCCACATCCCGCACTACGGCGTTTTCCCACATTCCACCCACATAATTGACACTCATTCTCGTAGGCCCCATAGCTTTTGTGAGGCAGAAGCCGACGTGGCTGCCAACTGGAGGAGATGAGTGAGTAACAGTGTTCATGTAGTCACCTGCTACAATTAGAGAGAGGGTTTAGAGGAAATGAAAAGCTATATGAGGGATGCAAAAGTTGTAAACGCCAGCTTACCGTTAGTAGCGTACTTTCCCTAGGCAATGGGAGTAGTGATTCCAGATGGTATAAGAATGAGTGGTGAAAGGGTAAACTTCAGACCTCTTGAAACGTTGCGATGGTGCTGGCACTAGCTCGCGTCCAAACTTCATTGATCCACGTGATCGCGCGCCGTACTCTTGCGGCGCGTGTAGAAAAAGTCACGACAAGGCTAAGGGTTATTTACACTCACTATGTGTCTCAGCATCTGAAGTAGAAGTCTTGATCAAAAGACGCGTTTGTTTCCAATACTCGTCGAATGGCCAACTACCAATTCGAGGATCAGAGTAGCTTTTTCTTGATTGGTCAATTTTACGCACAAGCGAGTTAGGATCTGGAAGCCGCTTTCACATGTATCTCACATCAACTAAAGATGGCATTCTCAGAAGACATCCCCCAACCCGACAATGGTTTTTATGTCCTGGTCACAGGCGCCAATAGGTACGCGTGTCTCAGACTCCTTCATGAACACTCTGACGTTTTGACAGCGGTCTCGGGCTTGGAATTGGAACCCGCCTGATCGAAGAATTCCTGCAGACGCGCCCCCAATCTGAATCCCTCGTCCTCATAATCACAACGCGCGACGAACGAAAAGGCAATGCGACGATCGAGAAGCTAGAAGCACACCTGCGCAAAGTGTGTCGCGATCACGAACTTTCGTTACCGGGCATCACGCAGCTATTACAGGGGCGTGTATACTTTCGGCAGGAGCGCCTGGATTTGCTGAGTCTGGTTTCTGTGCAGAAGTTGTGTAAAAGGTTACATGAGACTACGCCAAAACTCGACACAGTCATCTGCAATGCAGGCATTGGTGGCTGGACGGGCATCAACTGGCCTCTGGCGATAGTCTCAATCCTCAAGGGGTTCAAGAATGGGCTTACCTGGCCTGTTTACAAAATCTCAGGCCAAGGATGGCTTGCGAAACCGCAGTTACCGCGTGGCGAGAAGGAGAGCAAGGTCGAAGAACCTCCTCTAGGGGAGGTTTTCTGCGCCAATCTCTTTGGACACTATCTTCTTGGACACTACCTTGCGCCGCTTTTAGCAAGGCACCCTCAGAGTTCAAACACAAGAGGGAGAATAATATGGGTCAGCAGCCTGGAAGCGTACGAGCACACGTTCGACGTCAACGACATGCAGGGTATCGCTTCTGTAGTACCTTATGAATCTTCGAAGCGACTGACGGACGTACTGGCAATCACTTCCGTCTTGCCTTCCACATCCGCCGCCGTAGATCAGTATCTCGGCCACCCACAACCCTCCGCAAAAACCACGAAACCGCGCATTTACGTCACGCACCCTGGTATCTGCGGTACAGCCATCATGTACCTCCCTCTCATCCTCGAATACGCCATGCTCGCCACTTTCTATGTTGTGCGCTTTTTGGGCAGTCAATGGCACACTACCACCGTGGATAAGGGCGCGTGTGCCATGGTCTGGCTTACGCTTGCGTCACAAAGCACATTAGACGCAATGGAAGAGCGTGAAGGAGTGGGGAAGTGGGGAAGTGCAACAGACTGGAGAGGGCAAGAGCGGGTAGAGCGGACAGAGGTTACTGGATGGGGCTGGGGAGGCAAGCTGGGCGAGCATAAGAGGAAAGGGAGGGATCCGCATGCACAGGATCTTACCAAAGAGAGTCAGGAGAGGTTTGAAGAGGCAGGGAAGAATTGTTGGGCAGAGATGGAGAAGCTGCGGATTGAGTGGGAAGGCCGACTTCGCGTGGCTGGATTGGGAGTTGAAATGGAGTAGGTGTGGATGTGGCGTTGATCATACGTCTCGACAGCGTACCTTACCTGCGGGGCTGGTTCGACACTCACATCCGTGTGTATGCCAACTAGAAGCAGACACATATTGCGCATTCATATTCACGTGTAATATATATTGTACTCGTTTTCTATGCGTTTTGAGCACGTAGTCTCATGCGGAGATGTCGTAGTTTAGAGGTTAACGCCAGCTGAACCCACCGTTAAGGGTAGCTTCAGGAGAACAGCGTAAAGGCTGGGACCTAATGTAGTTCTCAAACGCATCGCCCATTGTTTGAACCATGGTTGAGGCCGCGAAAGTGATCATTAGGCTCACCTGCAGCAGTGGCGAAGCAGGGTCTTCGGGAGGACCCACGATGAGGTAAAAGCTTTGACGCATCACAGCTGTCCGTGGACATTGTGATGATGTGTCAACATGCCAGCGTGCACTGAGAGTCATCATACAGTAACCTGCATCAATGAATGGCGCGCATCAGTGAATGGCTTGGATGGCCTGGACGGCCATTTCACCTGGTCGAAAATAGGTCAGGAGTTGGGCTTCAATTTCCTGAGCCCCCCTCGGCAGACTGCTGTAGCTGCATGTAGTTTGGCATGGCGTCAGGAACGCGCCGCACGGGAATTGCGACGGGGCAGGCCAATAAGGTACGCCGCCAGCTGCATCTACGATAACATGAGTGGAGTCCAGTAATGAAGCGAAGTGAAGCACCTCAACATACCCCACCTGTGATTGTGTGCATGATGACGATGAAGTGTTCGTGATGGAGAGGGACCATCTGCACGAATCCCGGGATATGCGCGCTGTGCATGCGCAGATCTACCGCGGAACCAATAGGAGTGGCAGCCGTTGCGGTGGATAGCGCCAAGTGGCCCTTTGCCGTCGTGCCCCCGTTCTCTAAGGGGGGCCTGACTCGCTAAAAATGCCCGAGGAGAGGATCTCGAAGGTCTTGCGTGCGGACTCCTCCCTCATCGCTCTCACAACCTCGTCGCGCGTAGCAATTATATGTTCTGGTATTCCTCTGCGGAACTAGACGGTGGCTGCTGTATCTAGTGCCATCTCCGACTACTCTAGTGACGTGGATCTGCCACTTTCACCGCCTGTCTTCGCGTCGAATTGCACAATTTACGACAGTAACCACAACTACGAGTACGCGCAGGACTGGGTCCGGGAAGATCATTTCACCTGGACACTGGCGACGCGAGACATGGACCCTAAGCCTGATCCTCTCTCGAGCGATTTCCCACCCGTTTACGCTCGCGAGACTACGATTCGAGATTCAACAATTCGATAGACATTTCTGAACAGACCACGATCTCCCCGCCTCTAAGTCGACCACACGGCCCGCCAGCATACCCCGCCCGTATTCCATAACACTTCGGTGTTTCGAACGCCCCGCTATACATATTCGAGGCCGTAGTCAGTTATTGGGGTAGGAGTTTTGTTGTGAATGCACAGGAGCTTGGGACCTATAATCTTGTAGAGGTTGGACTTGAACCTGTACAGTGAGAACAAAGACGTTGTCTTACAACAGTTCAAGGCAACATCACAATAGCCTCTCTGATTGGACTGTGTATAAGACAGACACTACGGCGACAACTATCTCTCCCGACACACCCTGCACACACCATGTCGGCATCGGAATCCTCATTCGATTCCTCACACAGACCCTATACACCCGACGCAAGAAAACCTGTAAATTCACGAAAAAGCGTAATCAACCCACAATCACAGTACTTGCGCGATGCACTCGATGCTCGAAGAGCGCACAAGGCACCCATTCCGTCACCCATCGATGTGAGAGCCCCAGCTCTGACTACTTCAAACCCCGCCAGAACAGAGACTCCAAAACTATCGCCTGATATGTTCATGGAGTACGCCCTTAGCGAAGAGCAAACGGCTCCTGTTTCCCCAGTCCGCCGTCGACAACTAAGCGATGCTCCACTACCCCGCGGAAAGACTAATCGCGAGCTGACGGACGAGATACAGAGGCTGAAGGATAGTCTCATGACCACGAACATGCGCGTAGAGCTGCTCAGAAAGGACAACTCTAAACTGCAGCACGAGGTGACTCAGGCAAAAGAAGAGCTTGAGCCATTGGAACACAAGAACAACAAGCTGATGGATAAGAATGAAGACTTGGAGGCTCAGATGGATGATATGGAAAAGGAAATGCTGCGCTTGCAGGGTGAGCTCAACGAACAACGAGAGTCCAACAAGGAACTCATTGCCATCAACGAGGAGTGCTCGGCGCACTGGGAGAACCAGGAAGCCGCTGTTAAGGAAGCAGCCGAGATTATTACCAAACTTCAAGAGGATAAGTTAGCTCTTAAGAACGAGCTACTTGATCTCAAAGGCCGGGTAACAGCCTTGGAGACTGGTTCTAGCCCTTACGGGCATGTGGATGGTACAGCCAGATGTCCATCACGCATCAAAAGTATTGACGATTCGCGACCTTCAACTAGCAACTTTGGTGATTCCGACTACTACAGCCAGGCAGACTCGCCTCCCCGGCCAGGTAACCAGTCTATCCACTCTCTTACAACCTCGGAACGTTCGGTCAGATTTCATGAGCTGAGCAAGCGAAATCGCCGATCCACGCAGGACCTCCAGAAGCGCATGTCAGCGGTGAGGGTCTTAGAGCTCGAGGAATCTCCCATTCCAGATATGCCGCAAATTCCTTCGTCTTTTCAGCAGGATGCTCAAGACGGGGAAAGCTTTATACGCAGCTCAAAAGCACATCATCTCATGAGACCACCTCGGTCCTTACTCGATGCACCACCTCCCTCTCCTCCGTTGCGTCCTGCAACAGTAGCTCCAATGCCACGGGCACCTCGTCATGAAGAACTGAGGGGCTTGTATCATCCTGACCGAACGGGCGGAAGCAGGATCGTGAACACCTCGCGTCCTTCATCGAGCCATGGTTCGACCACATCCGCTCCAAAGGCTGGGAGCCGCCATGGGTCCATCGTCGAAGCATCGCCAATCGCGCCGCCGCGCTTAAGTAGCCATCGTGCTCAAACAAGCATTCCAGGCGAGAAAATATCCCTCCGTCACGCGCAACAGCCATCTCGGCGACAATCAGAACATGATGTGTATCCTCTCGGCCATGCCCAAACAGAGTCTTTATCGTCAGAGTGGGCTCCCATGGCCCCTCCTCGCTCTACGTCTAATATTCCTGGTCGTCTAACCGCCGAAGCAGATCCACAAGCTTGGTTAAAAGACATTGATCGACTGACTCGGACTCAGCGGCAGGAGCAGGCGCAGTCATCGACGCAGGCAGCACCTCCCCGTATAAAGTTCGACGAAGAAAGCATTACTTCAGTGAAAAAGTCTAAGACTGTGCCATCGACCCCATTGGCAGAGGGGAGGGAGTTTCTGTTCCATGCCAAGGAGGATGAGTTAAGCTTCATGAGTAGGATGAAGTCAAAGATTGGTAGTAGCAAGAGAGCAAGGTCAAGATCAAGGGAGCGGGTGCGCAAATGATTGTACGGCCTAGTTATTCTGTTTGGTTGATATCCTTGCTTTTCTGCACGGCGTTTGGTATCGTGCAAGTTGGGCGTTGCTTGTAATAAGAAAGGCTGGGTCTACTCCGCAAGGAGGTCACGACGGACACCATGGGTTGGGAGGCTGTTTTACTACTTTCGCACTTCTATTGAAATATCACTGCTCACGCAGTCCCTCAATCATATGCACTATTGGAGAACTTCCGATCCGAATACTACAAGTTCAAGTTTCAATTGTTGTCAAGAGACGTTGATCCACGTGATTTCCCGCCACGTTGGTGACATGGATTGTGGCACCTCCGAACTCCGCATCGTGATCGCTTCATATCCCTAGTACAACCCGACAGCTTTCCATAACACCATGCACCCCCGTGGCCAAGAATACTCGACACGATGATCTCCTCCGGCTTCACGAACGCACCCGTATCGCAGTTTCTTGTCTTCTCGACCGTCGTTGGCGCTTTGATTGCGACACTCACAGACACGAGATATTACCTACATCTCCAAGTCGTTCCACACCTCTTCAAATATGGACAGCTTTGGCGTGTTCTAACATGGCAGGTAGGAATACTTTGATATGGGAGGGGTCATATAAGGAGATCCTTGGATGTGATTGCAGAAAGCTAACACTCGCATTCAGCTATGCTTCACAAATTCCACCGAGGTCCTCTTTGGCGTCTTGACGTTTTATCAATTACGAGTTGTCGAGCGACTATGGGGGAGTAGAAAGTTTGCCGTAAGTCTCCCAAACACCATCTACCATGCGCATACTGACAATGGCAGTCCTTCCTCCTCTCAACCCTCCCTTACACGACCGTTCTCCCACCACTTATCCTTACATTCGTCCTCCGCCCCTTGTCCTTCGGCCGCATAAATACTCTCCCAGCAGGTCCAACTCCTCTGCTCTTCGCCCTTCTCGCAAACTACTATGCCGCAATCCCATACACCTACCGCTACAAGATCTCGCCTTTCGCACCCACACCCACATCTTCTACCTCCCTCTTCGCCCGCAGCTTGACCCTCACCTCGAAATCCATATCCTACCTCGCTCCACTACAACTTGCCTTCTCACAGTTCCCTGGCTCTCTTCTCGCTGCGGCGGTCGGCTGGGCGGTTGGCACTGGTTACAGACGGGACATACTGCCGTACGCGGCGAGTTGGCGTGTTCCAGGGTGGGTGGTGGGTGAGAAGAGGAAGGGCGGATTCGAGGGCTTGAGGGCCCGACTTGACGCGGAGAGGGAGAGAGAAGGTGGAGGGGGCGTTGCGACGGGTATTTTGGCGGGAGAGACGGGAGGGACAAGGCAGAGGAGGACCCTGGGAGAGATGTTTGGAGACCAGTTCAGAGGGAGGGAGTAGAAGTCCCCTTAACGGAACTGAAGAAAGATAGTGAGAATATGAACATTGCCATTTAAGTTTTGGTATTATAGATTTTGGTGTATGTACTAAACCGCGCTATCTAAATCACAACATTGCTTTTAACATCTTTTGGGAGGTTCCTCTTATGTTCATCAACATCAATAATGGTACCTCAGGACTATGTCTCAGCCACTATACATGTGAGAGAATATGCGCCTCTGCTGCAACTCAATTATCGCATCATCGAACCGCTGTGGAGAATTCAAAAAGAACAGCGGAAGGATTCAAAAGAACGAAAGGAACAAGCATATGAAAAAAGGCGATAGAGAAAAGGTGACAGAGAAAAAGATGACAGAGAAGATGATGAGGACGAAAACGGTGATGGAGAAAATAGTAATTGAAAATCAAGAAGGATGGACCGGATGATAATGGAAAAAACAAAAGTCTAGCGAGGTGTAAAAAGAAAAGATGGGTTTGATGAGAGGAGAGATGAGAGGGGTTATTAGAGGACTTGAACGGTAGGACATGTGCGTTGGAGAGCTGCATAGGGTAATGATGTGTGTGGTTGGGGGAAATGCGATAATTGTGCTGTAAGAGTTATAATGGGCTTGCATGGCTTTGACAACATCTCTTCTAACTGAATTCAGCTGCCATAATCGACTGTAAGACAAAGTGTTCTGTTAGTCGGATGGAGTGCATTATCACAGCAGATCATCATATCATGCCACTGTTGATATCGTCTGAATGTGCTTTATGTTTTTGTTCCACGACCAGGTTTGTTATCAGCCCATGGCGATGTTTAGCTAAGTAATACGTATGATTATTTCTCGTATTCGAAGGTCTTAATCGTTGTTTATTTATTTGTCCTGACTGATGTCCTTCGTACAAGGTTCAACCGGAAACACTCAGGAGGAGATATTTTCTGATACCGGAGTACCAATTGAGCAATCATTCTCACGGGAAGCCAGATACCACGCTTGAGATAAGCTTCCGCGCTTGCCTACGGGTTATGATCCACCCGTCTCACTGCTTATATTATGTGACCTAGGCGAATGGTGTCTAGAACCTCATCATGACGATCTGTATGATGGACGCCTGAGAACGGGTTCGGATTTCTCCGTATTTCTGCTGATACAACTTCTGGATAGTGATCAAGGTATGGTGCTGTGTGAAGAGAGCTCAGACCGTCATAGAGTCTCGAATTGGTGATGACTGCAGCGGGTAGGTAGGAGTCACTCGGTGTTAAGTGGGTCTGGCAGCAACGCGGCCCAACACACGCAGGTAGTGATCCATTCTAGGAACGGGGAAACGGGATATGGATTGGACTCAGCTTAAGGATATGTTGACGCAGTGATTCTGTATGTACAAACGGTATGAGGCGGCTAACGGAGATGGCCGCATCCTCCGCGCCAAACGCCTTATAGATGCCTTTGGATGAATAAATACGTACTAAGAGATGATGTTGATGGAAAAGAGTTTGCAAAACGCAGGCTGTTCCCGTAACATCATTGGATCCTACGAAGATCTTCCGAGAATCCAAATGCAAAGAAACTCCGGCTGGCGTTTCAGAGTGGAAGTCCGGAGGATGGTCGCGTGGGGTGGTGCCTTCTTGGTCGTCGGTATAAACTCCGCCATCCTTTCAACAACGCCCGCGGATAGATCGACGACTAGACCGTCAGAGACCAAGGCCTTGTGTCTATTGATACCCAAAAGGCTCACTGTCCCAATGTGGGAAAGCTGACACGGAAAGGGGTTGTGTGAGTACCATGGATTTCTGCGTACCTAGTAGGTTTACCCCCAGCCGGCGTATATTGTGGCGCAGTTACTGAGCCACAATAACTTCAGGGCCTTCTTGTGAAGTTGATTGGCTCAACGATTGCTAGCAGTAAACCTATTACGTAGCAATCCATGGTGATCCGGTACTGGGAGGTTTAGCACCTATTTAAAGCCTATTGAAGGAGATCATGGCTGAGAAACGTCACTCGACAGCGATCATTAGAACTAACAGATGTGTACGTGCGAGATCCCTTGGCTATGCGCATATGTACAGCGGCTTACTCGTTGTATCATTTCTTGGAAAGGCCAATGGGCATCTTGGCGTCCCACAGAATTGAGAGCGACACTGCAATACCTACTGTGATTGGACATTAGTAGCGACCAATCACAGGGCAAAGGTAGAGGCTCCTGTGAAGCTGGCTGTGGCGAAAACGTTGCCCTGCCAAGCCTTCCACGCGCGAGAGTTGGCGTTGCGGTACGATGTCATAGAAGAGATAGAAAAGGCAAAGTGCTGATAGTCGGACCGTCCCTGTCTTAGTACGCACAACAACACGTGCTTGGACTCGCTGAATACGTTTGACAGCTCGGCCCGACCCGATAAGCTAGAGAGCATGTAGGGCCCTGCGATGCGCTCTTAATATATCTTTGTTATCAGCGTCGACTCTGTGTAGCACTGCAATATTGACAAGCACTCCCAGTCAAATATGTGTGCGAACGGAGAACGTACAACAAGTCGTGCTCAATAACCAGCTACGAAAAGCAGGTATACACGCTCTGACAGGAGGATGATTGGGAAATAGATCAGCAAGCGTAGCCAAAATCACTCTCCTGACTTTCGGCACCACCAAACTCGTAAGTTGAGAGTTTGACGTCTTAATAGGCTGTAAAGAGAAAATGAATCGAGACGCTGCCTTAATTCTGGGTCCGTATTTCCGTATCGCGCCTACGTCTGGATGCGGGCCAGCGATCCGCCGGGAAGCGCGAAAGCGCAAAGGCGCGACACAATGCAGTAGCACATGATCCAGCTGCAATGCGGGTAGCACGATTTATCACTTGCATGAGTGTTAACGTCAACGCTTCAGTGGACGCACGGCAATTGAATAAGTTCCACTCGATGATAACGGCCCCGGTTAAACATCCGCGCTTGTTCCCTAAAACGGCTGGTCATCTGTTGAAATCAGAGTTCGAAGCTCACGGACAATTTTCAACGGTCTTCCTGCAAGATTCAAGATCGCCCTATGCGCGCTTCTCCGAACACCACCATCTCAGCGCCACGTTCATCCTTAGCACATCGCGGGGAGACGGAAAGTCTACCTTAAACAACGCTGCAGGTGGCAAGATTTCAGTCTTTGTTAAAATGGCGTTACTTTGACCGTGCGGCCCGGCAAATGGAAACTTCCAAGGAATCTATAGTCATTTGCAAGGTTATTGGCAAGGCATACTACCTAAACCTCCCGAACGTGGGGGAGAATGAGACCACAATGGCAGGGAAGCATCGAAGCAGCTAACGCTCTAGAACGCTTGATGCCCGATGGAATCTAATGGGTTGTGCGCAGACATTTCACAGTACAGTCAAGCCCTGGGACCCTTTGGCGATCCTGTTTTCCAACTTTGAAACCATCTCAGCCCCTTAAGGCCATTCCCAACGGTGATCTACATGGTCATGACTCGTCTAGATCATCCCCACTTGCCATTGGGCTGCGAACCTTAGTCCAGAATTGGGTACTTATGTTTTCGGACCTGTTGTATGCGAATGCCGGCCTACGTATGCGCCGGGTAGATTATGCTGATTTGTACACCACGTGGACGCCACGAAAAATGCAGGGATATTTGTCTAGGCCGTCTCGTCCTCGAGCACAGGGACATCGATAAGATGCTACACCTTGCCAATTCTCGTGTTGTTCTCTACAACAAGCCGAGGTGTACCAGGGTCTCACTGAGCAGTTAGCCTTGATGAGGCTGACTAGTTGGTTTGTCAGAAAGCTAATGATCAGCATATTCGTATGGTGAGATTTAGCTAATACACGTACAGAGTGGCAGATAATCATACGAAATTAGACATGGTATATGAGAAGTATGTGTAGATTGGAGTATACATGATTTGAGACTCGAGAGTTGAAACTTGGAATCACAAGCCACTTCCATTACAGAGCGCTGACGGAAAGCTACGGCTAGAACATCCAGAGTCAAACGAAAAGCAAGTTCAAAGAGGCACAGGTACTGAACGTAACCAAAAATGTCATTGGTTGGATTTTTTAATTAATGAAACTCATTTTTTCTAGGGTTGTTTTGGATCCAGTCTCTTCAACCCTTTTGACGGCGTGCATGAGTCTCTATGGAGGGTGTGGTTCAAGCACCTAATCCTGGCATGCAAAGCAAAATGTTCGCATACGTGTGCGTGTCCCTTTCCACCTGTGGATAGGTTTCAGAATGCCACCGAATCACCATGACAAGACCGCCTCTTAGTTTCGCGCTTGTACCATTACTCATTACCGGTGTTGGAGGATCCTCACCGGCAGCCAGCAGCGTAGCTTGTCGCGCTTCTATTGTAGAAGAACATTCTAGCCCTGGCGTTCCATCGGCCGCGTTCGTGCCGTACCGGGATGCTCGTTACGCGGATAGAGTGGTTCGGCGAAAAGTCGTTAACTGGTGACGAGGTGGGCTATGATACATCGTACCAGTTGAATCCCACTAACCCGCGGCACGCATGCCGCACAGCTCGATGGTCGTAGTGCGTAAGCGGCGCCGGATAGTGTCAGGGTGTCGGAGTTGTGGCCGACGGGTGAGATGGTGTTACAAGGGAGGTTGTGCAACTTCATATCGTCCGATACGATACCGAACCGTCAACGGAGCCATGGGTTAATGAAACCGAAAGCGCAGACAGAGAAATCCAGGAGACTTTAAAGTTTAAGAAATGAGGTTGTTGAGTTCGAAACTATGCCATTGGGGTATCATACAGCTCCATGCCGTGCCGAGTGCGCCTTTGCTGGAAAATACAGCTGAATCAGGAAGGAGAAAATTGAAAATGTCGTCTAGCACCACGGTGCTTTCCTCCTCGAGCCTTTGCAGTCACCTTGGGGCAAAGTCAGAGTCGATCCAAGATGAGAAGTTGATAGAGGTGTTACGAACCGCAGTCTTCGTCGATTCTGTATTCTCTGGTATAGCCATTAGAAATTGCTCTTGAGTATGAATACACATCCTTACATTGCTACAACATTCGCGGGACATCTCTTGTGCGTCTCCTGATATTTGGTACACCAAGCTCGAACAACGTAGCGTAGGTGACTGCACTTATACTGTACTTGAGTATAATCACACATTGTGCGTTGAAATGAGTTTTCAGAAGGGCTGTGGTAAAGTGAAGTATCAAGGCCCGAGAAGAGGATGAAGTTTGGATCAGAGAGCAAGGACAACTGTATTTCTTTGGGTCGTTCGAAGTATAAGGACGTTGGGCACCGGACCGTGGTCGTATATATACATAACAGATGGTTAGAGAATGTCAGCGCGAATCAGGTACCCGAATCCGTCATGGATTGACGCACGCTCAACTGACGTGCATCCGACTAATTGTATATGTAGCCATGATCTGCCTAGCCAGCTACGGTCAAGCTTTGAGATTTACAAGGACGTTTGTTTGAAGACATCCCTGTCCGGCAACGTGCGGGTGGAACTGTGGCTTGGCTAATTCGAAGAAGGTCAGAAAGTATGATCAAGATGATGTGATGAGAAAGTGGACATCGCTGGCGGATATCGCTGGACGAATAGTGCCGTCGGCGGCTTCGTCTTAATGTCAGTTTTCTTAACCACATTTAATCTGCACCGTGAAGGATGTCTGTGGTTCCGCGCTGTCTATGTAGAGATGTTGCGCCGTTGAACCTTGCTCCTGGGTGGTCAACTCCAAGCTCCCGATGCGCTGGGGTGCTTCCTGCATTGAGGCTGCAGAAGCGGCCATGATCCACCAACGTCTGAGATGTCTCTACAGAAGTCTTTGCGAAACAATCGACAAGGTGCTTTTTACGTGTCTCGACGCGTCAGTGATCCTCTGACACGTAGAAAACGAAAACGAAAACGTTCTTGACAACGTCGAAGCTACATCTGCCGACGTGCGTCTCGTATTGCGCAGCTTCCCGTTTCCCCGTCGACTGAAACAACTTACACCCGCGATTTGGACGTTGCGCAATACTTAATAATTATCGATGTCATCCCGCAATCTAAGAGCTGAACTCGGTTGTGCGACGTGACCAACGCACAGATTACAACGTGTAGCTGTCAATTCGAGCCAGCCTGTCAAGTTCAGCTCTTCCACGAATCCCCCCATAAACACGAATTTACGTCCACCGAGCAAGGCCCATCCTATCTTAGACATCTACGCATGTGTCTGTAATGTCAAAAGGTAGAAAGAATGTGGACATGCAGCAGAGCATCACGAAGGTCAATCCCGCGAGTCAGCCGAAGATTATTGTTATTGACATCATAGCCCGAATTCAAGTCCTCGCTAACTCAGCGTAAGTCCCACGGAAACAAAAGAAGAGCTAGCCACTACTAGTCAGAGCGTGGCTGCACCGAATAATGTACAGTACTAGATCAGAAGTTGTGGCTGTCAACAGAAACTAGATTGGTAGCTAGAGTGAAGGCGTTTTGAGAGGTGGTTGCAATATCGGGATACGTGACGCAAGCCTGCAGTTCGCGGCTTGGCGACCGAACCTTCTTTTGGCACGTAACTGTACCTTGCAGCGGTGCGTAGACATATGACGGTTAGCCGACAAATCACTAAGCTCTGTCTTCTCAAAACCTCAAAAGCCCGGGACGCAAAGCCTACCAATAGCTTGTTGCAACGAATCCATTCAACACGTCGTAAGCCCTTATCCGAGCATCATCTATGACTGGATGCAAACAGAACAAAGCTCAAATAAGGGTTACATCGAACTTCATGTCATGGAACCTGACCAGTCGTGGCATTAAGTTTCCTGGCAATGTTGAGATCTAGCTCTCTTTGTCTCCGTCTTAGGGTTTTCGCCATGCCCTGCGTTCTCTCCATCTAGACTTCTCACATCACCTATGATCGTCCATTAAGGCGAGGAAGCAAGAATGACTTAGGCCGGAAAATCACTTCTCAAAGGCACCATAGCCTAGGATGAAGTCAGACTACATTTTGCTGTATAGCATTGCACTGAAACTCGTATCGATACCAGGAAAAGCATCATCGCAGCCTGTTTATCAGTTTTTGTATATATCTTCCCTGGGACAGGTATTAGGTGTTTCTATATCGGTGGAAACATTTCGCATGATAGTAGATGGTTCCTCTTCGACATTCTCATCAATACTACCGCGAAGCTTTAATATCGCTCCATCCCGCTATGGGGAAGATGTGACTTTATATACGATGGAGCATTGGAATGGAGTGTGTCGGGAAGCAGAACAATAGACAATAAATTGGCCGTGCAGGCAAGTATTACTTGATAATCATGAGTAGATTGGTGAACCGTGGCATGCTGTGATGAGATCTCACGCAATCATATTTACAGTGGCATTGCAGAGCAAGCAAGATCATGCTACAAGATGGCCAAATCGGTTTCATCACTAGATAACTGCTACAAGCCGTGTGGTATGGATATAAGTGTTATGTCTCAGACTATGTGCATAAGATTATGAGAACTCCCCATTCGACTCGTCAGCGTCCAACCACCCGCGACACATTTCAACAGCGCGCCCCCACTTCTTGAACATCTTCGCGCTCTCTTCCTTGCTGATGTTTGGCTCGAAGATCATGCGATCCTTCTGGTTGATCTCTTTGAGCTCGTCAAACTCTTTCCACACGCCGACTGCGAAGCCGGCGGCGATGGCGGCACCCAGAGCGGTGGTCTCACGCATGGCTGGTCGGTCGACGGGGATGCCGATAATGTTTGCTTGTGTCTATGAAGTTTGGTTAATTATATGTTTCAATCGTGTAGATAGATTACCATGCTTACCTGCATGCACAGATTGGAGTTGCTCATTCCACCATCGACTGCAAGCATGTTAAGCTTATGCCCGCTGTCAAGCTCCATGGCATCGAGAATAGCCTTGGTCTGAAAACATGTGGCCTCGAGTGTTGCTCGCGCTATATGACCTCGTTCGGTGAACTGGGTAATTCCGAATATAGTGCCCTTGGCGTCGTCAATCCAATACGGTGCGAAGAGACCACTGAAAGCAGTAACGAAGATGCACCCTCCATTGTCCTTCACACTCCCTGCAAGATCACTGATCTTGTGCGAGTGTGTGATGAATCCCATGTTGTTCATCAAGAACTTTACACCAGATCCTGCGACAGCTATGCTGCCTTCGAGGGCGTATACCGGTTTACGCTTGCCGCCGAAGTCATATGCGACTGTAGCAAGTAGTCCGTGCTTAGATATTACAGGCTCCTCGCCCACATTGTAGAGCAAGAAACACCCAGTTCCGTACGTATTCTTCGCAGACCCAGGTGTAAACCCTTGCTGGCCAACGAGAGCCGACGATTGATCTCCTAAGCATCCTGCAATGCGGACATCTTTCAGTAATCCAGTGGATATAGATCCAAAGGCGTCTGGCGATGACGACGGGACGATCTTAGGAAGATTGAGCTTCGTTCGATCTAGCTTGAAGAATTCAAGGAGTTTATCGTCGTACTGGACGGTGTGCAAGTTCTGGCATGGTTAACTTCATGTCATAAATTTGCTTTAGTCGGTAGGACTTACCATGAACATGGTTCTGGAAGCATTAGTGGTGTCCGTGACATGCACGTCTCTCTCCTTGCCGCCGTTTAGATTCCACAATATCCATGTATCCACGGTGCCGAACGATAGTCGACCTTCGTCGTAAGCTTTTCGAACCGACTCCTCATGGTTAAGAAGCCAAACCAATTTAACCGAAGAGGAGTAAGTGGATAGAGGAAGTCCACATATGTCTTGCAACTCATCAGCGCCTTCTCGCGCCTTTAACTCTCGAACGAGTCCCTTGGTACGCGTGTCAGGCCATGCGATCGCGTTGTATAGTGGCTCTCCAGTAGCTGTGTCCCAAACTACTCTAGCAAATGTTAGCTAGTATCTTGACTATATGTCTTCCAGGAATGTATTACATTGTTTCACGCTGGTTTGTGAGACCGACAGCCTTGATGTCCGAAACATCGTGACCCTGATCGATGAAAATGTTTGTCGCCCTGTCCATGCATTCCTTGACTGTCGAGACGAGTTCCTTGGGGTTGTGTTCGTGCCAGCCCGACTGAGGGTAGTATTGCTTGAATTCCATTTGATGTTGCGCTACCGGTTCCCCCATCCCATCGAACTAGAAAACCGGAGATAACGTTAGTATTTGCTCTCGAGATGTATGCATATACCCAATTTTTCTTCGGAGAATGCGATGCGATCGGAGTGTACATACTACAAGTGGTCAGTCCAACTCCGGTTAAAAAAGACCGGCGACGCCTGTCTGTGTCTGGAGGATGATACGATCAATTGAACGCCACGCGTAGTTGCGTATATCTTTCTTGACACAGAACAAGGCACGCGGTGATCGGAGTATGGTACCTATTATGAAACGCGTGCTTGTGGTTCCATTGTCGATTGCGCCGATAAAAAAGTTCTTCAGCTTTTCTTCGTCCAGCTGAGTGTCTTGCGATGAGTCCGTGAACTCTTCCTTAGGTATGGGTTGCGGATCAGGATCCTGCGCCGACAGGTTTTCAAACGCCATGTTAGAAATTTTGCTTAGGTTGTGTCTTGGAGATCATGATCAGCAACCAATTTTGACGACGTGTTGGCTTATAACCTGCATACCTGTTGCGCTTGAACGTAGGTGCTGTAGATACACCGAGATCCTCTAAGCTGCAAACGATTGCTCGTGAAATTCTTAGAAATTGGGAAATCCTAGGTCGCAATGTAGTCGCTGAATTCTTCCGCCTGATTTTCGAATTATGCAATACGCGCGTCGCGTGCAATTGGCGATGCTGGCAGATGTGGTTGTTCGCGAGGAAGACGATGCGCGCGTGTACTCGAAAGCGGGGGAGCGGAGGGGTCGAAACAACATAAACCTGAGCTGCAGGCGAGCATGTGCCCAGCTTCGTCATGTGCACGCTGAGCCTCCGCTGAACCTGAATGAGGCAAGCCGCCCCGGAATACTTCAATTCGTTCGACGTCCAGGAGCGCCTAAAGTTGGAGCTAGAAATCCATCGGCATGCCACGCCCCAGTGCGGCTCCATCTGTGATATCAGTACAGTGGGTCGCGGAACATGGGAAGCCGATCAGCAACACAAGATCCACATCACAACGCAAGGGATCATCGAAACGTATGTACATAAAATTGGATAAGCTAGAGTGGCAATGAGAACATCTCCAGAACAAACACATATTGTTCTGACTGTGCGGCTCACGGCTTTTACATAGCTAAAGGTCTCAGACGCTGAGTCGACAACTGCCAATTTCTCTGCAAACAATTACTCTCAGACGCCAATGTTTACTCTTTTCCTCGATCGTCACTGGCCGCCGCCTTCTTCTTCTCGGCCATGCGAGCCTCCTCCTCTTCTGCAAGTGCATCTGCGCTGCCCTCGCGAAGCACCTTCGCGCGCGTGACAGCCCCCGGAACCCTATCAGGCAGTTCTCCTCGGCCGATGAGTGTGACGACTATGCTAGCACCAACAATAAACGTCAGGAGGAAACGGTACGTGCGGTACCAGGTTGGTGTCCAGCCATTTCTACATGCCAGCGTGTCGACATAGTACAGGCTTACGAAGCCAAAAAATTGGCTTATAAGAGCATATTCGATAGGCATCAAGAGGGTCGAGCAAGCCACCAACGGAGCGGCTACTCCGATCGCGTAGCGACGATAGCCTTGGTAACCTCCAAACCCTGCGAATTCGAGTCCCCAATGGATCGCACCAAGAAATGAGAGAATGGTAGCCCCATACCCTAGTTGTATTGGCTCAAGCAGATGAAGCATCTGAGTAGCTGTAGTTTCGGATATCATAAAACCGTATCCAGCGTTGCTGTGGTTGAGTTCCCAAGAACAGTATACCGTTGAGAGCGATGTAGCGAGATACGGCAAGGTTCCAGCAAGTCCCATGTACACTGCTTCCCGAGGCACCTCCGCGAGGCTAAAGGTGTCCTTGACTGTACCCTGGAAAGTTTCTCAGCCGCAAGTTCCACACAATTGAGAGCAGAGACTTACAATATCATGCTTCATACCAGCCATCATATCGACTTCTTTCTCTGGTGTCTCGGTTTTAACTTCAGAGAACATTGGGTGAACCGAAGAAGTCGTAGAAACGGTTTCAGGGCTGGCTTCGAGCTTCTCATGGGAATATTTTTCTTCGGCTTTGAGCTGGTCCTTGCTCAAGTTACGGCGAAGAATAGCAGCTTGGATGGGCTTTGGCTGAGCCATGCGTGGTAATTGAGGCCTCCGCGCGGCCCACGATCCAAATTGTGTTGTCCATTGTAGTGTTGGAGATGTGCGTTGGAAGCTCGCGGCGGGACGTGCAACCGGCGCGATTGACTTCAATACGGCGCGTGACGCGCCGTTTCGCAGCATTTTGGTCACTGAAAAAGTTGAGGGAATACGACAACCCGCAGGACAGGATGCACAAGATATAGAGGAATGAAACTGCAAACAGAAGGGAGACGGCGCGGGAGTAGGTCGAGCAAGCTTGCGCGTAGGGCAGGAGAGCAAGCTTATCAGATTAACATATGACGTAAGAACGTGAACATCGTCACGTGACTGGACTTCACATTGCGGGGAATGGTGGAGCACATTTTGTTTTGTGGTGGAATTATTTTATACAGAACTCCTTGTATAAGACGTGCATAGTACCAGGCGATGTACTTGAAGATAGCAGTGACTGGTTGTCGACTTGTGGGGCTTCCAGGTAAGTTTGCATTTTGTTCGAGGTTGACAACAACCAATGCTCGATTTCAGGACTTGATCTTGATAGACACAAGCGATGTGAAAATTACCTCTTATGTTGTGCAACCATGTTAATATCGTTGAAAGATCATTCTGTGCTGCAGGATCAAACATGCGCACTGCCTCAAGGCTGAGCCTTGCCAGTTCATGCAACCTTGTTTGCAGAACCTTGTACAAACAGCGCAGATGTGTTGTGAGCATCCTTAAACCGTCCCCAGTAAAACGTTGCTGTCAAATATGGTGGGGTTAATCGCCCCTCGCTTGAAGTGGGGTGGCCTTCGTCATACCAACAAGGGCAAGGGCAGCCGCGGAGGCGGCGAAGAATGCTCAGGAAACATTCAATTTCGCACGGTACACGGCACAACATGAGAAATTTCTTGCAATCGAGGCATTAGCTGCAAAACGCGGGCGATTCGCCCCAAGCAACAGTCAGGCAGCATCCGCAGTGGGGCAGACAGAAGTTGCAGGAAGGTTCTGGGAGGTCAAAGCTTCTTAGAACCTCGTAGAATTCTTTGGAACAATATGCTCTCCCACCAAATAAAAACCTCTTCGCCCGCTCTTTCTTCCTCCTTTCCAATACACAACACCACTCCAACACGAAGCCTCACCCACATATAAGTCACCGACTTGTGAGCACACTACTGCGATTTTCTTTACTTGATACCCTACTACTTTTCCATTGACGCCCATCATGTCTACCGGTCCCGCTATTGGTATCGATCTGGGAACCACGTACTCTTGCGTGGGTATCTTCAGGTAAGGAACATTTTGCATCTTGGCACGCAAGAATTCCCACTAACTCCTATACAGAGATGACCGCATCGAAATCATTGCCAACGACCAGGGTAACCGCACAACACCCTCGTTCGTTGCCTTCACAGACACCGAGCGTCTGATCGGTGACTCCGCGAAGAACCAGGTCGCCATGAACCCCGCCAACACCGTCTTCGACGCAAAGCGTTTGATCGGTCGCAAGTTCGCCGATTCCGAGGTCCAGGCCGACATGAAGCACTTCCCCTTCAAGCTCATCGACGCCGGTGGCAAGCCCCAGATCCAAGTCGAGTTCAAGGGCGAGACAAAGACCTTCACACCTGAGGAGATCTCTGCCATGGTCCTGGTCAAGATGAGGGAGACCGCTGAGTCCTACCTCGGTGGCACCGTCAACAACGCTGTCGTCACTGTCCCCGCATACTTCAACGACTCGCAGCGTCAGGCCACCAAGGATGCTGGTCTCATTGCCGGCCTCAACGTCCTCCGTATCATCAACGAGCCTACAGCAGCTGCCATTGCCTACGGTCTTGACAAGAAGACTGAGGGCGAGCGCAACGTCCTCATCTTCGATCTTGGAGGTGGTACATTCGATGTCTCCCTGCTCACCATCGAGGAGGGTATCTTCGAGGTCAAGTCGACAGCCGGAGACACCCATTTGGGCGGAGAGGACTTCGACAACCGTCTCGTCAACCACTTCACAAACGAATTCAAAAGGAAACACAAGAAAGGTTCGAGACTCTTTTTCTACTCGTATGCTCCAATCAGGGTTACGCCAAAATAATGGCGGACTTGAAATCATGCAGTATTTGTCTGGACATGTGCTAACTCTTACTCAGATCTCACCTCCAACGCCCGTGCCCTTCGTCGTCTCCGAACTGCCTGCGAGCGGGCCAAGCGTACCCTCTCTTCGTCTGCCCAGACATCCATCGAGATCGACTCCCTGTTCGAGGGTATCGACTTCTACACCTCGATCACCCGTGCCAGGTTCGAAGAGCTCTGCCAGGACCTCTTCCGCTCCACCATGGACCCCGTCGAGCGTGTCCTCCGCGACGCCAAGATTGACAAGTCCACTGTCCACGAGATCGTCTTGGTCGGTGGCTCTACCCGTATCCCCAAGGTCCAGAAGATGGTCTCCGACTTCTTCAACGGCAAGGAGCCCAACAAGTCCATCAACCCTGACGAGGCTGTTGCCTACGGTGCTGCCGTTCAGGCCGCCATCCTGTCTGGTGACACTTCATCCAAGTCCACCAACGAGATCCTCCTGCTCGACGTCGCGCCGTTGTCGCTTGGTATCGAGACCGCTGGTGGTGTCATGACCGCGCTCATCAAGCGCAACACCACCATCCCCACCAAGAAGTCCGAGGTCTTCTCCACATTCAGCGACAACCAGCCCGGTGTGCTTATCCAGGTCTACGAGGGTGAGCGTGCCCGTACTAAGGACAACAACCTGCTCGGAAAGTTCGAGCTTACCGGCATTCCTCCTGCGCCCCGTGGTGTACCCCAGATCGAAGTCACCTTCGATGTTGACGCCAACGGTATCATGAACGTCTCCGCTCTCGAGAAGGGTACCGGCAAGACCAACAAGATTGTCATCACCAACGACAAGGGCCGCCTGTCCAAGGAGGAGATCGAGCGCATGTTGTCTGAGGCCGAGAAGTACAAGGCTGAGGACGAGGCTGAGGCTGCCCGAATTGGAGCCAAGAACGCCCTTGAGTCATACGCCTATTCGCTCCGCAACACGCTCAGCGACTCCAAGGTCGATGAGAAGCTCGAGGCTGGCGACAAGGAGAAGCTCAAGGCCGAGATTGACAAGACCGTCACTTGGTTGGACGACAACCAGACCGCCACCAAGGACGAGTACGAGTCGCAGCAGAAGGAGCTTGAGGGTGTTGCCAACCCCATCATGATGAAGTTCTACGGTGCTGGCGGCGAGGGTGGCATGCCCGGTGGTATGCCCGGCGGTGGTATGCCCGGTGGCGCTGCTCCTGGTGGCCACTCCGACGACGGCCCAACCGTCGAGGAGGTCGACTAAGCGGATCGCTCCGTCACGTTGCCTTCTTTCTTTCGTCTTCAAGCATAGACTTCTTTCTGGGTGGTGGTTATTGGAGTTCACGGCTGACAGAGCCTTTTTCATGGTTTCTTTCTGGATGCATCGGATGAATTACGATCATGATTGGAAGGGAAAAGTTTTAGCGGAGGACATGTGTGTGCTCTAATGATGGAATGTGATATCCTGAGTAGAGAATGAGATGATAAGATTTCAAACTATGTTCTTGTGCTTACTTGTGATGTTTGGTTTAGATGAATGTGACTTGATTGTCTTGAAGTTGTTGCTTCAGGCTGGCATGATTGCTTAGTGTTTGAGAATATCTCACCAAATATAAAACACGATCGCCAACACCCTTCTCGCACATCTGAATGATTCTCGGTTGGATGTCAATCCAACAGCACCGAAATCTCGTAACAGCTTGACAACTACAGACAAAATTCGTGTAAGACTTGTGTATCTACAGTATTACAGGTATAAGCCCAGCGTCTTCTATTTCTAGTATTTGTTACTGTTATTTTGTGAAGGTTTCGTGCTCGCAAAAACACAGCTTACTTCAACTTTTACACTTACTCGAGAGAGCGGACACATACACGACGGTGGTGTTACAGTGATATACATGACTAGCCTCAGATCCCCATCTCAGTTTTCCTACCGCTCCTCGACCTCTGCGCTAAACGCGCCCCTGATCTCTTCGCCAGGCCCCCTTCGCGTCCAGACATGCTCACTGTTTGGCATGCTCTTAACCTTCTCCTCCTTCTCACGATAACGCTCCTGGATCAGGCGCTCCTTGACGTCTGACCCACTATAGCTATTCTTTGTGCGCATGCAGAACCAGAAGTCATTCCAGTGCTCAGTGCAGGAACGTAGTTGTCCGTAGCGATATAAGTCGTTGAAGTGCCCCCCAAGAGAGGAGCAGTAGAAGGCGGAGTCGAAGGCGGCCCGGCAGGACATTGTGCGTGGGAGAGTAGGGTCATATGGCTCCGCGGGGGAGGAGGCCTCGCCGTGTTCGGAGGAGGTGGTGGTAGTGGTGTTTAGAGACGGGGGTGCGAGGTGGGGGTAGGCGGCGTAGAAGTCGGGGTCGTGTGGTGCGGAGGATGATGAAGTGGGTGTGGGTGTGGGTGCGGTTTGAGGTATTGATGGAGGTGCTGGAGACGATTGTTGCACTTGTGGTTTTGACGCAGCTTCTGTGCCAGAGCCGGAGAAGGGCCACCAGCTCATGGTGAGGAGGGCGAGGATGGACGGACTGGTGTTCGAATGGGGAGCTGTATGCCTGCGCTTGATATTTATGCGCGTCTCACTGGAGATTTGCCAACTCGCTCAAATGTTTCCTATAACAGTTTCTAGCCTTTGTTTGAGAGTGACTGTCTCCTGCACAGCTCGTGGGTTGGATCGGAGCTCTGATGGCGTTGTGCGTGTGTGGATGCAGTGTGTGGAATTGTCGGCGTAGAAAGCCAATTCGAGAAAACGCGGTTGACACATGCAACCAATGAGGGGAGCGACGGGCCGCTCTCAACGAGCGTGACTTTTGACACGTCCTTACGTCATGCACAGCGTTGCGCCTGCCTTGCACGATCAATATTGCGCCCCTCGCCTCGACAGTCTCGTGCGCTGCATTAATTTCAGGCCACGTCTTCTTTGCATCTTCTTCTGTTGGTATTTCTCCTTGCGATTTCTTTCCAAGGCATCTCTCGGTGGTATTGAACACGCGAAGCACGGCTGCCAGACACTGTGCGCGTCGTGACTTCACCCCACCTTCTGCTTGCAGCTTACGATACCCACGATCGCACGGTCTTGCTTCATCGCGACATCGCAACAGCCTCTATGATTTCACCAACTCTCACGACATAACGAACCCTCTCTCTCGACCCCACCAACCCCCCACCACCCCTCGCCGCCCCGACCGGGTTAACGGTCGCCTACCGCCGCCATGCTTGAAGGACTCGTCTCGAACCTTCTCAACCGGTTCTTGGGCATGTATGTCCAGAACTTCGACCCAAAACAACTCAATGTCGGCATCTGGTCTGGTGATGTCAAGCTGCGAAACCTGCAACTTCGCCGCGAAGCTCTCGATCAGCTCCATCTCCCCCTGAACGTGATCGAAGGCCATCTGGGCTCACTTACACTATCCATACCGTGGTCGAACCTGCGGGGCAAGCCGTTGAAGGTTAACATCGAGGATGTGTTTCTGCTGGCAGCACCCAAGGAGGACGCCGACTACGATGCCGATGAGGAAGAGCGACGGGCGCACGCGGTCAAGATGGAGAAGCTCGACAGCGCCGAGCTGCTCAAGGAGCGCAACACAGAAGGCATGAGTGCCGAGGAGGAGCAGAAGAACCAAAGCTTCACGGCTAGCATGGTGACTGCCATTGTGGACAACGTCCAGGTCACAGTCAAGAACATCCACATCCGATACGAAGACTCGATATCCGATCCAGGCCACCCGTTCGCGCTTGGTCTCACACTCGCCGACTTTAGCGCTACTAGCACAGATGAAAACTGGAAGCCCACCTTCATCACGGGCAACTCGACATCCACACATAAGTTGGCGACACTGGGTTCGCTAGCGGTATACTGGGACACGGATGCAGAGCTGATAGGGACTGGCAGAGGCAGTGAAAGCAAAGATGAGCAGCACATTGATCACGACGACTTCATCGAGAAGGTGCGAGGAATGATACCGAGAGGAGATAATCCTGAGCTTGGTGATCATCAGTTCATCCTCAAGCCTATCAGTGGTCGCGCCGGCCTGGAGATGGACAAGACTGGCAAGCCTGATCGACCCAAGATGAAAACACGGCTCCTCTTTGACGAGCTCGGGTTCATCATTGATGAAGACCAATACCGAGACGCACTCATGCTGGTCGACCTATTTCATTACTTCCTCCGACACCAAGAATACAAGAAGCTCCAGCCCAAGTCGACCCCGAAAGAGGATCCCGCTGGATGGCTGAGATTCGCCGGGAACGCTGTTCTCGACAAGATTCACCAACGAAACAGGCAATGGAGTTGGGACTACTTCAAGGAGCGCCGGGACGATCGAGTGCGATACATCGGATTGTTCAAGAAGAAAAAGCGAGAGGAGAAGCTCTCGCCTACTGACACTGAAGATCTTGACAAGCTTGAGCGCAAGCTGAGTTACGAAGATCTTCGTTTCTGGCGCTCGTTAGCGCGGAATCAGTTGCGCAAGGAGAATGTCGGGGTGAAGAAGCCACCTACCAAACAAGGATGGGGCTCTTGGATCATCGGTCGTAAACAAGAAGAACATCATGATGAAGACACTCAGATGAACGAACAGCAGCGCAAAGAGCTGTACGATGCTATCGACTGGGACGAGAAGAAAGCCATCACCGAGGCAGTGGATATGCCTCGAGAGTACGTGAAGATGGAAGTGAATATGAGTCTTCGAACTGGAAGCTTTACACTCAAGCGCGATCCTCACGGAAAGTCAACTGAAATCCTTCGTCTTCTGTTCGATTCTTTCAGCACGCAGTTCCTGCAACGTACAGACTCCATGTTTGTCAAAGTGGCTCTTGAGGGAATGCGCCTCTACGATGGTACGACTGAAGGCAGCCTCTTCCCCCAAATCATCACGATCAAGGATGCCCCGCCCGTGCCCGACGACAAGCGGATCGAAGAGCTCGATGACGACGATTTGCCGAAAGATGAGGAGAAAGAAGATGAGGAAGAAGAAAAGGAGGATCCTTTCTTCCAGCTCTCTTTTGAGAAGAACCCACTTGACAATAGTGCCGACACTGCCCTCACAGTAAAGCTGAAGGGTATGGAGTTTGTTTACAACCCCAGATTCGTAGTCGAGGTGGCGAAATTCTTCAAACCTCCGGAACGACACATGGAATCGATTGGTGCACTTATGGAGACAGCTGGAGCAACTGTTGAAGGCATTCGGCAACAGACACGTGCTGGGTTGGAGTTTGCTCTCACTGAACACAAAACCATCAATGCACAACTGGATCTACAGGCCCCGCTTATCATCATTCCTGACTCTGTCACGAAGAAGTCAAGTAATTGCCTTATTCTCGACGCTGGTCACGCAAGTGTAACGAGTGAGCTTGTCGACAAGGACACCTTACGAGATATTCAGGCCAAACAGCAGCATCAATACACCGACGAGGACTACCACAAACTGGAAAACCTGATGTATGACAAGTTTCTTCTCAAGTTGCATTCGACGCAAGTGCTCATAGGGCCTTCCATTGAGGAGACACGTGCCCAACTAGAGGAAAGTGCCACATCTAAGCACTTCCACATCGTGGACAAAATCAACATGGATTTCAATATTGAGATTTGCATTGTTCCTAAGGGCTCCGATTTGACCAAGTTCCGCGTCTCTGGTAATCTGCCGGTTCTCCATGCGTCAATCTCAGATGCAAAGTACAAGAACTTGATGAAGCTGATTGACGTGGCCATCCCCAAATTTGACAACGACGAGCCGACCAAGGAGGTCATTGAAGGCGCAAAGGGTCCGTCTAACTTGAAGCCGCCTAACGAAGGACTGTCAGACCAAGATGCTCTTGGACGGCCTAGATCGAAGTCCTTTCAATTTTCTGCGCAGGAGCACGAGCTCGTTATGGAAGAAGACGGTGATAGCAAGTCAGACGAGAAGTTTGAAGATGCTCCAGCAGCCGAACGGAAGCAGGACATATTTACTCACCAACGCAACTTTGAGTTCAAGTTCACCGTCGACAAACTTCAAGGCTCGCTGTACAGGTCTGATGCAGAGGGTCGAAAACCTGACCAGCTTCTGGTTGAGTTGATTGCGGAGCACTTTGACCTTGAGTTCTACCAGGAGGCGTTTGAAATGGGCGCTGATGTTCATCTGAGAAGTTTGGCTGTCGAGGATCATGTCGAAGAGAATCCGCTACCAGAGTTCCGGAACATCATGTCATCTGAAGACGCATCCGCGGAAGAACAGAAGGATCTGTTCTCCCTGAAGTTCGTCAAGGTGAACAAAGAATCCCCAGAGTTCCAGACCAAGTTTGAGGGCATAGCTACCAACTTGGACGTTGCAGTGTCAACCATCAATCTCATTGTAACGAGACGGACGCTGCTGACTCTCCTGGATTTTGTTCTCATCACGTTCACCAATCCAGATCAACCCCAGAACCAGCAAGCCCAGGTAGCTGTTCAGCCAGACCAGCAACAGGCCGTCCAGCAGCCCCAAGCCGAGCCTGACAAGATACGTATTCGAGCTGAACTGAAGCGAATCGCGTTGATTTTCAACAATGATGGAATACGCCTTGCCACGCTGAGTTTGAGCTCTGGTGACGTCGGCGTCTTTCTCAACGGCAAGACCATGCGCATTGGTGGACGTCTTGGCAACCTGTCCCTTATCGACGACGTGAACCAGGGCGTTCCTGAAGACTCGTCGCTTCGCCAACTGGTGACTATTGAGGGCAAGAACTTGGCTGACTTCAGTTACGAAACATTCGATTCCGAACTGGAGACTTATCCTGGCTACGACATGGCCGTTGCCTTGAAGACTGGATCTATCAAGATAAACTTCCTCACAGAGCCCTTCCGTAAGATCATGGAGTTCGCAGTAAAGTTTGGCAAGATGCAAGCAATCTTCAATGCAGCACGGCAGGCAGCAGCGAACCAGGCCACTCAGATCCAAGAGCGGGCCTCCAAGTTTCACTTCGATATCACCATCAGTACTCCCATAGTCGTGTTTCCAAGGATGGCATTCTCAGATAGGCCTGAACGTGACACCTTGACAGCGAACCTAGGAGAGATCTACGCGAAGAACACGTTCGTCCCACTCGATGATTCCGAGAGTGCGGATGTGGCGAACAAGTTGTCTGCCGGAATCAGAAACATCAAGCTCACCTCAAATCTTCATTACGATGACAACCGAGTCGAGGAACTTGAGCTCATCGACAAAGTCGATCTCGACTTCAACATCACAATAGTGGAGCACAAGCCCGAGCGGAAACGGCCAGACCTCGAAATTGATGGATCAATGTCTGACATCAATCTGCGACTCAGTCCGGATCAGATGAAATTCGCACTGGAGCTGTCTCGATCAATACCGGAGGCATTTGCAACGCAACCAGATGAGGCTATCGAAGAGGATGTCCAGGCTGAGCTGCCCCGATCGACAACAGTGCCAGCACGGCAGTTGACAGAAACCGAGTCTCCTGATAAAGAACCATCTCGAGACGTGGTTTCGTCACAAGGACCTGAGCTACAGACTGACCGCGACACATGGACGAAGCTGGACTTCGTCTTCAAAGTCGGTTCTATTGGGTTGGAGTTGATTCGCTCTGAAGACGGCGAACCTGTTGGCGATGTTGAGGCTGCTAGCCTTTCCAAATCCTCTCTCAATGAGACGCACGTCAAAGTCCGCATGATCAGCGACGGAGCTCTAGAGGCTGAACTTGTGGTCCAGTCGTTTACTATCCGAGATAGCCGTACGCAAGGGGCGAATAAGTTCCGCAAGATCATGTCTCTCATCAACAACGACGTGAAGCAGCAGTTCATGGCCAGCGTTTCCATCTCAGGCGGGCAGGAGCGAAATCTCATCGCTTTGCTGACAATCGATAGCCCAAGGATTATTGTGGCTCTGGACTATCTGTTCGCGTTGCAGGCCTTTGTAAATGCAGGATTGGCCACGGATGAACCGCTCACTATCGTTGAAGAAACCGAGGACGACGAGACAGATAGCGATTCGGAAATGATGTCGCCGGATGGATCTCGGTCACCCGAAAAGCTACCGGCTGCTCCTGAACCAACGGAAGGAGGAATGAACATCTCGTTCCGAGTCAACCTGGTTGATGCGCAGGTCGTTTTGATCGCGAACCCTGCACTTTCCACTTCAGAAGCCATTGTACTAGGCACAAAGCAAGTACTGGTTTCGAAACAACAAGCAATGACGCTACAAGTCGAAAAGGTTGGCATGTTCCTGTGTCGTATGGACCGCTTCGAGACGCACCGAATGCGCATCCTTGATGACTTCAGCATTCAGACAGCTCTGGACATGCGAAACCAGAGCGGGAAAGCGTCATTGATGAGTATCACTGTTGACATTGAGCCTCTCGTTCTTCGCCTGTCGCTTCGTGATATCCTGTTGGCTATGCAGATTGTCAATCGTGCATCTGCCATGTCTGGGAATGATGAGAGCAAGCTGCCCAGTGCAGAGGCACAGAAACTCAAACCAAATCCGCCTACGAAGAAGCCCAGATCAACGATGGGCAAGACATCTGGTTCAAGGCCTCAAGCGAAGTCCATCGCGAATACCAAGCGATCGGGTGCTGGGGCACAGCTGGAGCCTCCACAACCTGGTTCTGCGGTACTCAAGAGAGAGGAATTACATATCAACATCGAAGGTATTCGCGTTGTCCTCATCGGAGATGTTCACGAGATGCCGATGTTGGACTGGCGGGTAAAGAAATTCGGTGTTGATGTGCGAGATTGGTCGGGAGCTATGGTTGTCGACACGTCCTTGGACACCCTCATCAACGTCTTCAACTTTTCCAAGTCTGCATGGGAGCCTTTGATCGAACCCTGGAGCGTTGGCTTCCACATGGCCAAGGACCAGAACCCTGACAGACTTGCCGTAGATCTCTACTCTCGCAAGTCCATGGAGCTCACAGTTACTGCCGCTACTATTGCCCTAGCCTCGAAGTCCTTCGACTTCCTTACTAGTGACGAGGATATTTTGTCGAAGCCTCGAGGTAGTGACGCACCATACCGCATCCGGAATCACACTGGTTTCAACCTTGATGTCTGGGCCGACGGCAAAGACCAGGAGGGCTATGCGGCGAAGCTGGAAGAAGGTGAAGAGAAACCTTGGCACTTTGAGGACCCTATGTCTACCCGAGAGACATTGTCCACAGATGCTGCGACTGGCATGCTCGGAATCAAGCTCGAAGGAAGTGGATTCGACACTATCCCGCGCATACCTGTACATCGAGAAGGCGAATTCCTGTACAACCTCAAACCCAAGCAAGACCGTGTTCAGCACCGAATTCTCGTGGAAGTAAAGCTTGGCGCGGACAACATCAAGAATATCACCTTCCGCTCGCCCTTGTTGGTGGAAAACAACACCCAGATCCCGATTGAACTTGGCATGTTCAGCCCTGAAGACGGCCATCTTCTAAAGATCGACAAGATAGCTCCCGGCGATGCGAGGCCAGCACCCGTTGGCTCGGTCTACATGCATTCGATCGTGATCCGCCCAGATCAGGGATTCGGATATGCTTGGTCGAATGAGCGTTTGTTCTGGAAAGATTTGCTCAAACGCCCGACACGAACGATAACCTGTCGTGGTGAGCAAGATGAGCAGGCTCCACCTTTCTATTTCCAGATGCATGCTGCGTATGACAAGAAAGATCCTCTGACTGGCGTGTACCCGTACATGCGCCTCCGTCTACAGGCACCAGTTGAAGTCCACAACCTATTGCCATACGACTTCAAGTACAGGATATACGATAGCAACACGAAGAAAGATTGGACGAATTTCCTAAGAAAGGGAGGCATCAGCCCGGTCCATGTGGTCGAGCTTTCACACCTTCTGCTCATCAGTGTTGAAATGCAAGATGGTCCTTTCAAACCCAGCAAATTTGGCATTATCAACTCAACCGATCGAGAAAGCTTCAGACGGGAGAAGAAACTGGAAGTCAAGGATGACAACGACACGACCTTGCACCTCAATATGCACTTCTTGTAAGTTCGAACAGACTTGATTTTCGGATAACACACTAATATCACCAGCAACTATCCCGACGGCGGTGGCGCATTCAAGGTCGCAATATTCAGTCCCTACATCGTCCTCAACCGCACTGGTCTTGAGCTCAGTCTCCGGTCCCAGCAAGGACAAGGAGCCTTCTCGGGTCCACCCAGCGAGGCTGGCAAGACCATGCCGTTCATGTTCTCTTATCCTTCGGAGAACAAGAAGAACCGTGCTCTGATCAAGGCCGGAGATTCTAGCTGGAGCAAGCCGCAGAGTCTCGATGCGATTGGAAGCAGTTACACAGTAGCCTTACCGTCCACCAAGTCACGATCAGACATGCATATCGGCGTCGGGGTTTCGGAAGGCGAGGGCAAGTATAACCTAACCAAGGTTGTGTCTATCACTCCGCGCTTCATCGTCAAGAATAAGGTCAAGGAGGAGCTGCTCATCCGCGAGCCTGGTCAGTCTGATTGGTTGACGCTAACGGATGGCGAGCTTTTCCCTCTGCGATGGCTTCGACAAGGAGGATCGCCACAGTTGTCTCTTTGCTATCCTGGCGTCAACAACCAATGGTCCTCTCCGTTCCACATCTCGAACGTTGGTACCAACCATGTCAAGTTATCTAAGACCGGCCAGCGTCAGAAGCTCATCCGTGTCGATATCCTGATGGAACAAGCAACAATTTTCATCCACATCAGCGTCGAGACAAAGCACTGGCCGTTCTCGTTCAAGAACATGAGCGACCAAGAGTTCTTGTACTGGCAACAAAACCCCAATCTCGACGAGGATGAAGACGACCGCGGCTCCGGATTCCGACCGATCAGATATCGCCTGCCTCCAAGGAGTATCATGCCGTACGCGTGGGACTTCCCGGCAGCGAAGAACAAGGAGATTATCTTGAGCGCCAATGGAAGGGAGCGACACGTCAAACTTGCTGAGATTGGCCCCTTGATCCCGTTCAAGATTCCTCCCGGCCAAGAGGGCGGTGGCATGAAGGTGATCGATCTCAACGTCGTGGCGGCAGGTCCGACCCAGACGCTGGAGGTATCAAACTACAAGCCATCCAAGAGCTTGTACAAGCAGAAGTCAGGCATGGCGTCATCTGCAACGACAGGTTTCGAAGTGAAGGAGATGGACACAGATGTGACGTTCAAAGCTCAATTGCGACTCGCAGGAATTGGCGTTTCGCTCGTCAACCGTCATCTACGCGAACTGGTATACGTCACACTGCGCGACATCGAATTCAAATACTCCGACTCGGCACTATACCAGATGGTGAACATGCAGGTCAAATGGATACAGATCGACAACCAGCTCTATGGCGGCATTTTCCCCATCATTTTCTATCCTAGTGTAGTGCCCAAGACGGGCAAAGAGATGGAGGCACATCCAATCATCCAAACCAGCGTCACTCGTGTCAAGGACGATTCATACGGTGTGTTGTACATCAAGTACTTCACGATTCTCCTACAGCAGATGACACTTGAGATTGACGAGGACTTCATCTTTGCTATGATCGATTTCGCCAAGATTCCTGGCGCTTCTTGGTCGGAGGAGAAGGAAGGCAAGCTGTGGGATGACAGCCTCGACCTCCCCGAGCCCACACAGGAGCAGTCCGGCCAGGATGTCTACTTCGAGCTCCTTCATCTCCAGCCTATGCAGATTGATCTTTCGTTCGTTCGAACAGAACGTATCAACGCCGAAGACACCATGACCACATCGAACCCTTTCATGTTTGCGGTCAATGTTCTCACCATGTCTATTGGTAACGTAAACGATGCACCCGTGCGGTACAACGCCCTGATGTTGGAGAATGCGCGAATCTCAACCACCGCGCTGGCAAGCAATATCCAGAACCACTACGTACAGGAGTCACTCCGACAAGTTCACGTCATCATCGGCTCTGCCGACTTCCTCGGAAACCCAGTTGGCCTCTTTACTAACATCAGCTCTGGTGTTGCCGACATCTTCTACGAACCGTACCAGGGTCTTGTCAAATCCGATCGCCCAGAAGAGCTTGGTATCGGAATCGCGAAGGGCGCGTCAAGCTTCGTCAAGAAATCTGTCTTCGGCTTCTCGGACAGCATGGCCAAGTTCACAGGCAGCATGTCGAAGGGTCTTTCCGCAGCAACTCTGGACAAAGAGTTCCAAGATCAGCGCCGCAACACGCGGTCGCGAAACAGGCCTAAGCATGCTCTATATGGAATCACGGCTGGCGGCAATGCTTTCGCCAGCAGTCTGGCCAGTGGTCTTGGAGGCCTCGCGCGCCACCCCATCCAAGGTGCTGAAAAGGAAGGCGCATTCGGTTTTGTTAAGGGTGTAGGCAAGGGTCTTCTTGGAGTGCCTACTAAAGCTGCAATCGGCGCTTTTGACCTCGCCTCCAACATGGCCGAAGGTGTACGCAACACAACCACTGTCTTCGACCAAGAAGGGCTCGATCGTGTGCGTCTGACACGCTTCATCGGTACCGACGGTATTGTACGCCCGTACTCGCAACGTGAAGCTCTCGGTCAATTCTGGCTCAAGACCCTAGACAATGGCAAGTACTTCAACGAAGACTACATTGCGCACTTGGAGATACAGGGCAAGGACATGCTCGTCATACTCACATACAATGGGGTCATGATGGTGCGGGCAAAGAAGTTGCAGACAGAGTGGGATGTGCCGCTCAAGGATGTGCAGACTATCAGCAAGGAGCGGACAGGCCTGGCGATTACACTGAAGGGGGGAACGAACGGACCATTCATCCCTGTGGGAGATGAAGAGAGTAGGAATTGGTTCTATCGACAGGTCGCTGTTGGCGTGAATGCGTATAACGACAAATGGAATGCGAAAGGCTAAGGGGTAGAGTAGAGGTTTGGTGTGGAAGGGAAAAGGGATGGAAATACGGGTGGCGCAACATTGGCACAGACTGTCACACTCTCCTACTAGTTCTAATGTATATTTTTCACTGTTCATTGTGGTCTCTTGGACGATGGATATTGGCTGTGTGCTCCCTGATACAAGTGATGTGAAGTCGTTAAGCTGCGCCTCTATTGCCTCGCGGACGTCGATGGCGAAATCCAATGTTTCAGTAACCAAGCCGCAAAACTCATGACGCGGCGGTTGAGCAAAGCATCGCCTGTCGGACTTTCGGAGTGCGCATCGCAGACTCAGCTTTGAAGGGCTTGGTAGCATATGTCATGATGGAGAGATTGTGGCTATGGGGGCGGATAGATTCTGACGTGCGAACCGCCAAAATCAACATGGTGAAACCAAGTACCGCTGCTGATCAAATTATAGAACATGATACAATTAAAAGCGTTTGTGTACATGGAGCATACGCAGAATGTTGTGTACTTGTGTGTTGTTGGACATTCCAACGCTTGGCATGACACGAGCGCTTCTATGGGCGGCTGCCATGTATCTATATCGAGACCCCAGATCCGTGCGAGGCGCGCGCGGGGAATTAGTAGCGATTGCGACGCAGAGCCTCATGGAGCGCTTGGGTTAGGGCGAGCAGCTTGTTTGGCAAGCCGTGGATCAGCGGAAATGGACAATGTGTGGATGGTAAGGTTTTGTGGAGATTTGCAGTTCGTCGAGGACGAGAGAAAGTTCGACGTCGAACAAAGGAGGGTTACTGGAGTCGGACAGTCCGAGACATGATTTGATTTCGCAGAGTAGGCTTGACGGGCCATTCAGGTTGCAGATGTCTCAAAGACTTGCAACCTTCTAGAATGTGGATGGGGCATGGAGGCCGTCGTGTGATTGGTGCTGGTGGGCGAGGCGCAGCATGTGTTGAAAGACGAGGCACACGTGCTAATTGGTGAACCATATTTCGCGAATTTGCAACTTGTTGCGAGGTTAGTTGGGTGTTAGCGTACCGGTACTGATGACATGGCAGCTGCCATGTGTTTAGAGTCATTCGTGCTCTCGGCCAAACAGGCTGGTCATCTGCAGGTGGTTGAAACATGTCGTGTTGATCGTGGTGGGGCTGCCGAGCTTCGCGCAAGACGTGGGCAATCGTCCCGAGAAAAACGTGTTCCTCGTGTCACAGACTCGACAGTCTGGGAGAGACTACCGCATTATCTGGTGAAATTGCGCGGTGCTAGGCTTGAATAGGCAGGCAGCTAAGCTCTAATCAGGTTACTAAACATGAACTGCTAAGCAACGTTAATCTATTATTACATACGTATACATCTATATAGCCTAAAATTACTACTATTTAAATACTACTTTATACCTGTAATACTGTTTATAAGCTTCTGTGTGTATACCTACAGTTTTAGCGTTATTGTAGGCGTTTTAGGCGGGATTTAAAGAAGTTAAGATACTTAAAATTACAGTAACTACTGCCTATCTAGGTATTAAGCTCTACTATTTTATAGAATATTTTATTAAGATCTATAGACTTAGCTAATTACTTACTTAGCTGTTATACTATTCTATCTATTCTGTCTATCTCTATTATAATACTACGCTCTACTACTGTCTTTATTATAGCTAAGGCTTTTAGGCAAGGTATAAACTATTATAAACTTATAGTAAAAAAATTACTATTAAGTTAGCTACCTTTTTAGTTAAGATATAAAGATTTAGGAGTTTTAATATAAGACTAAGTACTTTAAAGTTCTATTATAAGCCTTAGTGCTAGAGTTAGAGTTTAATAATTTTAAATAGCTATCTTAACTCTATTTATAATACTAATTAATACTTAACCTTACGCCTAAACTTAGCTTATATAAACTTAAACTTAGAGCTATTATTTACGTAGCAGTAAGATAAGTTAGTAAAGCCTACGCCCTTAGTAAATTACTTTAGAGCAGTATAAATTTATACTAATTTAGCTAGATTTTTATATAGTTAAAAGCTTTAAAACCTTATAGTAACTCTATAAGTTTAACTAGCTTTATACCTTACTTTACTTACTCTACTAAGCTTACTCTTTAGTGTTATATAACTCTAGTAGCTTAATAAGCTTAGCCTTCTATATTAGTAGGCCTTTTAAGCTACGCTGTTTAAGGTTTTCTTATAAGTTTAGTATAGTTTATGCCTCTAGGTTTATTAGGTGTTTAGGCCTCCTTATTATAGACTTTCTTTTAGGCTAGGTAACTTTGTTAGCGCTTTATAAACTTAACTTATATAGTATATACTAACTACTTTTACTTTTTAGAAACTTCTATTTAACCTCTTTATCTAATATAAACTTACTTTCTGTATTATTATTATTCTATCTAACTACTACTTATAAGGCCTCTAATACTGTAAGCTTTATTAAATAATTATCTATTTTAGACTATTAGCTATTAAAGCTTACTTACTTAAGATTCTTAATCTTAAGCTTACTATTATATAAGCTATTAACTAGTAATAAGATTCTATATTATTAAAATAATTATACTATAAGCTTAGGCTTAAGAGCCTTTTAAGCTTTACTAATAGTATAAGTTATAAGCCTTTATTAGCGCTAAAAAGGCTAGTTTTTAATTAACTTTATCTTACTAAGGCTTTTCTTAATAGTAGTAAGAGCTTTAGTCTAGTACTATAATAATACCTTAAAAGCTTAATTAACTATAGTATTAAGTAGTTAAATAAGAAATATATAGCTAAAAAGAATAATAGTAAGTAACGTCTAATTTACGTAAAGTAAGTTAAGTACCTTATTAGTTTAATAAAAGCTTACCTAGTCTAATATAAGTAGAAAATTACGCCTATTAGTAAACTAGAGAAGTATAAACTTATTCTTTAATTAGCTTAGAAGACTCTTCTTATTATTATATACCTTGTTATTAAACTCTACTGTTACTGCGTTACTATATATAAAATCTTCTTAATTTTTAAGGTCTTCTTTAGTAGATTTATAGAAGATTATTTTTAGCTTTATAGGCTTAAAGCTGTTAGTAAATATATATAGTATTAACGTAGCTTAACGCTTGCCTTATTCTAATTTAATACTATACCTAAAGATAGTATAATTACTAGTAGAAGTATAAGTATAGCTATCTAAATACTTAAATAGAATTAGAGTCTTATCTATATTTAAGATATAAGTAACTAGGTACTTATTACTGCCTATTTTAGCCTATAAATACTATCTAATAAACCTTAGAAAAGAATTAATAATACTAACCTAATTAGCTAGAAGCTTTTAAGCTTAATTTATTAGCCTTCTATAAAAAATACTTTATTATTTTTTAAATTTATTAAACTACCTCTAAGTAAAGGAAAACTTAAGCTTAACGTTATATACCTTCTAGAACAACTATTAGACTGTACGCTAAAGCTACCTATTAGAAATAAGCTAATTTTATAAGCATTATTAAATAAAATATTAATATAACGCCTCTTCTAGAGCTAGCTAATAGAGGCTAGAGTTTAAAACCTAGACCTAATAACTACGTTTTAAAGCTTCTATAATAGTAGCTTATTACTACTACTATCTTCTAATTGTCTAATATAGGATTCTTATAAGTCTCTTAATCTCCTTATTATTTAGAAGTTAATAATTACCCTTTATTATATACCTCTAATATACTTTTAGTAAGGTAAAGTAATCTACAACCTAATTAGCACAATTATTAATTAATTAATAGACGTTAATCTTTTTCTCTTAGGATATTATTTTATAGGCTTTTAAGGGCGTTATATACTAATTACTTCTTTTAGCTAGTAGCTTTATTAATAGCCTAGTCCTTCTCTATTTTAGTAGTAACTGTATATTTAAATCTAGCTCTGTCCTAAACTTATATTTTATTAACTTAGGTAGTTTACTTAGGGGCTTACTAGTAAATACTTCTTTAAAGGCAGTAAAGTACTACTTATTTTATAGGTTAAATAATTATTACTACTCTTATAAATTATTATTAGGTAGTATATAAGATAATATAGCTAACTTAATGCTTTTAATATAATACTAACCCTGTAACTTAAGGTCCTGTATAGGTAGTAAACTACTGCTACTATTTTCTTAGTATACAGCTTCTCTATTAATATAGTACTACTAAGCTAGTAGAAGTAGCGTTACTAGTAATAGTAGTAGTAATGTTAGGGTATAGTATTTACCTTAATTAATCTTCTGTAAGTAGGCTAGATATAGATAAATACTAAATTTAAGTATCTTTCTACTCTTTTAAGGTATTATAAATGTATTAAGCTAATAAATTTAGCGTATAACTGCACTTCTACAACGTCCTTAAGTTTGAAACTAATGCTAAGTAATACCCCTTTGTATTAGGAGAACTTTTAATTTATCTAATTAGAGCTTAGCTGCCTGCCTATTCAAGCCTAGCACCGCGCAATTTCACCAGATAATGCGGTAGACGAGGGTTCTGTGTTTGCAGTAGATCCCAGCGTAGTCTTGGTGGCTGGGAGTTGCGGAGATGCACTTGCACGAAATGTGGCGAGACGGGCCGGACGAGAGGCTGAGCTTCACTTGTCACCCACCACCCAAGAGTCGCTTTGCCCAGTCTATACGCGGCCGTGAAGGCGAAAGTGCTTTTCCTTCCGAATGCGGGAGGCGGCGACGCATCGCCTGCCCTCGCGGCCGCTGTCTCGTCGGCATTGCATGGAGGCTGGGCCCATTTGCATGCGCTCCGGGGTCTTGGCCACAGTGCTGGCAATTGTCATGCTGGCAACAGCCGTTTATGCAGAGTTGGGTCCGGTGGCAGGATAGCTTGCTCAGTTATATGGTAACAGGTGCTGCTCCTGCGTTGTCTGGCTCCACTACCAGCACACCGCCTCGTCTTTCGTTCCCAACGTGACCCAACCGGCCAGCAGATCTTCGTTGGAAACCGGCCACTTTGCAGCACTACATATCCGTCACCAGTCCCCGCAGTCCAAGAAGCCTGCAGTAACAACAAACATCGCTGGCGATCTTGCCCATCCACTCGCCTCCACCACTCCTCTCCCACAGCCCGCGAGTACAGCAGCGAGCGGCTCAAACACCAGCGACCGCCTACGAAACGCGATCCGGGACTAGAACCATTGGCTGACAGCCGCTCTCGCTCTGAAACACGCCTATTCCTGGGGTTCTGCAGCGTCCCAATCTTCGAGCAGCCAAAGCTAGCCATACGCCGCTGTTGGCGAGCCGCGCTAAGTAGTCATCCTACACCACGGCGCCCTTGATTGGATCCCGTGCGCAGCCGCCGAACGCACCAACCGTTGGAAGAACGGCCTCGAGGAAGATAAATACACCCTCTGCCGCCGGGAGTACTTGTTCTGGTCAGTGCAAATCTTCACCTCCTCTTCGCATCCTTCTTTCCTTGTTCGCAGCAGGCACTGCCAGTCTCATCCTTCCCGACCACCTCCCGCATTTCCATTGGCAGCGCCAACTTCACTTTCCCTCGCAAAAAGTTCTTCCCAGCCCATCGCTTTCCTCGCTTGCAATACTACAATTGCAACTTCCGCCGGACGGACTTCCACAGCCTTTTCTTAATATCAACTGTCGCCTTGTGTTTCAACCTTGCCGTCTTCTGCATCTCCAAGCCACCACAGCCTTGGACACTTTGCTCACACACACTCAACAGACCGGACTACTTGCTGTGCTTGTATTCCGCCTCGCAGGCTTAATCCTATTCGAGAGCCATCGTTGGACGACAGTATTCCTACTGCATATCGACCCCGCTATCATTCTTCTATACAACTGAAGAGACCCTCTTTACAACCTACATCTACTCATCAACCACATCACCGCCACTCACAATGCCTTACTCAGCAAACCTTGCCAGCCAGAATGAGGCTGCCCTCGACCACTTCATCCAGATGCCAGTATCCCAGGACATGATCTCATACCTTGCATCGAGAGCATCACAAGTCATCCGCTGCGAGCCATCATTGAACAAGAACCTGCCACCCACCCCTCCTACTACCCCTCCTCAGCATGCTGCGTCTCACATCAGGGAAACTCCCCTTCCATCGCTCGAGGAATTCATCACATCGCTTGTCGAGAGGTCACACGTGCAGGTCTCCACCCTGATGTCTTCGCTTGTGTACCTTTCTCGGCTTCGGAGCCGTCTTCCTCCTGTCGCCAAGGGAATGCCCTGCACTGTCCACCGTATCTTCCTTGCGTCCCTCATCCTTGCGGCTAAGAACCTGAACGACTCGTCGCCCAAGAACAAGCACTGGGCCCGATACACCGCGTGCCGAGGATACGAGAGCTTTGGCTTTTCGATTACAGTAAGCTCCACTCCAATCACCCTTTCAGTATCACAACGCTAATTCACAATTTAGGAGGTCAACCTGATGGAGAAGCAGCTCTTGTTCCTTTTGGACTGGGATCTCCGCATCAACCCAGAGGACCTTTACTACCACCTCGAACCTTTCCTAGCTCCCATCCGTGTTTACCAGGCACGAAAGGCTGAGCAGGCGAGAGCCGCTGAGCAGAAGTCTCGCTCGCGCCTTGATGTCTCGTACCAGTCCGCGCCCTACTCTTCGTACTCGAGCCACCCGTCGTCTCGTGAGGCATCGCGAACACCGTCATTGTCGCCACCTACGCGTAGCTCCTCTGCGTCCAGTGCTTCCGACTCCCCCGACAGCTTCAGTGACTACGACGCGGGCCAGAACGCCCACCTTGTACATATCCAACACTCGCTCCCATTGTATGAGGACAAGCCGTCGAAGAAGGCGAAAACCTCGGGCGGATTCTTCAACAGAATGTTCGGCGCGGCCCCTGTAAACGGCCCATACCGCCAACAGTCCTATTAATGCACTCTTTACCACTTTACATTACGATTTTCTTTTTGTTGCATCATAGCTCGTTTGCATCTCACGAAGAGAACGGAGGAACACGGACATTGGTTCCGAGGAACCCCTCACAGGATGAGGCCACCGCATTTATCAGGTGTTTGGGATATATAGGACATAGCATTTGCACACGGCGTCGGCAAGAGCCAGGATCTTACGATTTATTTTCGTTTCTTTTTTAGTTTCCCTCATCAAATATCGGCCCATACGGCTTTGATATCCCGGAGTAGTTAGACATGTTATCTGCCCTTTCCTCAAAGGTGCTGATGCGAGTAATGAATAACAAATTTTCAAATCTCCCGTTTCCTGTTTGGCGCTGCTCGCTTCCTCCCGCTGTCTCCGTGTAATTACCGACTTAACGGCTATCATCGAGTTTGATCCTGCGAACAGTGTGTTCTTGAGTGGTTGACTCGCGGAGATAGTTCTGTCGAACATGGCTGTACAGGATCATCGCCTCTGTCGGCCTTGTCTGTATGTCTCCTCACCGACCGAATGCGCAGCCCCTTCCGTCACGCATTCGCACCCAACAAACTGCGCCATAATACACACATACGCAGACTTACATGACACGGCAGAGAAAACCCGCACCCACCTTCCTTGAGTGGTGAGCACATAGCGATGCGCAACGCAGGGGCGCACCGGAAGCGTGGTTTGGAGTTGATCTGGCGTTTCAGGCCAGCGCTTACTGTTTTGGTGTTTTCGGGCCTCGGCGAGATGATTGGTGGGGAATTGATTGCAGATGGGGGCAGGGCAAACCGTCGACAATCTTCTGCCGTCGTGGCCTTCTGCTCCTCATGACCTGATGACAGCTGTTATTGTTGTTGTTGTTTCGCTCCAGTGGCGAAGTGCATGCGTACTTGGGCGGATTTCTACAGAGGAAGGGGATGTGGAGACGGCTTTGGAGGGGTGGGGCAGGGATTCGTTAACTACTCACAGATATCGGAGGCTTTCAGAAACGACCAACTAGTCAATAACACATCACACAGAGCATCAGAAAACTACGAGTCGGCCTTGTTCTGATCAGAATTTATCATAAGGCACACACTTGTCACACTTACACCGACTTGGGCGTTGTACAGAATTGTTCCTCATCTTACACATCATGCAGTACGTTCCGTACCTGGTGACTACAAAATGCCTTTGCATGCATCGGTGTCAACGCCATGAACCATTCCGATAGCCAAAGCCTTTTCTCATTTCCACAGACTTTAATGCAAGGCCCTCTTCTCCGGGTATTTACGACATTCCGAGCAGACGGTCCAGATCGAGGCCTCGGTATCAGTGTCGTACAGTGTTCAGTTCTCCAAAGCTATCTGGCAACCAAAGCCAAATGTAGTCTTTTGATTTCCGAATTTCCTGCTTGATCCTCGCCAACCAGACGCATGACCAAACAGTGCTCTTATTGACATGGACTTTCGTCGTGGCTTGACGTCGCTGTTGAGTACTTGAAACTCAGGATACACCAAGTAGTCATTATTCATCATCGGCTTGGTCTCTAGGTTGATAGGACGGCTACCATTCATCCCAAGCGATGTTGTTGATGCTCCCGATATCGACTGGATATCGGGGCCTTATAGCCCGTTGGTGAGACTTGTGGTAAGGGTACTCGGTGGACTTGGTTGTTGCTGGTTCTTGTCACATCCTCACTAATTTGCTATAAGTAATATTTAGTTTGTTTACAAAGCCAATCCTGGAGGTCAGCCAGATAGGACCAGTGTGTACGCGCAGCATGGAGTGCATGTTCGATAACGTATAGACTCAGTTCTGTGCGTCTACGTGAGACGAATACCTATAAATAAGCAGCGACGATGAGAAATGCATGGACCGTGGAACGATGAAGAGTATAAGAATGAAGCAAACGCAAATACTTAGAAGGCCCACATCTATATGAAATTGTGTAGCCTAAAGTATGCGAGATATGTTTAAAGTCTCTGAACAACATCGTGATGGTGTGATCATCCCCCGATATGTCAAACGCCATCCATCCCTGTGGACACCCGGGATATACCATCTACATGAGACCAAACGCCAATCAAGATAAACACACAGACAAAACAAACATCAACCCCACACAATCAAGCGATCCATCTCCTCCCCATCTTCCCCACCATTTCATTCACGCTAGCCATCTGAGCATCACGCTCTATATCCTCCATCCTCTGCCTCTCAACATCATCTACCAAACTCTTTCCCTTCCTCTCCCTATCCAGAATATCATCCTTCCTCCGTTTCTGCTCAACCTGTCTATTCCACTCCTGCTGCTGAATATGCCTCGCCTGCTCGTTCCCAACCTCCTGCTCATGCAACCACACACCCTTATTATCCTGGAAAACCTCTTGCAGCTGCGACACGGAGCCACACACGCCGTCGATCTCACCCCACGGAAACCACGTCTGCTCTTCGGCAGTCCACACGCCACCACGCCCGCCGCGCGTGTCCCAGGCCCGGTCGCCGCCTACAAGCGAGTTGTGGTACCCGTTGGCTGACTGCGGCGTGCGGAAGTAGTTTCGAAGGAGCGCGCGTTTGTAGTGTGAGTACCACATCGTGTTCCAGCTTGGGTTTATGGTGGATGTGTCCTTGTGAGTAATGGTAGGGCTGTTGAGGACGACAGCGGGGATGGCGCCAGTGTATGTGTTCTGGAGGAGGGGGACGTTGGCCCACGGCGTGTGGCGGTCGGGTAGAGTGTCGATGTTGAGATTGTAGTCCAGTTTGTCGATGTAGGCGGGCTTGTCGTTTGGTGAAGGGTTGTGCAGGTGAGGATCAGACCGCCAGAAGGGTGCCTGTGCTTGGCTGAGCGCAGGGGGTAAGGAAAGATGCGGCGTCAGAGTGTTCGGATGACGGTACTGTGAGAGATCCGTCGTGTTGTCGTGCGTCAAGGCGACGAGCTCGTTCTGAGCGCGGTAGATGACTGGCTGGAAAAGCGTGTGCGTGTAGTCGAGGCCCATCGAGTACTCGTGCTGCTGAGTGACATTTGTGGTCTCTGGTCTTTGCTCGCCTGTCCACTTCGCCTCTACACCCAAGAACTTCCGTAGTTTCGTGCCTTTCTCCTTTTCTGCTGCGTCTCTTCCAAGTTGTTGCTCTCCGAACAAAGTTGCAAACACGGACTGAATCGTCTGGTCCTGGCCGTCCTCCCCGAGGAACTTTGCCACAGCAGCCCTATACATTACCCTCAAGTCTTTCGCTGGTCCCATAATTGTCTGCGAGCTCAAGTACTTCGCTGGCATATCCCTGACCCTACCGTCTGTATCTTTTCCATACAGGTCGAAGGCAACAGGATTAGGGGGCGCATATTGGCAGGCCATATCCCCCCCTTCACACCTCTTCATTGCGCCGAAGACGATTGTTTGGTTGAATCTATTCGTGCTGTACTTCTTCCGCAGCCGGGCATTCGCATCTTCCAGCACACTCTCGTACTGCTTGATCATCACGATGCTAGGGAGTTGGAACCAAGAGTTCTGGCCATCTACAATAAGCACTAGGTCCTCATCGTGTACTAGCTTGTCGTTGTCGAGGTAGTTCTGGATGTGGAATAAAGTGGCATTATCCCTTTGAAAGTCATTCTCGAACGTCTTGTGCATGTTGATCGCACTCGGCGGAGGATAGTTTAGCAGCATTGCAGATAACGTTGTCTTGCAGAAATCATTGGAGTCCTTCTCGGATGGCATTATCAAAAGGTGGAAGTTGGGAGTGGTCTTCTTGAGCGCTGTAGGTACACGGTCGATTTCGCCATTCTCGAGCTGTAGCGTCGTGTTCGAGGGTTGGAATGGCGTGTGTACACTGGGAAGATGCTGTCGCCACCCGTAACTTGACGATAGAGTGTGGTATTTTGAGGATAACGCCTGATGATGCATGAGCTATATGCTTGGAGTATTTACCCAAATACGTCTATTTAGTTCTGGAGAGAGAGAGAACTCACCTCGTGATGCCTCATAGTCCCGAGCATTACCACGATGAACAAAGCCATCAAAACCAGCATCCTCCCTCTTCTCGTACATCTTGTCCATTGGACCACAGCGTTTCCAAGGTCCGCCGGCGATCGTCTTGGTGACATAGGTATAGTCTGCATCGTATCGTCGACTACGCCAACGCTTGTCACGACGGCTAAGAAGGCTGGATGAGTAGATGGCCCGTCTTGTCGTTTTCAAAAAAGACAGATGTGGGGAGACAATCGACACGGTGTGCCCGCTCTTTCTCACAATTGCATTTGTGCGTTCCCAGCTAACGCAAGGCACAAAGAACCCTCTCTCCGGCTATTTGGAAACCGACCTTTTGCAGTCCTTTGTACTCGATTCGGTGTGATCGGCGGGTGGACGTGTAACACGCGCGTACTACTTTGCGGGGTACGATGAATGGAAAGAAAAATATACAAAACGAGTGTGTTATTGCAAGATGGGGGAGCAGAAAAGAAAGAGGCCACGCTGGAAACCGCGTACTGCAAGCAATATTTCCAATAATACCTCTGATGGTTCAGCTCTTTCATGTTTGTTCTAGTTCCAACACAAAGAATCAGCCACGCCGCGTAACGTCAGCTAGTCGAAACGCCGCTAAGCACTATCCTTCACAGCTTTCACACTTGCCGCGCAAGACTCCAAATTGGTGAGTCGCGAAAGTTGCTCATGGTGTTGATCTGATATTCTGCCGGCAAGCCTATGATTATACTTTTTCTTTCCAATCCCCAAGAGAGTGGCAAACCTCAACTGGAATTGTATGGTTCAAGACCGTATTCATAAGTTCGTGACGTACCCCCAACAGTCTCGAATTCTAGACCCGGGCGCTAAAGCTTAGATCGAACGACGATCCTGGGGCTCCGGAGAGGTGCCCGCAACCTATAAAGCTTGTTTAAGCCGCCACGAGGGGATGCATGGCGTGGACATGGGATATCAGCTCTGCAAGGAATAGGGGCGGAGTCGTTGCATGGCGCTTCACTCCGCATCTAGGGGAATTTACTAGTTTCGTCAGATACGAGGTAAAACCAAGTGCCTTTTGAACACTACCATCTGTGCCCAGATCGAGTTACACAAAAGTATAAAACTAGGGCTGGCTGCTAAGGCTACGAGCGTGGAAGTATTTGACATACGGCTGTCTTTCTAAAGTGATGTTGCCTTGCTATGTATACTATGACGTATCCAACACGCATTGCAAAGTGCATTTCCAAATCTCAAGCTGCACCGGGGTATCTGTGCCTTGTCCGTACACAAAAAGGCCGTCACCATCTCAATACACATGTCTCCTACTTTTTCCTCAACGACAATGGCGTGAACCTGTTATCCAGTCTGTAAAGACCCTCCTCAGACGACGTAGTGTAGATACTCGAAGCTGTCGTCCTGGTTGAACAGCTCGCAGGTGTGTTGACAGGATCCACCGGAACACGGAATGCGAACGATCCGAGAGCCTTTTGCAGAAAGCTTCCAAGTGCGTGCCCGGAGTATTTCCTCCTTCTGATCTGAGGACTCACGTTCCCATGACTGTCCTCGCCAAGTGGCTCGATAGCTCTAACAACACGTCAATCCAACAGTCATACATCTTGAGCTTAGCTTTGAGGTAGATACAACTTTATGGTTTTGTTGCGGACCTCCTCGCACTGCCCTAGAGCTTGGATATGCTTCCCCTGTGCGACTCCCCAGGTCGTGATCACGGCCTCGTCTTCCCGCATTCTGTCCATGTAGCTCGCGAATCCGAGTTTCTTTGTTGTTTCGCCGCGACTACGGACAAAGTGATCATCCAAGTCTTGAAGCTGCACGTTTCTTGCATTGAAGTGAGTAGCAATGGCTTTGCTGAGCTGCATGTACGATTTGACGTATCTCTCAAACTGAATGAAGTACACGTCAGTGGATTCGCGATCCAGTTTCGACGGAGGACGAGGAGCTGCAGGGATGTCTGGAAACTTCAGGCTTTGTGCGCTGCTCGGCTTTGTGGGATGGGCGCTGGAGGCCTGTGACTTGTGGGGAAGTGAGTCGCCGAGATCACCCATGTCGAGGCCGCCATTCTGAGTGGATACAAAAGGCTCAACCTTTGCCATGCCTTCGACACTGCTCAGTCCAAACCCAGGAAGTGCGGCAGCAACAAACGCAGAGGCGTTGGCAGAGCTAGTCGGCACTGTTTCCTTGGTGGCACCACTCGGGCTGAAGCCAGGAAGTGCAGCGGCAACGAAAGAAGGGGTCTGAGCGGAGCCCTTTGACACTGGTACCGTTGTGGGTGTTGCTTGAGTTCTTGAATTCGAGGGGTTTCTGCTTGGGGCAGGTGGTGTACTCGAATCGATGTCCATTGCATCGGCGTCCTCGGTAAACGCCTGATATTTTGTGCGTGAAGGATCAGCCTGATCTTGCGGCTTCGAACCGCTACTGTGGGGCACGGACGACTTCCGCGCAGCTTTTTGTCGCTTCGTAGATTCAGACGCACGACGAGGTTCAGCTCCTAGAACCCAGGATGCCTCTTTGAATGACTCTTTCCATGCCTGTGGGCTGAACGTTGTAGGATGGGCTGCGGCTGCGGCTGCAGCTGCAGACTCGGAGGACGGAAAGAAGGAAGCTTTAGGCGGAGGCCCAGGAGGCGGTGGAGGGAAGTAGGGCTGAGAGAAGGTAGAGACAGGAGGAGGGTTCGTTGGTTGGCTAGAAGACGGTGTCTTCTCTGGAGCCGGTCGATGGGACGGCTTGCTCCGAGTTGGAGAAGTGCGGCCTTTGTTGTTGGACGCTTTTGGCATGCTGGGAGCTTTTGGTATGTTGGGAGCAAAGTAATCAGCACTGCCTTCGAACTTGCCGTGCCAATCCGAGGGTGAGAACTTCATATTGATGCTCTCCTCGCTCCTACTTTTGAAGGGATTGGGAGCGTTCCCTGGCCCACCGCTGGTCTGTCGACTTGGCTGCGGGGTGCAGAAAGCTCCCTGGCTCCAAGCTGGTTGGGACTTTTGCGGAGGCGGGGGCGGTGGTGGTGGGGGACCTCGGTGCTTTGTGCTTGTGTGGATGACGTCTGGCTCGGACTCTTCGTCACTCGAGTCTGGGTAGGGGAAGGGGAACGGCTTGGTGGACTTGCCACTGTAGGAATTGCGCTGCTGGCGTCGTCCCGAGTCCGAGTACGAGCCGGCTTCTGCGGATGGGCTGGGACGGTGGGAGTGGTTGGGCGAGTTGCGCACGCTAGCCGATCTGTTGATGCTTTCAAACATGGACGTCCGCTCTCCCGCTGCGTTGGAGTAGTAGGGCGTCCGGGTGCGGTTAGCCTCCGAGTACGGCACCTCGTTGTTCTGCGCGTCCCTCATGGGCGAGGGCGGAGTTTGGGCAGGGCGTGCATAGCTGGAGCGGTATGCGGAGCGGGCCTGGCCCTCGTCGGCGCCGGGAGTGCCTGGATCGAAGCCCCTCCTCGACGACGACGACGGCACTCTGGTGCTGTGGCTGCGGCCAAAGGGCTGCCCGTTTGGATTGTGCTGTTGGGCGCCCGAGCCCTGGGGACGTGTCTCCTCGGCACGCGGCTGCTTCATCTTCTGCCATGCTGTAAAGACGTTGGCGCGGGCGTCTGCACCCTTGTCTCTCGCGTCTGGCCGCTGTGCAGTCGGCGGCGAGCGGAAGTTCTTGCCCGTGAAGCGGTCTGCGCCTGTCGTGTAGGTGCTGTGGTGTGGCGGCGGCGGCGGGCGTGGCGGGGGTGGAGGCGGGGGTGGGGGCGGCTGCTGGAACGGTTGCTGGTACGGCTTTGGTGGAGGGGCGCGATAGTAGGAGCCGCTGGCCGTCGACGTCGTGTGCGCATCGCGGGGCGGCGGTGGAGGCCTCGTCCGCTGCGTGTTGGACGCGTTGGTGGGGACGTTCAGGTGGCGGTACTTCCTTCGCTCGGCGTCGTACTTTGCGCGTTGCGTGGGATCGCCCAGCACCTCGTGGGCAGCCTGGATCTCCTGGAACTTGACCACGAACTCGGCCTCGCGTCCAGGGTTGCGGTCCGGGTGGTATTGCAACGCGAGCGTGCGGAAGGCCTTGCGGATTTCATTCTCGCTTGCGCTGGCCGAGATTTTCAGGTCGGCGTAGTAGTTTCGTGCGGCATCAGCTTTGGCCATGGCGGCGGTGGTGTCGAAGCTTTGGGGGGTGTGCCTAGACGGGAGTACTTCGACTTGGCCGTCCTGCCTGCTCTTTCACTGTCTACCTGATCTCGTCGACTGCCTAGCCTCTACAGTCGCAGGGCGGTGCGTCACTCAGATGGTTGCTGGCCTGGCGCGTCGATGCAGCACCATGGTGCATGTGTAACGCGGAAAGGCAGCAGCAGCAGGGGAAATCAGCTAAGCGTCAGGTCGTCACTCGCATGGCGTCAGTAGCTCCGAAGCAACGTGCCTGCTTGGAGGTGGTCTGTCGAGGCTTTCTTGTGTCTGCTGCGCTGGCGGGGTGCTGGTATGGCTTGGACTGGCCTGGCCTGGCCTGCCTTTTGTTTGGACGTTGAGACTGGGCAACCGTCCAAGTTACTAGCCACGTCCCGCTCTGCACCAGAAAACCACCTTCAGATCCCCATGACACTGAACAACAAGTCTAAAGACTAATCAATCCATCCTATCATCCCAGGCCTGTTCTGTTCTCTGCCAACCAAGACCAACGAGCGTCAATGTTGAAGCCATCTCATCGTGCAGCATACCAGTAATCCAGTCCACATCACCATGGCGTTATTGAGCCATATCTGGCAGGCCGTTCAGGCCTACACTAACCATGTTCACATGTCACCAGTCCAAGCTAATTGCAGCAGCGGGATGCCGATTCATCTGTCACTTCACACAAAAGATATACACTGAAAGTTGAAAATTTGTGATTCGTCAAATCATGAATCCATGACATTTGATTTTGAACAGAGTCCTAACCAGCCTTCATCATGCCAGCCCTAAAAAGCTATGTAGCCCAGGACATCCTTTTCCATTCACGCCAGCCCATTTGCTTGAAAAATTCGACCAGACGTCCCACCATGCACGCCACACCCTCAGCGCATCTATCGGTAGCGCCAGAGAGAGAGGGTGTTGTGCCTCTTCCACGTCTTCCTCCTTCCGGCAGTCGTGTTGTTGTACTTGTGTCCACGGCCGAGACCACGGCTCTTCTTGCCGGTGGCGGTAAGACCACGGTTCTCGCGGTGCTTGTGGACAGGCTTGACGATCCAGTTGATGCGAGGATCGCGGCGGATAGCCTTGTGCTGGGGGTCGACAAGGATGACCTCGTAGTACTTGTAGGTCGAGTCCTGGTTGATCCAGTACGAGTTGAGAACGCGCAGGTTGGCGCAGCGGCGGCCGACACGCTCCTCGGCGGTGGCCTTGAGCGAACGCTGGTACTTGAGCTGGTTGATACCCTGGTTGGTGGGCTTGCCTGTGGATCATTAGTTTCGTGCCGTCGAAAATGGGTTCGACCGAGTAAAACGTACCGTAGGTGGCACCCCTAGAAATTGATGTTAGCACTGCCATTCGCTTGAAAACCTCACGGGTGCACGTACTTGGGCGCGGGCCTCTTGCGACCTCCACGGCGGACACGGATGCGGTAGATAACGTAGCCCTGCTTGGCCTTGTACCCGAGGCGGCGAGCCTTGTCCGGGCGCGAGGGACGGCTGGCGCGGTGGATCACCTTCAGTTGGCGAAGCTATCAATGCACTCTCAGCTATGTTCAACGAGTACATCAATGGGGACCGGGGTCCCAGAAAGTGATTCATACCTCCCAGCACTGTCGCAATGTTAGCAGGTCTCAAATAGTCATTCAATCGTAAGTACGTACGCGAACGCGCATCAAGAAGCGCATCATATCAGACTGCTTCTTCTTCTGAAGTTCCTCGACATCTGCCACGCATTAGCTGCGGCCACGGATTTCGAGATTCTGGCGTGCTCACACTTGAGGGCACCCATCTGTGGCAATGTTAGTATGTTGGTTTCTTGAGAGGTTCAAATGGTATATGGGGAGTCGTACCTTGACTAGAGGTTAGTGATTGTCGACGTTGGAAGTTCGCGTTCGTGAGGTCGGGAAAGAGCGAAAATTGATTGTGGGAGGAGACGGCTGACTAACGAATGTGGGGCGCCCGGCTCGCCAAGACCGCTGTAAAACCTAGCAAACGAACCTCGACGCTACTCGGCATACAAAGTGCTGATGTTATGTTGTGTTGAGGCATTTGTCGCAAAGGAATGCTACTGCTGATAGAGAGAGAATATGACTACCTGTAACACTGGGATCTTTTTACTAATGTCTGATGGATGCGCCAGCAACAGGTGTTCCTTCCAATTCATGCAATCGTTGTTAGGTGGAGAGTGGCCATAAAAAAGCGTCAAAAGATGAATGCACTTCTACCTTATCGTTGGCTATCGTTGGATACCCATGAGCCAGAACCAGACCTCGGCTCTCATAGATAACAAGTCTATTGATCATCACAGCTGATCTGTATTGGGAGAACTTAACAAATATTAGCTATTCGTGTCTGGAGTACTAAAAAGCAATATACCCTAAAACAACCAAAGGTAAATAATAGCCGGTAATCTAAGATAGGATTGTGATAACAATTAGCTACTTAGCATACAACCAGGTAGCCTGATTCAACGATAAATCTATACTCAAACGCATGCCAAAAACAGAGAAACAACACGGCATCGCAAAACATCTACAAGTCCAACGAGAATGGAGTTAGCTGCTTAACGCTTGATTCGAGAGCTGCATACGACGACCCCAGCCACCGTATATCCAACCCATAGCGTCTGCCATATCATTGTGATAGGGCGTCCAATCTGTGTAGTTGTTAGCTATGTTGTTACACCATACTGAAAACAACTCACCTCGTCTCACAAGTCCGCCCTCTTGATTCTTCATATCCTTCCAGCTCATCTTCTCACTGAGTCCAGTCTGCACAGCCTGCACCCTCTTCCCTCTCCTAGCCACGATCCTCACCTCGCCCTTGAAACTCTGCTCCGGCCCCGCAACACGCCAGTTTTCGATGACTTCGTGTCCAGGCTTCGCAGACCAAGGCTGCATGATACGTCCGTCTTCCGTCTTCTGGTGTCCGGTCGCAGTCTGTTGTTTGTACGGCACGATGAACATCTCAACCTCTGCACCTGACTCCTCGCCGTCTCTTTCTTTGAGCATCACATCCCAAGTCTGCGGCTGGACCTGTCGTTTGCGACGGACGTCGTACCCGGAAGCAATGAAGTCCGTACATGGAGTGATGTATGTGAGTTCTTTCCACGCCTCGCTTTGCAACAAGGCCTCAATGTCAAAGTATGTCGTGACGTCTCTCCACCCATCGCCCATGCCAAATCCATGCCAGCAATCCTCGACAACCAGCGTCTCCAAACACAGGCCTGGCAACAGACTCAGGGCATTAGCAGCGAAGTATGTAGGGTAGTAGTCTGGCCGTCCTGTAGTATACAACGGGAACGGAAACGCGCGAACACGCACGTGACGGATTCTTGTCAGCGCACTCTGTCCGACGGACAACAATGTACTGAGGAGGTTCTCAGTGCTGCGAAAGTGGAGAGTGCAGTTTAGTGGGAGGTGGCGCCAGGCTTCGGCATTGATTTGCCGACAGGTGAGTAGAAGGGCGATGCGATTGGAGTCGGTGAGTGAGGTTCCAGAGGGTGCCGTATTGGGTGACTTGAAGCCATGCCGGATGATGAAGGAGCTGAAGAGGTATCCGTAGATAAGTTCGCGGAGCTCGACAGGGATCGTTAAGAGGGATGGAGAGTCCATGATAAAGTTCGAACTGATATTCTTGTATCAAGTTCCCAAAGACAGTCTCTTGCTGAGATCAAACGGCAAATCAAGCAAGTGTCTATCTCACTTGAACAGCGGGACACGCGGGATTTAAACACAAACTCGAACCATTGTCGGCGGCATTGCGCTATCTTTACAAGCAAGCGTCGCATTGTCAGGATATGACGTTTGAGCATAGTCCGCGCTAAGCTACCATTGGGCAGCAAATCAGGTTGTCAGGTGGGCGAAAGCTAACAAGGTCCCAAACAGTGAAAAGATAACGGCACATGGTCACACACGCCTTCGCATGCACGCCAAGCTGTGAATAGACTTAGTTGTAGTTGTCAAGCTGCTACATAATTTCGTCGCACCCTGGTTCCTGATATTTCAATCGATCGGGAGCCTGACTCAAGCTATGAATGGACATGCTTCTTTTTGGGGTATCGTCGATGAGAGCTCAAATGTCCCACTAGCTTGCGATGCTTTCTTCCTCTAACCGCAATCGCTGTGGTTCTTCGACTTCTACAATCACCCAAATTTCTCATTCTATCTTGGAACGCCCGCGAATCCGCTTCTGCTGCTTCTGCTCCTCCAGTATCTTTTTCTGCTGCCATTGCCACTCTACCAGCACAGGCAAAAATTGCCATAGATCGAATTCTGGCCATAAGCATTCGAGAAAAACGATGGATGTATTCTCGTGACACTGCCAGAGCATGAAATCGCTCAGCCGCTCAACACCAGAAGTACGGACTAGCAGGTCCAGTGGTGGAGCACCAGCTGTCATCATATTGTCCGTCAAAGTCTGGGCGGTAATCAGTTCGGGATTCAGGTAAGCGGGTGCTGGCTGAGGCTCGTCCTTCTCAGACGTATTGATGGCCGTTGAAGTCGAAGAAGACCGCTCGTCCTCCGCATTTCTCTCTTCCTTGGATGAATTTGAAGTAGACCTTGACCGCGACTCAGGCTGCTCAGCTCCTCCATCGGCAGTGTCCTCAACCATCTGCTTACGAATGTGTTGGGTTATGTGCGATTCGGAGAAGGTGCGTCTTGAGGAAGTTGGAAGGTTGTGGATGGGCGTGCCGTACGTCTCTACTGTCTTCATGACCGCGGTTGTGATTTCGTCCCGCGACGTATATGGAAAACAAATGTTAAGTACAGCCCTGGTACGCGTCAGCTATATACTTTGGATACCTCTGAAGAGCACACCTTTTGTTATGCGCCGTCATTGCGACGGCCCTGTCAACAGCCTGCAAGACATCTGGCCTCACAAGACTGCGCTGACCTAGGACCCGGATACTCGCGCCATACCGATCCAGAAGAGCTCCGTGTTCGGCCATCTGCTCGAGCTTGACCTTTGCCATGGCCATCAACGCACCAACCTCGTGTTTGGATCGTTTGAAGTTCTCGATACTAAACGCATAGATGGTAACGACCTTGACGCCAGTTTTATAGCAGACTTCCAGAATCTGGTGACTAAATGAGCAGGGTATATAGAGCGCTGAGGGAGATCTGACTTACACGGGCCAGTGACTCGAAGCCTAGGTTATGCCCTTCTACAGTCTCAATGTGGTGATTTCGCGCAAAGCGCCTGTTGCCATCCATGACGAATGCGACATGCTGTGGAATTGCCCCTTGCTTGAGGGAGCCGATGAGAAGCTCTCGTAGTTGTCGTATTGTCCACGCGACAGGAGGCGAAGTCGCGAACCACTTGTGGATGCGGGAGTCGTGGAGTGACCCCATGTTGCCAGGAGGTTAGTGAGGTACTTTGTTAGGAGTAATAGGTTTCGTAGCAAGTGCTGTGGCGGATACACTGAAAAGAAACGTCTCAATGCACAACGCGAAAGCAGCGTATTATACAGACAGCAACGCTGGGCAATGGTTATGTGAATGCCCGTCAATCGTAGATGCTACGTAAACCCGGGCGGAGCAATGCCTCCAAGAAAGTCATAAGAAGCCTCGGAGACCCTGACCAGTCCTGCCTCATTGGACGCGTGAGCTGACTAGATCTTGGCGCGGCTCAAGCGTCGCTTTTATCCCTGCCGACTTCCGTCTCCGTCTACTTCTTCACGTTTGCTCAACGCAAGCCTCTTCGCCGCGTCATCAGAGCCATCGTCTCTCACGTAGATTTGCCTACACCAGAACCTCGCCTATCTTCGCTGTTTGCTAACGTCCGCATGGCTGAGGAAGCGCAGAAGAATGTCGTCCAGCTTGCTGAGCAGCTCGCAGAAGGCTTTGCAGCCTTGAGCGGGGAGTATCAGGTTTTGTTCGACCAACAGAGGCAGCTTGAAAGCAAGCTGTCATGGGCCAAGCAACAGGTATGTATTTATCTCGTCTCCTGCCGACTCTCCCTACCATGATGAAACATCTTAGCTCTAGACCTGCAGCTGTTCGCAGCTTTGACAGAAAACAACCACAGCATAGCCTGATACCTTCTCCTCCTGCACACTCATCACCATGTATCTTGTCCATGGCCAAGCTGACAAGTGACAGTATCTCGATCTCCTCAAGCGATTCACGCCGAGCACATTAGCGCAAGACCATATTGTCTTTCTTCAGGATCTTGAGCGAGTGGCCGATGTGCAGCCTCGAGCGCAGTCGAACCTGGTGGAACAGCTGGCGCAGAACGATGATGTCGAGCGAAAGAGCCGGGCAGTGGTCATCAGACAGGCCGAAGTTGCTGCGGCTGGTCTACGTGCATCCTTACCGGATCCTGGCGTGAAGATTTGGAGCGGCCCATCTGCAGATAGACCAACAAGTCCATTAAGAATACAGACCAACAATGTAACACCGCCTATTGAAAAGGACTTTACTATCGCAGGCACTCCCAGCAAGTTGGGGTGTCCTTTTGCATCGGGTAGTGGACGGGGAAGCCCGCTTGCTACACCGCGTAGCTCTACTTCGCGGCTGAGTGTGGCGGGGAGAAGGTCTAAACGACCATCCTTTTGTGATCCAATACGAGCTGAGATATGCGGCAACATCCCAGCGTCCCCATCAGCCTCTGTCGACGGTTCTGCTGCTGTCTGTCCAATCCGATTCCTCGACCAACATGACCCAGAAGAGGTTGCCAAGTACTTTGAAAAACACAAACACGAACTCCCACGAAGTCACGAGGTGTGCATTAATCGCTTTCAGAGCAACCAGGAGAGTATAGAACAGCTCGACCGCAAATACGGCAATCTCGTCAACATGATCCAGGGCCTCGGCCAGAAACACCAGGCGTGGCTACCTGAAGAACCAGAGGACGACATTGAAGAAGAGCCCGAGTCTGGAGCAAACCCTGATGCCAAAGCGGACGCTAAGGTAGAGAGCTGGGCTAAGGCTGTCTCGGCCAGTTTGCAAGACGGGGTCCCGCCGAGTGACGACGAACCAGAAGAGCCCAACATGGAGGAGACCAGAACCGCCCACTTCGATCGCCCGCTCAAAGAAGTCAGACTCGGCGAGTCGCCTAGTCGTCCCTGGGGTATCTCGGTACCAGCCAAGTATACGGATGCAGGAAGTTCGTCTTCCGTCGGCTCCGTTCCAACCGCGTCGCCACCAGTTCCATCGGAGACTGATCATCCTGTCGTGGAAACACCTCCAAAGACTGGAAAATGTCCATTCGATCATCGGGCCATGGGCTTGATGCCTCCAAAACAGGAGTCGATTCCAACCACTCACCCCTTTCCGCAGCCTGCATCTACGACGCCTGAACCTCCAGCAACACCACCACCACAGCCACGAGCTGCTCCACCAAAAGATGTGCCACCACAAGCTGCTCCGCCCCGATCGAACGAACATGATGGTCCTCAGGTCGTACCACAGATGATTTTCAACGGACCTGTTTTCCTCGGTTATTCACCAGATCAACTGATCGCCTTGTTGCAAAACAGTAATATTGGATCCATGATGCGCTGAGTGCAGAGGGTTTGAATCAGATATGACATTCGATGGAGCGTTCAATTATGAGGTATTGTATTTAATTACCAGGTAGGCATTGACAATTGCGACTTCACACTGCTACCTGCCGGCCGCTCGGGTATTATGCTTTGTCTTACATGCATTTGCCGCTCGTCTGATATTGTCCTGCTCGAAGTCGCCTGCCTTGCCAGACACAACTGCATCTAGTCAACTCGGAACTAAACATAGTCTGCTCTGCCTGTTCAATTTACTAGCTGTTTGGTATGTTTTGGTCGGTAGTTTTCGGGTCTGCTTCATTTCTTCAAGTCTGTCGTCCAAGTCCGCACGGCCTTTGCACTGTCATGTGCTGCCCGAAATACTGATCGGCCATAAGCAATGACGCCTCGTATCATGGCACACTTCACTTACGTTGCCGTTCATTTTCGTCCAGTCCACGCATAAAGTCTGCGCCCTCACCTAATGCTCCGCGCGGATTGTGAGCCTGGTCGGCTATAACTGCGGCTCTAGCTTTGAAAGTCTGCCTACTGTCAGCTCCACAACCGTTTTCCAAGCAATAAGAAGACACGCACATCGCTCAGCACCTCGATCATGTCCTCTTCATCGAACAACTCCAGAATCCTCGCACCCAGATTGTAAAAGTGCGGGGCGAGAGCTCGTAGATCGACGGTCCGCGGGTCAGCTTTCAGCGCGTTCAAGACGCGGGGCGAGAGGGCGGAGGGGGGGTCGAGGGTAACGAGGGAGGATGTGTTCAAGCTCTGGCTGTACATAGTGTGAATATATGATATTTTTGAACATGATGATTGTGTTGTATGTGATGGGTGGGTGTTTGTGTGTGTTTTACCTCAACGCAAGCATCTCTCCCAGCCATAGGGGTAGCTCGACTTTGGAGCCCTGTTTGATGTCGCCACTCATGTTGCCTTCCAGATAGCCTAGGCCAGGGACTGTGAGTTCAAAGGTGCATGGTACTTTTTGAGCGTCGGTGAGGATGGCGTCGACGTCGTAATAGGAACTCATGATCTCGGGCTGGTGGAGGATGGTTAGTTGGCAGCTTGCAAGGGATCAAAACACCGAGCATGCAGCCGTCGAGGCGTGGTGCACAAGGTCGATCGAGTCCACGAAGGTATCGCGTATTGTGCAACCAGCCGCGAGTGCATCGGAAGGATTATGCACTCGGACGAAAGCGGAGACTGACGAGCATGGAACGAGTGGAAAGAAGCAGCTAGAAGAAGAAACAAGAAATCATCACTAGCACTGATGTGGTCTGCTTACCTGGCTGTCGCCTCTGTGTTGCGCGTCTATGTATGCCTGGAGTTGAGATTATGGACTTATAGCGCACGCTCTCGCACACAGATAGTGAGATGACACTCGTCCAACTAGGTTTCAAGCAACTGCGTGAAGCACCCAATCGTCCACTTTCACTGTCAGGGTACACAAGGTCAAGATCGTCGACGGTTGCGCGGTTTCGAGGTGGTGGTCGCGATCCACACGGCGCTAGCCATAGCTCCTGGCCGCCTTCTGCTCAGTGAACCCCGGTCCCAACATCGCGGTGGGAGCAACAAGGCGCCGGCTGGGTACATGAACCGTCAACTGCACACGATTCCACCACGTACGCGAGCCCGAACCCGTCCCAGCCCGCTTGACACACTGCCTAGCGCAGCATTCGTTTGGTACGTCAGGTAACGGAGCTCCTACACCCGCCGTGAGTCGCGTGGCTTCGTGCTCTCTCTCGCCGTGCTCAGCCCGCACGTCACTGAACGAGTGTTGCTAATCGGCTCGAGCTACAGACACCAGACCCGTGCAGCTCCCCATCTCACACGGCTACACTGCTGTCCACCGTTTATGCCGGCCAGCCTCGAGCACCTCTCTCCCGCGCCCTAGGCCTGCCTCACTCTCCCCCACTCCCCGGCCCGTCTCACACTGCCCGCTCCCTCCGGCACCATGGCGGTCAGCGAGCGGATATCACAGCTCATGGGCGCCCTCGACCCGACATCAGGCCCCAATTCGGGTGCAACCTCTCCCGGAGGCAATTGGCGTGACGCGGATGGCAGTGGCACAGACGACGAGCGGGACAGCAGAAGCCGCCCGCGCACCTTCCCGTACTTCGAGTACCTGCCCTACCAGACCGAAGGCGATGGCGAGCGTGATGCGAGCCTGGAGACGTGTCTGAAGCACCTCTACATTGCCGTGTCGGCAGGCGACTTTGCGCCGGGCGCAGTGCACTGGACACGCGAGATTCGAGGATGGCTGCAGCTCAAGTTCGACCTGCCTCGCAGCACCCGTGTGAAGCTCGTGAATCTCTACTACGAGCTGGCCCTGGCCCCTGGGCTGGACTACCTGGTGGCGGAGCGTTTCGCGAGCATGTTCATGGTGCTGACCAAGTGAGTGGCCCACACGCCGAACCCCCTCGCACGCGTCGTAGACGTGACTGACACGCTGCACAGGCGCAAGCACTACCTCCGGCCCGGGAAGGACCAGGTCATATTGGATTGGCGGCCCCTGTATAGAGAACTCAAGCTGTTCGTGCTCCCCTCAGAGTCCGGCGGCTCACATCCGCCAAACGTCAAGCGCAATATCAGGACCTTGACCAAAATGTGCACCTTTGCCCAGCTGTACTTTGATCCAAAGGAGATACCTGCCATATTCGAGGAGCTTCTGCCTTTCTTCAGCACCTCTTTCAGCGAAGGTGCCTTTGTCGTCGTGGGTCTGCTCAACCTGCTGCTGCCAACACATCCGCCGCCAGAAGACAGGCCCGATCTGCTTCCACAGGAGTACCTCCCCACGTTCTTTCATCTGTGGTCGCTGGTCAATCGCTCACGCTTGTTCGACGCCCACTTCATTGATACAATGTCACGTCTTGCTAGGGACAACTTGACTGCATCACACATTCCTTTTTCACAGTACGGCCTGTTCACGGCCGAACAGTCTTCCCAGATCTTCACCGCCATTCTTAGGCTACTCGAGATTCCAGTCGGACAAGCCACGTCCCCCTACAGCAGTACGGTCGATCTAGGTGCTGGCCTGGCCGTCATGCTCGACCGAGACGTGCGCAAACACCCCTCTACACACCACATTGCCCGCATAATAGCCATGTCGCTCTCGCCTGCATGCACGGACAACTCAGAATCTGTTTTGAGCAAATTGGAAGGCCTGATTCAGGCCGTTGAGACGTTCTTCCATCCGTCAAACTCTGGCAGCTGGACTCGGCCGCTCGCGCAGTTGGTATACTATCTAGCAGACTTCTTCGTCCTGCGCTGGAATCGTGAGCACAGCGGTGAGATGGATGTGCCCAAGGACCGCCAGCTCAACGATGCTGTCAAGAGACGTTTTGTGCTATGCTTGCGAGAGGTGACCTTCATGGGCATCTTCTCCAAGAGCGATAAAGCTGTGCAATATGCACTGTCTACCCTGCAAAGTCTGGCTTACCTGGAGCCAAATCTGATCCTCCCGGGAGCACTGCAGAGAATCTACCCTGCCATGCAGGGCCTCGTCGAGGTACATCGCACCATATCCTCTATTCGAGCGCTACATATGCTTTCCAAGATCATGGCCAAGACAAAGGGCTTCCGGTGCCACGTCACAACGGCACTTGGGCTTGCACTCCCTGGTATTGATCCCAACGATCTCGAGAAGACCCTACACACGTTGCAATACGTTCAAGGTGTCTGCTATCTGGTGCCCTTCCATGATCTTACAAAAGCCAAGAAAGCCGCAGACCGAGAGTCTACAAATGGTGTGTCGACACCGGCAGACGATATTGGTGGTGACACAGGGCTTGCGGTGCAATGGATTACAGAGCAAGTAGAACGTCTCGAGAGTGCCAACGGCAACATCGAGATCGACTATGACAAAGAGCTCAGCGATGAGGACGAGCAAATGATTTTGCGATCTTCCACAAGTGGCCTAAACGAGTTCCTGATTTCCTTCATCGGTCGCGTCTTTACTCTTTTGGAGAATTTGCCAGATGCTGCCAGGGTTCGCAGTGGATCGCCTGAAGAGTACGTTGTAAATCATCTTCCAGCTGCATTTACACCGTTGCTCGCAGCACTGTCGCCTGAGCTCTACGATGTTGCGCTAGACAAGATTGCCAACTTCATCACCAATCATGTCATCCACCAAGCTCGCGACGCAATAGCTTTTATCTGCAATAGTCTTGTCAAGATAAATCCACAGAAAGCGTTGAAGCGTATACTGCCTCACCTGTTCGCCGGTATCCGCACAGAGATTGATGAGATCGGCGCTGGTTCGACTCGGACGACAGGTGCCGAAGTCCTCCCACGCGACCGCGCACTTGTATGGAACCTCAGCATTCTTAGCATGTGCGTCGTGCATGTTGGTGATGCCGTTCTCCCCTGGAAAGACGAGCTCTTTGAGATTGCCGAATACATGCAACTGAAATGTAGAGGCACTCCAACTGTGCATGTTTCTAACTTCATACATCATCTGTTGCTCAACCTCACCTGCACCTATACAGTTGACTACTCTATATATGAAGATGATGAGGTCGAGAAAGGACTCACCACAGAATCATGGGGTAGGCAGCTTGATGTGAAGAAATTGAACATCAAGTGGCACTCTCCAAACTCTGAGGAGATTGACTTTGCTGTCAAGCTATTCGAAACCCACGCCAGCAACTCCATGAACGCACTCGTTGCTCTCATCCAGTCCGATCCGCCCATCAAACGCGAGGGTACCGGGAAGGACTGGTCGGATGAGGTATCGAGAAACCTTGTCCTGTTGAGACTAATCTTATCCGGTGTATCAGTGTTGTTCGATGGCCGACACGATCAATCTGGTGAAGGCAGCACTGCTGACTCTAACGATGGGTCCGATCCAGACGCAATGGACACGGAAGGCATCGATGACGACGCTGGCCTTGGGGAGGCTGAGGACGAGGAAGTGAAGCCTACATTCCAGTATGAGTCCGGCTATCCGCTGCGGCGCGACGACAAGAACTACAAGCTCATGCATGACCTTCGCCACCGAGTTGGCGAAATTCTGCACGATGTACATCAGTTTTTGATTGAAAAGCAGCCAGACGATGTCCCTTGCTTCAATTCCTTGTACAATGCTTACCGTTCTTGGTTCATCGACGTTGGTATCGAGAAATCTGCCCATGTTCTTGATAGAATATCTAGGCTTCTCGATAACGACGAACAGCCATTCAGGTTCAGCGGTTTGAGGAAACAGTACCCTCGACCTCTGCTTGTTCGCCGCGCCAACGTCTACCACTTGCAGCGACTTCGGCATAATGCCGCTCCACGACCAAAGACGGATCTTGACAAGCAGTTGTTTTTGGACCTTGCCGAATCTAGCATTTCCCTTTACACGGAAATCCGACGTACTGCACAGACTGCCAACGAGTCAGCAATCAAATGTGTGCTGGGTGCTCGACCGCTGGTCATCCCTCCACTACTCGATGCATTTGTCAAGGCTGTAGCGGAGAGTGACTACCCTCGGATCAAGGGTGCCATGTTTGCTCTTCTGTATGGAAGTCTGGCAAAGACCATCAGTCGCGACTGGAGGTTTACTCCCAAGTTGATCAAGGCCTTTATCGAAGTCACTGGTGCCGACAAGCCATCGGTGCAAAAACTCGCTACCAACGCCACATTCCAAGTCATGGATATGGGCAAGGCAATGGAAAGGATGGTCATTCTTGACAAGACGGTTGTCGAAGCCATTGCCTATGCGATGGATACCAGCGAGGAAGAGGTGCAGCAGAAGGTCACAAAGAGGCAGGACTTCATCAAGAGGAAGAGGGCTCGTATTGAAGGCAAAAAGGCGGAACTATCAAAGGAGCTGGTGGAAATTGCCAACACTGAGCACTGGAAGAAGGTCAGTCGAACTGCGGCTATCATTGTCAATTTGGGAATGCGCTACGACACAATTGCCTCTGATGAGATGATTGATCTCATAGCTAGAGGCACCATTGATCAGCATCCAAGTTTGCGAGGTCTGTATGCCGGCGCTTTGATAGGATTGTACTCGGTCATCCAGACGCGCGCCATCACCGGCCATAGCTACCAGAAATATTTACTCGGGGAAGAAGATCTGCCAGATAAAATCTCCGTACCAACTAGGCCTGACGATCCAAACTGGACCGAGGAGCATCTGGAATCCTTCGCGCAACCAGAGGCTAAGTACTACGTCGACTTTGACTATCCTGGTTGGTTAGTGTGGAACAAGACCATGCCGGCTTTCCTCCCGAACGCAGTGCAGCTCTCGTACGACGATGTGGAAAACGACGTCCGTCGAAAAATTGCAAAGCACCTTACACGATCGTGGTTCTCAAACTACTTCGCGTTCATGAAGCAAGAACCTCGCGATACTAGCGCTGATCGATTCCGGATGTCAAGCGCAATGTTGCTGACGCACTCGTTCGACCTTGTGTTCTGCGGCGTGACCGAGACGACGTTTGAGGATATCAAGGATCTCACTCAGTCGGTCTATGGCGATGGGAGCGACAAGCACCAACACCGTGCGACGTCGGAGATCATGGCCGCGCTACTATCCTGTGCTCCTGATCTCCACCCCGATCAGCGACAAGAGGTCTGGGAATATGTATTCCCTATTGTGCGTGGAATCTTCAAGGACGGGCTGACGCCTGAAAACAACGGTTACTGGACTACGTTCCTGCATGTCGTTCTACAGTCCAAAGATCCTAGGCGAAGCTGGCCGCTTGTCGATTGGTTGGCCAGCCTTCGTCTCGATATGGACTCTAATGCCGCCTTCAAGGAGAGCTCAAAGATCCACCTACTAACGCAAGCAATTTCCGACGTGGGCTGGCACTTCCGCCGGGAGGAGCCGATCCTGGATGATTTCTTGAGCCATCTTGATCATCCGTACAAGGGCGTTCGTGAGGCGATGGGTCAAACGATCGCGAGCATCTACCGTACCCGGTACCACGAATCGTACAAGGACGTCGATAGCCTGGTTAAAGCTCAGAAAGAAGCATCTTCAATTGGAGTTCGACCCTATGAACCAACAGAAGAATTCAGCAAAGTGATCACGGATGTGTTTGATCGCCTTGAGGTCTGGCGTCAACAGCGTCCCTCTGGGCAACAGACACCTTCGTCGTACACTTCTGGTGGCAAGACGGTTCTCCTATGGCTTGATTCTACACTCTCGTCGTATGAGTGCACCCAGCTTGTCAAGTTCTTCCCAAATGTTTTCATGGAACAGCTCCTCCACATGATGGACATCAAAGAAGATCCTGAATTGCAGTCGCTTGCCTATCACGTCTTCCGGCACCTTCCCAACATTCCGCACCGTGAGGGTGAAGACGCAGAGTTTATTGCTGCGTTGATACGTATCGGTCGCAATGCAACGAGCTGGCACCAGCGGTTGAGGATCTTGATCAACATCCAGGTCATCTATTTCCGCCGACTCTTCTTGATGGGCGAGAAGCAGCAGCAGACCATGTTCGACTGTGTTTCTGCCATGCTCTCGGATGTACAGTTGGAAGTTCGGATGGGTGCGGCTACGACGCTCTCGGGCATGATTCGCTGTTCACCTGTTGCGCTTCGCGATGTTCAGGTGTCGACGCTGAAGAAACGCTTCACGACACAACTTGCCAAGAGCCCGCTGCCGAAGCGCCGCAACCCCGGCACACCAACGGTCGAGCAGGGTAAGGTGGTGCTGACGCGTCACGCAGCTGTGCTCGGGTTGGGCGCGCTTGTACAGGCGTTCCCATACCAGAGCCCGCCGCCGACATGGTTGCCAGAAGTGCTTGCTACGTTGGCGAGGAAAGCGGCTGCGGATCCGGGAATGGTGGGCAAGAGTGTCAAGAGTGTGCTGGCCGACTTTAAAAAGACCAGGCAGGACACTTGGCATGTCGATGTCAAGGTAAGTGGGAGCGTGTTTCGGTGTTGAGAGAATTATGCTAACGTGTCAAATAGGCTTTTGAGCAAGAACAGCTGGAGGATCTGGAGGGTGTGCTGTGGAAGAGCTACTTTGCATAAACGGTTCTTGGTAGACAAAGATGGAGGCAATGGAAGGTAAGGAAATGTAAGATAATGCCAATGAAAACAAGGACATGACGTGGATGGTGTTCATGGTTGGTGGTTAGCGATACCATAGATGGCGCACGGCGAAGACAAGACTGCATGATAGATAGTAGAGTGTGCGGCCGTTTGGTGAAGCGGCAACTATATCTCTACTCTACTCTTCTATTCACATGGTTCTTAGTGTCTTGAGTGCATTGCGATGAAGGTGGCGCCCCACCACACAGCCACAGACACGATCAACCAACGACAGCTCCCTCTGTCGCAAACAACTTCACAGGTCGACGAGACTTGGACAAAGCTCGACGACGACTCTGCCACCGACGCCGGAAATGGTCCTTGGCACTCCTGATGCCGGCGTACTTTTTCCACATCACGTTTGAACTGTACCCCTCGCGCTCGTCGCCTGATTCGACCTTCAGCCCGCCGCCGGGGACAGACATCTTCGGCGCAGAGCTCCCCGTGCACCGCCGAGAGCAGAGAGGGGAGTGGGGGTTCTTTGGGCCGTCCAAGAGCAGCACGTGGAAGACTGGGGCGCCGTCCAGCACGCGCGACCGTCGGCCTGCCGCTCGCCGATTCAGCCAGCGCACGCGACGCTCGTTCTCAGACCATCACGACAGCCCTGTGCCCGTGGGGAAGCCGGCGACACGGACGGGCGGCAGCCAGCGGGAAAGCGCGGGACAGCGTGACTGGCGCTTCGACAGCATCGCCATCGCCAGCATCGACATGGACGCGCCCTCGCTCGCACCCAACGCCGGCGGCCTGGCCACCAAGGGCCGGTTCATCGCCGCCGACATCAAGGACACGGACGTGGGTTGGGGCGTGGTGCACCTTTACCGCGACGGCCACGAGACGCCCGGCCTGTACGAGCAGCCGGACGGCGTGCGTGGCTTGGATGCGCAGCCGGACGCGGCCCCCAGCGACGCCGAGTGCACGACGCTGTGCATCCTGGCCGTGCCCGCCTACATGACGCCCTCGGACTTCCTGGGCTTCATGGGCGAGCAGACGCGCGAGGACGTGTCGCACTTCCGCCTCATCAGGACGAGCCGCGCCAACAAGTACATGGTGCTGATCAAGTTTGGCGACGCGCACAAGGCCCGCGCGTGGCAGCGCGAGTGGAACGGCAAGCCCTTCAACAGCATGGAGCCCGAGTACTGCCACGTCGTCTTCGTCAAGTCCATCACCTTTGCCAATGGCGACTCGACCACGGACCCATCGTCGTACCCGGACCTGACCAACGACCCCTTTGCCCCTGCCCCCACCAAGCAGCCCGTGTCCGCCGTCGACGCCCCCTCGCTCACGGCCAAGCCCCACGCCCCGCCCACGCCCGCCCTGGTCGAGCTGCCTACGTGCCCCGTCTGCCTCGAGCGCATGGACGAGACGACGGGTCTGCTCACCATCCTCTGCCAGCACGTCTTCCACTGCGCCTGTCTGGAGAAGTGGCGGGGGTCGGGCTGTCCCGTGTGTCGGTACACGCAAAATGACGCCTTTGGCTCCCACCGCGCCCTCGACGGCGACGCCCCCGACAACGAGTGCAGCGTCTGCGCCGCGACCGAGAACCTCTGGATCTGCCTCGTCTGCGGCAACACGGGCTGCGGCCGCTACGACGAGGCCCACGCCTTTGCCCACTACGAGGCCACGAGCCACACGTACGCCATGGACGTGGCCACGCAGCACGTTTGGGACTACGCCGGCGACGGCTACGTCCACCGCCTCATCCAGAACAAAGCTGATGGCAAGCTCGTCGACCTGCCCGCCTCGACACACCAGTCCTTTGGCGCGCCCGGCATGACAGGCTACGCAAACGACACGGTGCCCCGCGAGAAGCTCGACAACATGGGCATGGAGTACGCCTACCTCCTGACCTCGCAGCTCGAATCCCAGCGCGCCTACTTCGAAGAGCAGCTCGAGCGCGCCGTCGACAAAGCAGCCAAAGCCTCCTCGTCCGCCGACGAAGCCGCCCGGACCCTCGCCTCCTTTAACCAGAAGATCGAAGCCCTGACGCTTCAGCACGCCGACGCGCAGAAGCAAATCTCCGCCCTCGAAAAGGACGGCGCGCGCAACGCCCAGAAAGCTACTTCTGCATCTGACCTCGCTCGCAAACTCACCAAACAGTACAAGGAGGAACAGACTATCAACGAGAGCCTCATGAGCCGCATCAAACACCTTGAGAACAAGACGGTCGAGGCGGAGGCTAGGGCCAGGGAAATGGAGGCCCAGAAGGTTGATCTCGAGGAGCAGAATCGCGATCTGAGTTTTTTCATCAGCGGCCAGGAGAAGCTGCGCGAGATGCAGGGGAATGAGGTGTTCGGGCTGGGCGAGGGTGAGGTCGAGGGTGGAACGGTGGAGATTGGGGATAAGGGGAGGAAGAGGAAGGGGAAGAAGAAGGCGTAGACCTAGACTTATTTTGTGTCATTAGATTGTTGATACACAGGCGTTGGAAAAGGGCAATGGGTTACGATGATTCATGAGATACCCCACTAGATTAACCTAGACGAGACTTACACCGTCGTGTCTGTCGTCCAGGCTCGGACGCAAAGCAAGCAATATTACTATGAATGCATACCAAGCACTAATCAGTGCGTATCAAAGCGAGTCCAAAGTGAAGGAACAACATGATGAAACAAAAAGTAGATAGATTACTTCCAACCAATCCCTCCGCAACGCCTAGCCTCATACTGGTGATGATGATGATGCTGATGATGATACAGAAGAAGCTATTTTATATACATGTTTCCCCGTGTACTCCGTCGTTCAAGTCGTGTCATGCAAACAGAAAAAGTGAAGTCGTCATGTGATGTGATGTGGTGTGATGTGATGCGATGCCAAAGCGCGCGCAAAGAAAGGTCATGAGGAGGAAACATGGTAATGGGAAACCCCGGATCCAACGCCAAAGAAGCCAAAAAAATCGTGTCGTGGTTTGGGGTGTCGGATATGTCCCATATCCAATGAGGAGAGATTCAACCAAGAGCTGGGTAGCAAACACGAGTCCAGGTCAGATATCCAAAGTGTGGACATGGCCATGATGGGGAACGTTGTCAAGCAAGACAGTCCTCTCAAATCCAATCATCGTCTTTTTTCCCGATACAGCCCCCAACATCAATCTCCTTGTCGAATCCCAATCCCAATCCGAGCCCGAGATCCATCTTCGGCGCCTGGAGCTGCGGTGCCTGTTCCACCTTCTTCTTCGGGCTCTGTTTCAGCGGGCTCATGCTTCCCTTGCCGTCGCCAGGCCCCATGCGTACGGGCTTGATGTCCCAGTCATCCTCGAGTGCTGCCCCGATCCACACTTTGACGCTGTCGTGCACAGCGCCGTAGTACTTTGGGTTGCAAGCACGTAGATGACCCATCAGCTTCTCGAAGCCGCTGACCTTGAATTCCTGTCGCAGCTCGTTGCGAGCCGAGCGCGTGGGCAGCGAGGCGATGAGTCCGTTGAGGAGGTCGATGTGTGTCGCAATGTAGTTTGTTGCGTCCCATTCCACACCGCCAACGTAGGGTGCTGCCGGGACAATGGCCCGGGGACCAGGGAAATGTGTCTTTGCGTATGACTTGGGGAATCCGTCCAACGAAGATTGTGGAGGAACAGGTATGACATTTAGGTGGTGGATGAAGATCCAGAATACCTCCTTTGTCACATTGCTCATCTCCTTGCACCACACTTGATAGGGGCGCGGCTGATGCATTTGCAGGACAAAGGGCACGGTCGAGGACTCCTTCTCTTTGATGGGGTCTTTAAGATACTTGAGTAGTTCTGTGGCGCGGGACTCAAGTTCCGATTCTGGGGCCATTGAGATGTGTGCAAAGATGATGTCGATGATCAGCTCGCGTGTGGTGAATTCACTCGGACCTTTGTGCTCTTCGTCGAACAGCATGGCGAGCAAGGCAGGATATAAAGTCGAGGCGATTTCAGCGAGCTGCTTGAGCGCAGAGTCGGTCGTACAAAGCCCTTTCAGACAACGAAGCAACTCGTGAAGCAGAGTATCGTCGTGGTCGTCCCGCCATTCAATCTCCATGATGCAATGGAGTAGGCCGACCAATTCGGTCATGCCACCATCCCGAATGAAAGTGTCGACCCAGTCGACGGTCTCATTTCTGAGCAGCAGCCGGAGCTTGTGCAGCTTGCCGACTTCAACGTCTTGGGGCTTTGGAGTCTTCCTGAGGTAGGCGATGAAGTCATCAGACTTGACAGATTTGGCACCACTCGAGACCGACCTCTCAGAGGCATTTGATACCAATGACCTCGTTGAAGGGGACTTGGGGATGGGGTTGGATTTGGAGGACGCCTTCTTGTCGTTCATCTCTCCTCTCTGCTTCTTGGTGGGCGAGTCGCTCCTGTTGAAAGTAAAGGTCCTGCTTCGCGGGCGCTCACGCTTGGATGCGTTGGCTGAGGGGTCGGCCTGCAGCGGGTCCCTGTCTTGCTCGATGGATCCATTGCGCGACTTGGACGAGCGGGCGGGGCCCGGCTTGCCCTCGCCCACGGAAGGGTTTGTGCAGGTCGTGGCCGTCGTCGAGGCATGGGCAGTGTCGAGTTTGTGTGTGCGGACGAAGTCGGCCTTGACCTCGAGCGTCAGTGTCCGCATCTGGGCGCGCTGGTGTGTGGGGATGTTGCGTGATTCCTAGCCACGGTCAGCAAGTCTCGATTCGAAGCGGGCCAGTCAACTCACCAGGACTTCCTCGAAATCGGCGTCGACGACGCTCGGGTTGAGCTTGGTCGGGGACGCCGGGGGGCCCTCGACCTGCTTCGACCTGCCGTTGAAGGCGGCGACAGCAGCCATGACTCTATTTGGCTTCTTGGGCGAGGGGGGAGGGAGCTGGGGCAGGCCGCGGTCGCGGTGCATCGTCTCCTTGGTGAGGGAGTCTGTCTTGGCGCGGGCCAGGGCTGGCCGTGCATGGGCGGCCTTGGAGGCGGCCGTGTCCTTGACGCGGCCCTCGTTGCCCTGCGTGTCGGCGAGCGGGGCGCGCTCGTGGCTCTTCTTGCGCGAGAAGGTGCCGAAGAGCACGTCGACGGCGTCCTTGCTCGACACGATCATCGACTTGGGCCGCTCCTTCGCGGCGGGGCGCGTCTGTTTGGCGGGCTGTGGGTGGTGGTCGGGGTTGCGCTGCTTGGCGGGCGAGCAGTTGCGCGGGGTGTAGAGGGCCGGGTCGTCGTCGACGCTGCGGCGCTGGTCGTTGAGGGGCACCTTGGTCGACGTGGTGACGTCGTGCAGGGCGTGCGAGCTGAACTCGGCCCAGATGGGGGCGCGCGGGGGTGGACTCAGCGTGTAGGCCGTGTGCGGCGGCGAGGCGTTCTCCTTGTCCTTGGAGGGCGACTTGGGCGGCGCCTGCCTGCTGTCCCGCGAGCGGCCCTTGCCGAACATGGCGGCCAGGTTCGTCGACGACTTGGTCTTGACGGGCTTCTCGCGCGCCGCCGCCTCCTCGTCGCGGGCACGCCTCGCCTCGGCCGACTGGCGGTCCTGCGACTTGTCCCGCCCCAGCGAGCGCAGCGACACGGCGCTCAGCGACTTCTTGTGGAAGCTCTTCTTGGGGCTGCCCGGCTTGGTGGGCGACGGCGGCGCGGCCAGCGGGACGGTCTCGGTCCAGTTGGCAGCCCGCAGCTGGCTGTGCGGGTGGTCGGGCGGCAGCAGCGGCGCGTGCAGGGCGGCCGTCGAGGGCATGTACGGCGGGCTGGCGAGGGGAATGCCGTTCAGGCCAGCGCCGTCCGAGGGCGTGCGCCGGTGGTTGCGGGGGATGATGATGGACTTGAGCACCGACGACGACTTGTTGCGTCGGTGGCCTGGCGCGGGAGCGGGTGCTGCTGTCGCCATGGCGGCTGGCAGCGTGTGTGGAGCCGGGTCGCAGCTGTCTCAGCGGTGTGTCGTCGCAACTGTCGCCTACTCGAGCACGGGCAATGGCAGCCGTCGACGTCGCAGGCAGTCAGTTTGGCGGGCAGGGAAACAGTGCAGCACCTCTATCGTGGAGTCGTGGGAGACATGATAAACAAGCCGCATGCTCGGAATCACCCGAGCTGCTCGTCACCAGCGCCGTCAACACTGGCCTTCGTCTGTTGTCACGGCGACCAGAGCGAGCTAACCACGAAAGCACGTGTACGCCTCTCGATTATCCACGAAACACATGCGCTGCCCGCCATGCCAACGGAGAAATGCTTCCATTCGTCGACAACTCCATAGCGCATAGCTCAGAGTTAATTTGCCAGTCCATGCACCCATCGACTAAAAACGCCATAGCTATGCACATCGACTCCTCCCCATCCCCAAAACAGACGCCTGTTCACAAAGGGTATACACAAAAAGACATGCACGCACGAATCCATCATACCACCCTCCCCATAACCATCCCTCGCCTTCATCATAGCTTCTGCCCCGCAAATTCTAGCCCCAACACATGTAGTGTCGTAAAAGGCACACCCTACCCTTGCTCCACCTCCATCGCCTCTTCCGTCACGTCTTCAATCTCATGCCCTCTGCTGTCCACGACGATTCTGCGCCCTCGTTGATCCGCAGGAACACCGTCGCGTGAAGCCCCAAAGTCCAAGACCTATCAACACGTTAGATCAACACTCCCTACAAGAGAGTGAATACTGCTTACCTCAATGTACGTCATGCTGTTCCGTTGCACAGCCGCAACACATCGCCGCTCATTGAACTTGACTTGCCATACCCCGCTCAGGTCCGTCAGCAAGTCCTTGACAAACTCGCCCGTCTTGACATTCCACATCTTGAGCGTCTTATCCGACCCCGAAATCACCTTTTGCCCATCATGCTGAAAGCAAGTAATGGCACCCGTGTGAGCACAAAGCCGGCTCTTGCATTGCCCGTTCTCAGGATCCCATATCCGTAGTGTCGAGTCGGCCGCTGCCGAAACAAGTCGTTCGTGGCTTAGATCCAGGAGACCCACCAGTGATGTATGCCCTTCCAGCGTGAAGATGCAAGCACCCGACTCGAGCGACCACACCTTGACCATGTTGTCCATCGATCCGCTTATACAACGGTTGCGACCGTGATCCAACACAACACTGTAAACCTTCTGAGAGTGCCCCTGCAGACGTTGCATCACCTCTCCAGTCGATATCTTCCATACACGAACCGTGCAGTCATAGCTCCCACTGACAAGCGTATCGCCACGAGCAGCAATGGCCCGGACCGAGTGGTGGTGTCCAGTCAAAGCACGGATAAAGTATGGGTTGTCATGGTCATTGGCAGCCGGTCCTGTCTGCATAATGCTCCGTTCGCCAGGCTGGGGCAGCTTCCATACACGGAGTGTCGAATCGCGCGAACCCGTGATTATCAAATCTTCCTTGGGCATCATGATCGCCTGACCGTCCAGTGTCTCGCCAATCTGCGTTGGCTTGAGAATGACAAGACATCGCACCGTCGATGTGTGCCCCTGAAAGGTTTGTACACATTTGCCCTTTTCAATATCCCATACCCGCACAGAGCGATCGGTAGATCCAGACACTAGCGTGTTACCATCGTACTGCAAAGCCCAAACCCCACCTTCGTGTCCTTCGAGACGGCTGCGGAGCACTCCAGTCTTGGTATCGTACACGTTGATATTGGTGTCGTCGCTACCGGTCAGTATCTTGTCTGTATCAAATTGAAGACACGTGACAACGTGGCGTTGATGTGCACGAAACGCAATGTGCTTGGGTTTGGTGTCCTCTGCCATCCAGCTCTTCCGAATGAGATGATGTCGCTGGTAGAGCGACTTGAAAAAGTGCATCCCGCCCAAACTCGACAAGCCTACGTTCGGGTCAGGAATTGCCTCCTCCGCGCGCTTCGCATATGCAGTCGCCCCTCTTGCAGACGCTGTGGACCGGGAGTAGAAGGCGAGCTGCGATTTGGCTGACGATGAACCCTTTTTGCGCAGCTTCTTCGACGACCCATGTTTACTCGTGGCTTTTCTCTTCTGGCGTGTAGAAGACGATCGTGTTACTGCGCCTTCATGATCCAGGGTACTACCCGATATACTAGATCCAGGAGAGCCAGGATGAGCCTCGTTGTCTGATCGGGAAGCAACGAATAGCGCTCTCAAGTCGCGTTCATAGCTGTCGGACGACTCAGGAAATTGCCATCCCCACCCCTCTTTGACGGCACGTTCCACTTCCCCCTTGGGCAGCTTGTAACCGTCTTCCTCAAGCAGTGCTTTCCAAGCAGTTTCGTGCGAGTTGGTGAGTGTTCGCCAACGCTTCGATACTTGTGCAGCGCTGCACATACTCTTGGCGTCCAGGTAGCTGATGATTTGAAGACTGAGTTCGGTGGGCAACAGGGTCAGAAAGTCGCACTTCAAGGCTGGATTGACAACATCAGCCACAAAGTTTAGTGTCGGCTTTTTGCATCTCCGCAGCAGCTGGTACATGACATAGGACTTCATTTGTTCCGGGAGAGCGTCGAATGTGTTCAGCATACCCGGGATATCCATAGTACCCGGCGTCATCAATTGCGGATTAGGGCTGATTGCTCCATTCGCGTTCGAAGTCTCGACCGGTCCCAGCGCGGGGGGGAAGAGAGTAAAATCGTCCATGTCAAGTCCTGTACCGTTGTTCAAACCGTCATTGCCTTCTGTGTCGGAGAATGAAGCTCCAGCAGCATTCTGCTGGGCCATGTTAGCGGCAGCAGTAATGGGAGAAAGGCTCGGGCTGGGGAGGCTAGCATCTTGCGCAGAACTGATGTCCAGAGGCGTCAGCTGGGTGGACGAGTATGAGCTATCAAAGGAACCAACGGGCTCCATGTCAGATTCGGCGATGGGAGGCGTAGCAACAACACCAGGGCCGTCTAGGTGGCCAACCGTCGTGGAGAAGGAGCGGCCACACGAGCGTTCTTGGCTCTCGAAGGAACTGTTCTCAGCGTTCGAAGGTCCCGCAAACGACTCGTGGAGGTGCCAGCGAGCTGATGGCTGTGGCTGCCCAGTTGCTTGCGAGGGGTATCCAGCGGTGTTTGTTGATGTACGCAAGCCCGACTTGGCTCTCAGCACCTTTGACGATTCCAGTCCTCCCATGTCCGTGTCTGGTGTTGTGGGAACCGAGTTTTCGAGATCTTCAGGCGTGTAGTGAGATGATGCGTGCGCAACGTCTCCACCCCTGTCGCCCAGCATGGATATACGTGGTTTCTTGCTTCGGCGTTGGAAACTTGCGAGTTCAGCTGCTTCTCGTATTGACGGCAGAGGTGTGGTGTCGTCGGCATTCTCTCGCTTTCGTCGACTAGAGCCCGACGGTAGCGATTGGTGGTGGGTGCTCATGTTGGGGCGAGTCGCGCGGTTCGGTGTTGCGAAGACTGGCGGTCCGTGGTAGGACTGAACCTTTTGCAGGGTGCCATTTGCGGCGCGCAGGCCGTCGTGGAGAGACTTGTGCTGCAAATCACAGCGGTTAGTGTAGAACGTCGAGGCAGGAACAGCCCGCAAGCAAAGGGCTGACGCGACAGGCCGATGCGTGGGTCCATCAACAAGCATACCTCGTGCAGTTTATCCGCCGTAGCATTCGCCTCCTCGAAGCACGCCAGCTCGCCTCCGGCATCGAAGTAGATTTTGCGTATCGACTCGGGTGCTTGCATGTGGGCGAGCGGATAGTCTTTGGGATCTCGTCCTCCTAGGCTTCCTGGCGCGTTGATGCACATGGGCGGGTAGGTCGTCGTCGTCGTGTACGTCGTCGTCACGACCGTCGTCTTGGTCGCCGGTGCGAACGAGAACTGTCCCACGGTGGCGTACGGATCCATGGCCTCAGTCTCACCATGTGCCGTCTGCGATCGACCGTCAGGGCCGGGGCCGGAGGGGGCCGAGGTCATGTTGTAAAGGACGACCAGCGGTTTTCTCGGTGGGTCGAGTGGTGACAGCGGCTGGGGGCACTCGAGCGCGGACCACTAGGGTGTGGAATGGTAGGGCAGGGCAGGGCAGCGTCGAGGGCGGCGTTTGACTTCAGTCGTGCATATCGCCAGAACCGTGACCGAGCATTCAAGGGTCCCGTGCGAGTGCAGTGGGGCGCTGGTGTCCTAGTGAGTCGCCGCTGGCGAGCTGCGAGGGTGCGAGCAGCGGACGGAACGCGACGACTTGGCGACTGGGGAGCAGCCGAAACACCAAACGCGGGAGTCGTGCTACAACTCTAGATTGCTAATAAAATCAGACGGCTGGGAGAGTGAGAGCAGCTTGGTGACGAGAGGGCCGTGTTATCGTGTTGGTGGGGAAGAGGTGCACTGGCTACGAGAGGCTCACGCTCGGCAGACTTTACCCTTCCCGCCGCCCATTTCCATCACGCCCTGCACGTAATCCGCCTTTTAACAGCAGCGTCATGTCAGCGCTAGACATCAACGACCTATGCACGCGTACCCTTGCGTCCATTCTGTGTTGCTCAAACATAACCACGGTTTGCGGCTGGTCGTATCAGCAGCTCTCACATCCTGATCTGCACACTTCTCCCTGCCCGACTTTCTTACGTGGTGGCAAAGGCGTGCCTTTGCTTCGCTTCTTCTATCGGGGCATGACGAGCAGCCGGCAGTTCTCCCACTGTCACACTTAGAAGTATAATCAGGCATCACCCATCACACTCGATGAGCACTGCCAACGCCTTCTCGACGATTAACACACTGCAATAGGCGAGATCTTCCTAAAGCCACCCCGTCTGCCCTAGCCATTATCTTCTGCTGTGAAATCTCTCTCGACTATAAACATTCACTACTCTTTGAAACTGTTTCACGACGCTTGACGCCTGATCAGGCTGTTCCAGGAGGAATTTGAGAAATTTACGTTAGTATAACTTCCACATCGTGCTTTCCTTCAGTTTCTCATCATGAGTGCGCGATTTCTTGCTATGGTATTTGCCAATCTTCCAAGTCTATGGGCGTTGATGCGAGACTGCTATACAACCCTCTTCCATGGGAACCTCTCTACTTGTCTTGCCATCTACAGCATGTGAACCTAGTGTCAGAGTCAACCAGACTGCAGTGCTGGTATTGTCAAGATCGAGTCACGCAATTCCCTTTACTGTGAGGACTCACCTTTATCAGCAAAAATGATACTCTCACTGTCCTGTCATCTACCCTCTTTCATTTCCAAATCCTAGAGTGTTGTGTTGAGGTGCAACGTTCCTTCCCTCGCACCTTCCTTCAAACGTCGCCACAACCGAAAATGTTACGCCAAGAAGTCTTCCCATCTCACTTGCTCTAACCATCCATTCTCCATCCCACCCGCCCTACCGCGAGGCCCGACTTCTCTCTCTTCTCTATCCCAGTTCTTTCCTTGGTCAGCTCCGCTACTGCGCCAACGCAGCATGTCCCGTAATCAACCCGCACGCACCTCCAAGACGCCTGCAAGTCAAGAGCGGCAGCACCGACCGACTACACGGAGCGAAGTGGGAAAGCAATCAACCATTGCAAAGGAACATGGCGGTACACAAGTCCTACTCCAGAGACCACCAGCAACAGTGACCAAAGAAGCCATTCATGTAGTTGCACAAGCCTCGCAAGCAGTCACTGTCGAGAAGAGCCTGGAGATTGTACAGACCCTTCTTCAAGGCTGCGTAAGCTGTCTTGCGAGTATGAGACACATGTTCCGGATGGACTGTTATGAACAGAAGTACTATATGTTTGGCGACGCTCCTCAAGACGCTTCTAACCAAGCTCCCCCTGGGCAATTACTCGTCGGTCTCAAAAAAGGAATGTCTCAGAGAGTTGATCGATTGGTCGGTTTGCTAGTAATGTGACCGCCTTTCCAGGTCGTGGCGTTTACTGAGTTGAAACAGGAAAACGGTGTTGCTGATGCCTTGCGACGTGGCTGTCTCGAGTCGTTGCACTTCTCCATATATGAAGATCCAAAGTGCCCGTCCGACATCCTTGAGCAATGGATCTTCTGCTTTTCTTACCACACAGACACATCTACTGGAACCCGAGTTGCTGCTGGTATTGAGATAACAGAGAAGAAACATGGCAGCAAGATCACTGTCAGCCGTGCGAAGCATGCCCTTGTTGGGTTCATTCAACAACTCGCTCTCATATGTCACATACTGCCAACATTACCAGAGGCTACGAACATGACAGTGGAGATATTGTACACGGACAATCGGCCTTTTGGGTACACAGCGCCAGGATTCACCCGTCCAGCCATTGGTGCCTCCAGATTCTCAGAATCCTTGGAGTGGGAGAATACCATGACACCAATACCCGACAAGTTTGATACGGGCCGGCATGGAGTCACTCTGAAAGTGGCTCACCTTCGGAAACGGCGTTATGACTCTGACAGTACTCCTTTGCCTGAACTCGAGAGTACCGACGAGGCAGAACTCGAAGTTGTTGTTGACGCAGAATCAGCTTCGCTCGGACACGTGTCGGACACTCGGCTCAGCTCCAAGGAGCGCTCTGGACCTAGTCCACCTCAGCGGCGTAACACTCTGCGGACACATAGTTCTCTGTCTATTGGAAAGTCACAAGAAGCGGAGACATCTTCCGTGCCATTGGAGAGGTTGTCAGAAGTAAATCTCAATGCCTCACCAAGTACGCTGCAGGTAGTTCCCTCAGCCTTGCAGCAACAGCATCGTCCAATTGCTGATACTATGGAAACCACCCATACACATGAAGCCAACAGTCTTATTCGACGAAGTTTGACAGAGGATCTTCAAGTCCGGGAGCAGTTACGACACATGGTATGTATATCCACGCAAATCCATGTAACCATTTGACAAAAACTGCAGCTCCAGCCTCGATCAGAATACGTAGACACCCAGACTACCCAGGTGCTTACAGACTCCGCCAACACCCCCCAACATCGAGAACAGACTGTTGCCAGACTGCAGTTTTCGCAAGCAACAATCGATAGGCTCGACGATGCGAGAAGTGCACATCTACCACGTCGAAAGGACACATGTTTGTTGTCGGAGGAGCTTGGCATATCTAAAGCTGTGAATGATGTCAACGATGTCACATGCCAGTGCGGATCGCTTGATGTTGATGCTAGCATGGTAAGTCTGCTTTGGTTGGCCAAGTGGCATATTCGGACTGAAGCATACAGTTGCACTGTGGTTTCTGCAACAGTCTTCAACATGTTGCTTGCTATGGATACAATGGCACAGATGACGAGCGAATTCCGCACGTGCACATCTGCTACGCTTGTATTTTGCGCGGAGAAGATGGACTCCTTGTACAACTGACATACCATGCACTTTGTAGGCGCGCGCTGTACATGCTACGAAACCAGAACTTCGACAGCGAAAAGCAGTTTGCTCAGGCACTTGGTAAATCGAAATCTCAACTAGATAATTGGCAATCCTAACAATTATAGGCTGCAGTACTCGAGACTGCACTACTGTTCTGAAGGATTTCCGTAGAGATGGACTTCTTGATGGATCAAGGAGAGCGAAGCAGTTGATGCTCAATAAGTCCCCAGACATGACGACGAGGATGGTGAGGATATACTTTGACCCTGCAGATCGGATCGCCCATCACGTAAGTGTGGCCATGCAGACATAAACGACGGGCTAACATGTCTGGGTATAGCTGCATTCGCCCAAACTGCTAGCGGATACTTCTTCCGACGCTTCTACGAAGCGTGCTCGTGATAATGTGGGTGAAACTGGGGCCCGCGAGGCGAAGCGACCCAAAGTTGGTAGCCGCGTGTCGGAGGATTTCGATCTGGGTAACTGGCGTACTCCTAGACCAGAGAGGAACCGTTAACTGGCTTCTGGTCACCCCGGGCCACAATATCAATTGCCCGCACTTGTTGGGTCCGATACCATTCGGGGTGTAATGCTGCGTTTTCATTGCATATTGCTATCCTGGCGAGAGAGAGGACATTTGCCAAGGTGTGGCGATGGCAATGGGAAGATTGGTTACAATCGCGTGGCCTTGGCAGAATTCGAGATGTTCCCTACGTGTAGGTGATGCTTAAGAATGAGATGTCTGTTTCAATAAACAAGTCAACGCGTGCTCTCGAGACGGTAACTCGGCGTCATCTGTAAGTTCGTGTCATGACATGGTCGACCATTTCGTATATCTGGATAGACTAGAGGTTCCCTGTGCAAACGTCATTTCAGCTGGCATGCATAGATGTGCAGTGATGTGGTGATGGCGCAAAGAACCTTGCAGTGATCAAGTTCTAGCTCTGCGTTAGGGGTTGGCGGGCGTGCTAGCGAAGAACGATCTGTGGGAAGTGCCTGAAGATCAAAAGGAACGAAAGGGGTGGATATGAGTGGTCTGAGAAGGGCGTGTGCTGGGGGTTCTTCCAGGGGTAGATGCCAAGACATGAATCAAGTGCACAAGTTCACCGTGGGTGGCGTGGGACGTGTTCTGCAGATGTGGATAGTGATGCGAGAGAAACGCTCTTGGTGGCGTGTGGTTCTCAGTAGCTTGTGCCACGTTGTTCCCGATGGAGGTGGTGCACGGGGAGGAGTTGAGCGAAGAGGGTGCCATGCTCTTTGCTGACCTGCTGCACACAGAAGCTCAGGTTGCCCGTGGGCCTCACTGCACACCGGTCTGTGATCGAGATCAGTGCACGCTAAATGGGTACTTTTTGGTCGAGAGGGTCCGAGATGGCGCGTTTGGTCGTGATCGGACGCCAATGTTGTATCCCTGCGGGGTGCATGGGTTAGCCTCTCCCCAATTGGCGGTTGACAGCACGCCAGTGAGTGGAAGCGGAAATCGCTGGACTGCTGGGGACGATCATGTAGAAGTGGTGAGGCTAGGACATGTACCCTCTTCTCTCTCCAGCAGCACTGATCGACAGTCACATCCACCTGCACTCTGCAATGCCTGGTGCCAACAAATGAATTCCATGGCTGTAAGCGCATGCGTCGGTGTACGAGCCACGGTCAGGTAGCTTATTTTACCGCCAGGAAGGTTATCGTACCGCCAGCAGCCGGCGGACTGTGCCTGTGCTGAAGCCATCGTATCGTTCCATAATAACACGCCTCGTCTGCCCGCGCCTCGTCCGTCTTGTTCGTCAGCGCCGACGCAAATGAGCCCCAATGTGGTCGCCCCGTAGAAGCTGAACCCTGCCAGGTACCGCGACTCGTAGTTTGCTTCTGTCGGCGATCGCGTCGCTACCAACGTCAAGCCACAACCTGCCAACTGCCCACGCCGTAGGTCTCCTTATCACAGCATGGGTCGCCCCAAATTCTCCTTCTCTCTGGCTGGACGGCGGTCGAAAACCGACCAGGACGACGCAAGCTCCAAATCCTCAGTCTCGTCGGTCCCCACATGGCCCTTGCCCTACGCCGAACCCACCAACATGAGCAAAGCCCACCGCGTGCTCGGGACGTCCGAGCCCGTGTACCGCACCACGTCGAAGCAGTCGTCCATGCAGTCGTTGACGCTCCAGAGCCCCGGCTACAAGACCAAGGCCGCCTCCGAGGCCAGCTTTGGCTCTGCAATCGACGCCCGAGGCCAGCCTGCCACCGACCACAACCGCTACCAGACACGCCCCGCCATGTACTCGCACGACACGGGTGCGCGACGGGGCTCCGACAACAGCTCTGCCCACCACCGACTCCACCCGCAGCCGTCCAACTCCACAATGCGCTCCCATTACGACGCCAAGACCTCGCCGCTCTCGATATCGCAGCAAACGTCAAACTCGGCCGTCCGAGACATGGCATTGCGGAGAGGGCAGCCCCAGGTGGTTGACCGCACACACGACTACCCGGCGCCCGCTCTCGACAACCGCCCCGTCACCCGCGGAACGTCCAACGAGAACAAGACGGACAGGCGCAAAAGCAAGCCTGCGCGCTTGGACATTTCCAAACTCTTTCCCAAGCCAAGGATGGGCAGTGATGGACGGAAGCACCAGACTGCGCTCCTCTCGCCCACCAAGATGGTCAACTCCCCCGCCGCCATGTCCATGTCTTCGGGGCTCTTTCCTCGCCCCATGGCTCGAGGGCCCACACCACAGCCTGCCAAGTCCAAAAAGACCGCGTCGCAACAAGACGCTCCCGCTTCTCAAAGACCGACTTCGCCCGTCCGACTGTTCCAGCGAGACGTGTATGATAGTGCCAAGATTAACGTACGTCGGCCACCCAAAGGTATCAAGCATTGGTTCGAGGGTGCCTTGGACGAGGACAGCGACGAGCCATTGGACGAAGTATATACACACTCGCCCGCACATGTCCCAGTACACACCCGGCAAAAAGACACATCTCGCCTCACACGTCAAACCTCGCTTGACCGTGTCCCCCAAATCACCACACAACATACAATCCGTCCACAGCAGTCAACACCAGTCTTCAACACACACAGCTTCGCGCACGAAGATGTTGTCGACGTTCATTATTTGACCTCGGCAAGTGAGTACTCGGTGGGAACCCTGTCTTCTATGAGGACCAAGGAATCCCTTCTCTCCACAAGAAACTTCCAGGACTCGAGCATATTATCATCCTCGTCCTCAGAGGATGAGGGCGATAACAGGCATCGTGAAGAACGCCAATCAAAGATGCGAAGGAGTTGGGACATAGGGGAAGATGCCGGCGAGATTATCATTGGACAAGCGCAGGCCTTTGAGGTGCGCCCGAGTCGGCGGTTGTCCCGTGGGATGAGTGTCCTATCCAATTCGACAGATGCTGCCACCATCGAAGTCATGTACACCCCAGAGCCGTCATTCTCTCCCTATCAACATTACCCAAGGAGCAGCAACTTCAGTGGAAATAGACTCTCGAGCCACATCCGCCAACCCTCAGTCATCCCCGAGGACGAAGATTTCCGCCCCGTAACTGCGATATCTACTGTAGCACACAGTGCCCACAGTGCCTACAGTGCTCCCAGTGCACGTACATCAGCAAATGAGCCCAAGTCTTACTCGCATGCGGATCACAAAATGATGGCTGTTACTGAAGAGGAAAAGGCACTTTTGGAACTAATGCGCAAAAAGCGTGCAGCGATGAACGGTTCCTCGCAGGCCAGTAACGTATCCACAGGCGAGCACCTAGATCAACAATCCTATGTGTCTGAAGGTACTCAGAGGCTCCACCGAACTTCTGGGTTCCTGTCAACAGAGACACCCGCGGCGAGTCCTGTGAGATTGGTGGAAACCCATTCGAAGCGTCGATCAGCTGCCCCATCAACACCTCTCTCCCTAGCTTCTCGTGGCAGGACTGCAAAAGCTATGCATGAGACAAACATGCATGACAACTCCGGGAACGATGCTTGGTCTGAACGCCATCCCCCCCCTGTCAGGCAATTTACACTTTCTCATTACGACCAAGCATCCTGCGACTCGTCACGTCCCAACTCTTACCTACGCGCTTCGCCCACCCTCTCCCCGACCAACACGGACCATTTCTCGTCCCTGCCATCTCCAATCACACCAGGTTCCCACACTGATCGAGCAGATGTCAAAATCAAGGTAGCCAGCAGTGAAACCAGCGATGACGACGAAGTCGCTGTGTTAGAGTCTGGTGTCATCGATACCACGATTGACGGCATCAAATTCGGCCATGGTCGCCGCCGTACAGCGTCAAGTGGCGCCGACATGACGTTTCCAGCTCCACCAGGTCACAATGCCTCCGACCTACCTCGCGTATCCGAAGCTGTGTCCCGCTCACGAAACATTGTCGAGCCGTCACCACCCAAACTTTCGGGACAAAATTCAAAACGTGTGAGCGGGTTGATGTTGTCGCCAAGCAGCTATAGTCAAACGAGTAGTAGACAGAGCAGCCTTGCATCCAATCATTCGCATGTGTCCGGTAAACGAAACCGGAAAAGTAGTCTGGCAAGCATGAACGGCAGTACCAAAACGAGGAACAGCGTTAGTGACGATGTTCTTGCTGCCTGGGGAAGTTTGGGCGGAACGTATTGACCTCGGTCCGAATAGTGCGACGCAGTTGTCTGAACGAGGGGTTTCTTATGTCTAAATCTCGTGGATTCCTAGCATGGCTTCATGCCTGCTTAACGATTTTCCTTACATTTCCTAGTCCATCTAGAAGTTTTGTATATTAATGCTTCATTATCGTTCACCAGTCGGTCTTGGGTGTCACGTTACATTGGCCGCAAACTGCGGAATGAACTTCTTTTGAACTTGCTCCACCAAATCAGGGCGTTCAGTAGCATTTGCTAACTTGGTTGGGTTTGTATGATTTGTAGTTATGTGGTGAGGTAGATGGAGTGGGTGACCCCAGTCTGGGATATATTCCACAAGGAATCGAAAGTTCAAACGCAAGGATTGCTCGGAGCTTGTAGAGAGGGCTCAAAGTGTCAGGGTGGTCCGTAACTTCCTTGCTTTTGGTTGTTAGTTCAAAATCTATATTTTCAACTCATTGACCTCGTTTCTTGACCCTTCAGTCGTTTCTTGTTCCCCCAACTCTCGTATCTGTCGGTTTGTTTCTGCATCCCCTTCCCTGCTCTGTTTCGTTGCTTTTGCTCTGAGTTTCTCCACTTGGTTTCTTATTTCCGTGCTTTTTCTTTATTTTCAACATGCTTTAGTGCCGTCGTGTTTGCTCCTCAATCTCTTCCATCAACGTGCCGATCTTATGCCGATCTTCAGGTGTACTTATTTGAGTAATAAAGCGAGTTTCTACATCAGAGGTAATGATGGTGGATACCTGAACTAGCACAGCAGCCGCTTACTCATGTCTCTCTGCATTGAACCATGTTCTACAGTTACGTTCCGCATGCATGCATCAGTCTGATTGAGACGAAGAATTGAGCTACAGCTTGTCGTTCCCCTGATAGATTGATAGCAACACAACGAAGCCACACATATTGCGCGAAACGCATCCTGATAACGTTCTAAGGGAGACTGGTGGCCGCAGGATACTTTGAATCGATGAGGTTCGAACACATCATTGGCTTCATACAGAAGAGAAAAATACGTTTGTGTTTGTATTTGCAGTCTTTATCGTTCCGTGCTATGCCGTTTTATGTCGTTATCACTAGTCTTAAGTCAAGTTCCTTTTCGACTACAAACCTCGTCTGGAACCACCTTGAGTGTGTTGTCACATGAACGTTGATCAACACCGAGTTGATATGCCAGCGTCACGCTCTATATGCGTGATTTGGTTCTTGGTAGTTCCAGACCTATGGTACGCATTCGAGTTCACCCCAAGCGGCTTGTCCAGCTGCACTGAACCTCATGCGTTCTAAAACCTGCGAACCACGGCTCCGTCTCAGTTCCAAAAGAACCAATACTATTGCACTTGCGACAATCTTGCGCCTAGCATGACTACTTCCAGACAGCAAGTACCTCGAGCGATAATTCGTGACTTTCTGTTTGTGCTAATTGCACTCAAAATTCGTGTCGACTTTCACAGCCTGAGCGTATCAGATATCCGGATAATACCTCAAGGTCAGGTGTGGTTCTACATCATTGTTTTGCTACGATATACATATCGTAGATGCGCTAAATTGAACCAATATGTGTCTGCACTTGATTTGAATCTCCGTGAAACGACCTATGTGGCGAACATGCGCGTCTTCAATAATTACCATGTTTAAATTCTTAACAACGCTGCTATATACCGCTGGTATTGGAAGCCACTGAGCTCATAATGGCTAATAGTCTGTAATGCGATACACACGTTTAGTGAGCTCGGAATTTGTCATTTGTGTCGGTCGCGCTTGCTCCTCCTATCAAGGGGTCTCCATCGCATTTATTCTCCGTGTTCCCGAAACAGTCATGACTCGAGCCACTTTTAATATAGGATTGTTTATATCCGAACAAGGATCTAAACGAATTTATATACAGGTAATATGCAAGCCATGTGCTTCATGATCAGGAAGTCGTTTTTAATTTCGCAATCGGGCATAGCAGCAAATCGAAACTGTAGTCGAATTCGCTTCCGGTTTCATGACAGTAACTAAGATTGGGGGGATATCTAAAAGTCGTTCATCGCCAGTCGTACGTTTCAGAATAAGAATACTCTGGTGTGATTTTAGTCATTCGATTCATATAACCTTGCCTCTTCACAAAGCGAGACCCACTAAGCTTCCCTTTAATATGCTCGAACAATCAATTTGGATGTATTTGTCTTAGACGATGACGGCTTGGTCCTGTTCTTCCATCGATTGAGACCTAGGACGGAGGCGACGGTCCGCACTATTTCGATGTAAATTGCTTTCCCGTGGAGTGATATCCATCTATAAAGACATGTATGTCCTGCTAGAGATGGAGAACAAGACAGCTACAGACTTGTCCGACAACCTTACTTCTCAATTCTCACTTTGCACAACATGCTCCTGGCGAACATCTTCGCAGCGGCCGCTCTGGTCAGCGCCGCCTTCGCTGCTCCTTCCAACAAAGAGACGAGACAAAACAGGAAGATGAAGTGGTTCGGCATCAACGAATCTGGCGCTGAATTCGGCGAGTCAGTCTTACCAGGAACGTACGGCAAAGAGTACATCTGGTATGATCTCAATACCATCGATCAATTCATCGCTCAAGGCATGAATATGTTTCGTCTGAACTTCCGTAAGAATCATGGCGTATTCGTCCGATGGAAAATACTGACACTGCCCTAGTGATGGAGCGTCTGACACCCAACTCGCTCACAGGAGCTTTCGACAAAGCCTACCTTGGAAACCTCACCCAACAAGTAAACTACATCACCTCGAAAGGCGCTTATGCCATGGTGCAACCCCACAACTACGGCCGCTTCTACGGCAACGTCATCACCGATACCGCGGGCTTCAAGACCTGGTGGAAAAATGTTGCTACACAGTACAAAGACAACGCACTCGTCGTCTTCGACACAAACAACGAATACCATGATATGGACCAGCAGCTTGTCTTCAACCTCAACCAAGCCGCCATCGACGGTATCCGCGCTGCTGGCGCAAAGAAACAGTACATCACTCCTGAAGGTAACTCCTGGACCGGTGCATGGACATGGGTGTCCTCCGGTAACGCCGCATCCCTTGTCAGTCTCACGGACCCCCAGAACAAACTGGTTTACCAAATGCACCAATACCTCGACAGCGACGGCTCCGGCACAAGCGACGTCTGTGTCTCTGCCACCATATTCCGCGAGCGTCTCCAGGCAGCGACGAAGTGGCTCAAGGACAACAAGAAGCAGGGCGTTATTGGCGAGTTTGCGAGTGGAAACAACACGCAGTGCATCGCGGCACTCAAGGATGGACTGAGCTATCTCGGGCAGAACACGGATGTTTGGTTTGGTGGAATATGGTGGGCAGCGGGCCCTTGGTGGGCAGACTACATTTACAGCATGGAGCCCACAACAGGCGTGGCCTGGAAGAGCATCTTACCTCAGATCAAGTCCTATTTCGTCTAGACGATATGGGAGTCGAGTGGAGGTCTGGTATCTTAGGGGGTTGATGGACAGCTTACTTTCTTCTATTTATGCGCTTGCGCTGATATTTATCGCGATATGGTGTTACCATTGTATGTGACTTTCATGTTAGTCCCTTCTTACTGACTTGAAATTCCATACCAAAACCCATTTATAATGGCATAGTTGTTATCATAAGTTCGCGTGAGCTTGTGTCTAGTTACTGAACAACGTCTACGGGTGTAAACCCTCCAGTGGTGTTTTGCTAGTTTGATAGGCCTGGTAATGCTGTAATGAAGAGACTTTCATGTTCTCAAGCTCAAGCCAGGAACCGTTTCAATTCCAGTGTTGATAGTCTAAATAGAAGGCTAACACATGGTCACCAGGAGCCTAGCCATTTTTGGGAGGGTAACGACCATACACTTGGATGCAATTCGTCTGTTTATCAAAAGCTAATAGGTTTAAAGTATTTACATATCATTGTTCCTATACCTTGCGATACCTTCTTACGTGTACTTGGTTCACGCATTATCTAGACAGGAAGCACAACCTTCATGCCCATGTACTCTCTCGTGTGCATGAGCTTACCATTGATAACTGTTTGGTGAACGCCTACTCGATTATGGACCACATCAGTAGGATCCGTTGCCGTGGCGATCTGAATTTCGCGCCATTGACGATTTGTTGGTGCCACTTCGCCCTGTGACGTGCGCTTCTTGAACTCTTTATAGATACCTTGCTCCTCAATACAGCCATCGCGTTGGATAAGGGGTGAATCTGGCACATGGTCAGTCTACAGTATAGAAAATAACTAAAGAGTGGAGAGGTTCTACCGTAAGCAGGACTCATGCGCAAGTCACCAAGAGAGCTATTGAACAGCACCAACGATAGACGCTCCTGATGAATCTGATCGATCGGTGGCTTGAATACACGGTGCCGTGTAGCTTTGAAATGACCGCCAGATACGATTTCCAGCGTGTCACCAATGTTGACTACAAGTGCGCCTGGTTTGTACGGAACATAGTACCACTGCTCATCCTTCCCCCAGATCTGAAGACACGAGATCGGTACAGAGAAGAGAAGCGTTGTGAGACCGAAGTCTGTGTGTCCGTGCATACGCAAACCTCTCGATGCTTCTTCGGTCGATTTCTGGACGGGTCGGAATAGCGCGTGTCGGAAGTATCCTTCGCCTGTGGGAGAACCGTGCGATTGCACTTTCGTCCAGAGGTAGTCGTCCGGCAATTCAAGGACGCGAGAAAAGAGAGTGAGAAGACGGCGATTTACAGACTTTGTTAGGTAGTTACAAAATTCCTCGATTTCGTCCATGAACGGGTGAAGGCACGTGGGAATGCGGTCGAGCGACTGCCAGTCAGGCTTGTACCAGTTGAATTGCTCAATGCCGTCTGGAGGGCCGCGATGACGCTGGCAGTTTTATTAGCATAGCTTCCAGAGGTAACATGGTACTGTAATAGAATGACTTACCTTAAAGCCATATGGATGCTTGTATCCTGACCACTCGCCGGTATCGGGATTGAAGAGCAAACGATCCTTGTCTTGTTGACTAATATTCTTGTACAAAAACTGTGCAAGAGCAAATTGTCGATGGAGTTGCTCTAGAGAGATACCATAGTTCTCAAGGAAAAGGAAACCATCTTCGCGAATGGCTTGTTTGACTTCCTGAACAAGGTTGTCGACGACGGTCGGATCGTCTGAATCGAGTTTAGATAGATCAATAGACTTCAATTGGGCAAAGTTGTGGGTTTCTCTGGTGACTGGGGGTGGGACCCATTCTGGCACGAAAGGCTTGCCTGGAAGGTCAGCTGAAGGTGGATCAAAAGAGGCAGTGGGTGCCATGGTTGATGTGTGACGAACGAAGACTTAGATGGAGCTGTGAGTGTGATGAATCAATGAAGATGTATGGCCGGACTGTACTTGATGGCTTATATCTCACTAGTTACGTGTAGATGAGCTCCGCCATTACACAGCAGTGTCACAAACGAAGCATGTCGTTCGATTGTGGTTCTCTAACTTCGAACGATACGTCTCCAGGGCTAGGACCACCCCGGCTGCATGTTCGTGCCATTTAATATCCACAGTTGTGCCGATACGCTCGTAGCTTATGCTTCGTTACCCTTTCCACCTTGTTCGTACCAAGAAGGTCAACGGCTTATCGCCTACTCCGCCCAATCAGCCTCGGTAGAGCAGCTAATTTTGTCTCGAGAAGTAAAGACGAAGGCCGTTAGACTGCTCGTTGAGGATTGGTGAGGTGGAGATGCGGACGTTGAGGTTGTCGCACGTGGGAGGAGCTCCTCCCAAAGCTCCGCCGGGAGAAGGTCCGATGTGCTCCTCCACCCCACTACACGAACCCTTTGGACATCTGTTTTGGGACTCTAGCGGGCAATTGCACTTGGTGTTTAAAGGAAGAGATGGCAATCATGCGTTTCTTACCGTATCGTTCAAAAGGTTCGTGCAAAACTCGTCCTCAGCAAAAGCCCCAGCATTCAGCCGCCAAACCCTGAACATCATTGCCATCGACCTATCAGCAAGAATGTCTCGTCAGCTCATCTCCAGCGATAAGTTCCCCACTAAGCCACACAACTGTAAGTATGTGAGACGCTACAATTATGTAGAAATGTACTGATATTCGATTTATAGGCCCAGCAACAAAGGTCCCTGGTCTGGTTTTTTGTGCCGGCCAAACAGCCACTGGAGAGATCAAGCAAGCAACAGTGAGTTCCTCTTCTCCGTGGCCATTTCTGTTCATATGAAGTTCGTCGTGACTTATCGACTAACTCTCTCACCCCAGAGAACGGTACTGCAGAATCTAAAAGAAGTACTTGAACTCTCAGGTTCTTCACTCGAGCAAGTTGTTAAGTACAACGTGTACCTTGCCGACATGAAGGACTTTGCTGCCATGAACGAGGTGTACATCGAGTTTCTGCCGCAGCCAATGCCGTCGCGCTCATGTTTGCAAGCTCTGCCTCCAGGCGATGGCACAGTGATTGAGATTGAGTGCATTGCGCAGGCTTGAATTGCCAATGGCGAAAAGGCATGGAACGAGGACACATGTAATGTTCGCAGTCTTTAGTGCGGTAGGGTATGCTGCTCCAGTCCTTGAAGACTGTTGACGGACGCGCGAAAGGTGGCATGGAAGGAAGGGCTCCTTGGATGTCTTGACTAAAGCTTTGTATATACAGTATGAATGTGACCACGTAGTGTAGGGTGCAATTCCATTTTGAAACAGATGACGTTTAGCTAAAATTTTGAATTAGACCAACTATTACTAATCCCAGATAGACTATCATTTTGATTCATATCGCCCTTGAGATGCAACATACTTTTAGATTATAACCTTCAAAATGCGCCTTCTGTGACATTGTATCAAAAGAGAAATGACGTTGTTGAAATGCCGGTTGTATCGTGTCATGCTCACTTACCGCGCCGCATGCTCACAACTTGGTGACGGAAGTTAAAACCGTGCAGAGAGAAACATGAAGTGCTGAAAGTAAGAGTAAGGAGTGAAGGAAATGATTTCTATTTAAGCTAAGAAGTTGTAGTCAAGAAAGTATCAAGCTTTTAGATCTTTTTTTTGTCTTTCTTGCATATTGAAGGCAGTGTTTTCAGACTACTTAGGCACATTGCAGATTTTGAATAATAATCTTAAATTTATGTATGCCTTGTCTGATTTGACAATGTTTTCTCATTGACTGTAGACCACAAAAATGTCAAACGCCCAACTTATCATGATCGTGCGATATCGAATTCTGCTGTGTACCAGTTCTGGATTGCCTTTGTATCACCAGTGATGGCTACAGTGTCATACCTTTTCTTGACATCCTTCGCTGCGCTACCGTTGTTGACCATCCTGCCGAACCACTTGCCATGTTTCCGCGCCGCTTGCTCAATCTTATCGATGGCAGCGACAAACTCCGGTTCATCACCTCGTGCGGGCACATAACCGAGGAGAGCTTGCGCAAGATCGTTTGGCCCAATGAAGATGAGGTCCACGCCAGGCACTGCCGCAATAGCATCGACGTTGTCAACTCCGGCGCGAGTCTCGATCTGAATCATGGTCAAGATCGTCTCGTTCGCAGACTTCATGTACTCGGGCGTCGTGAGGCCATGTCCGATAGCGGGAAAGGCTGAGCCTTGACCACGCACACCTTGTGGTGGAAACTTGGAAGAAGCGACGACTTGCTCTGCTTCTTCAGCGTTATTGATTTGAGGAACCATGATACCATGAGCACCAGTGTCGAGAGCCCGTTTAATGATATCGTGTGCCGGGCCTCGGATCCGAATGACAGGCGAAACCCCAAGGGCTGATATGACAGCGACTGAGTTGTGCATCGCATCATCACCAATGTGTCCATGCTCGCAGTCGATTATTATGCCGTCGAGACCAGTCAAGGCAACAATCTGGGCCTGGCGTATTGAAGGGATGGCCACGAAAGTCATCAAGGGGTATTCTCCCGCCTTAATCTTATTCAAAAGCCTTAGTCGAGGGTTCTCGACCTCGGTCGTATGAGCAGTGATGAAGTCTTTTGCGATCATGGTAGAGGTTGTTACTAATATAGGTCTGCTTGACTTGACAAATGTGGTTGATCGTCCAAGTAAATGTTCTTTCGAAAGAAGGTGAGGAGATAATAGATAGTGGGGATGATGAGACAGTTGCCTTGCTCAAGTAGCAGTGAGCCGCTTGCTACTTCATAATGTCTGTTCAACAGCATCCTGCATGCAGACTGTGAGGAGCACCGTCAATATGCATTTTGATGCGGCGAAGTTGGGTCGGAGCTTATCGGCCCCACAGGGAGGAGCTCCCGGATGAGGGTCCAGGTGTCAGCTCAATTCGGTTGCAGAACCAAGCACGCGAGTCAGCCTTATGCACCCCAGGTTCTGCGATAGGCCTCCAGAACTGGATGTTCACGATATCAGATACTCGTTGAGGCCGGTAGCCGCAGGTCTGATATGGCGCTCCTCCCTTATCTTGATACCGATTCAAACCTCAATCATGGTTCCAGGACTACATAAATGATGCCGGGTTGGTACAGCAAATGGAGCATCCGTCAACCGGTTCTCCAGTGTTGCGAGATACACCAACTTTCTCTATCACTTCTATTAACGCCATGGATAGCAAAACCTTGAAAGGCTCTATTGACGTCGAGCTCGGTCCTGAGGTCACCAATGAGCGCGGCGAAGTTATCACCATAGCGAGCGAACGAATGCCGGAATCACTCCGTGGACTTAGCAAAGATGAGATCGCAGGTCTCAATAAGAAGCTCGTTCGCAAGATCGACCTCATCATCCTGCCAATCATCGGAATTCTTTACATCATGAATTACATCGACCGGCAAAACCTGGCCGCAGCCAAGTTGCAAGGAATCATGCAGGATCTCAATATGAACACCCAGCAATTTGCGACGGCCGTTTCGATCCTCTTCATTGGTTACCTACCATTTCAGATTCCAAGTAACCTTTTGATTGCAAAGATCCCGCGACCTGGCATGTACATCTGCGTTGCTGTCATGATTTGGGGGTCTATCTCGGCTGCGACATCGGCTGTGACAACGTACAAGCAGCTGCTGGCCGTTCGAGCCATCCTCGGTATCGCAGAGGCGGTTTTCTTCCCCGGCGCGATCTATTACCTTTCCGCATGGTACACAAAGACAGAACTTGGAAAGCGCATTGCCAGCCTCTACATTGCGCAACAAGTTGGCAACGCATTTGGCGGGCTGTTCGCTGCGGCGATCTTTCAGCTCGACGGGACGCACAATATCAGAGGCTGGCAGTGGCTGTTCATTATCGAAGGGTCTGCGACGGTGGGAATTGGTGCTATTTGTGCGTTCTTCATGCCGGAGTTTCCACACAACAGTCGCATCCTTACGCAACTCGAGCGTGATCTTGCGGTTTGGCGTGTCGAATCCGAGGCGGGTGCAGCAGAGGGGGCTGCCCAAGACGAGCAAGAGAGCGTGCTCAAAGGCTTTGGCAAAGCTTTGTGTGATCCTAAACTGCTCCTCCTCATCCTTTGCAACTTGCTGTCGCAGGCACAGGGATCCATTGCCAATTACTTCCCAACGCTCATCCGGTCGCTGGGCTTCTCCGACACCATCAGCCTGCTGCTGACAGCACCACCCTACATACTCGCAGGGTTCGTCTACTATTGGTTAATGTGGTACTCCGACCGCAAGAACACCGCTTACCCGATTATTCTAACGTGCATTGCGATCTCAATCGGGATGTACATAATTCCCATGTCGACTCTGAACGTTGGGGCGCGCTACTTCTCCATGATGATATTGCCATTTGCATCTGTCGGTCCACAGCTCGTCCTCTACAAAACAATCAATTTGCATCTTGCACGGCCGGTATCAAAGCGTGCAGCAGCATCCGCTCTGGTGAACGCCATTGGAGGCACGTCGAACATCTGGGCATCATATCTCTACTATGCACCCCCGCAGTTTTTTGCCGCCTTTGGAACGCTGATGAGCTGTGCATTCTTGTTTGCAGCCACTATAACCTTTTACCGCTGGCTCGTAATGCGAGAGAACAAGCGTCTAGATTCGGGCAGGCCGGAGGAAATCGCGAAAGTCATCAAGGGAGGCGTGACAGAGCAGATGATCCAGCTTAACTGGCGATACGAGATGTACTAATGCTTCTCCCTGGGATCGTGGCTATCAAGCCGGTCCTGCGTGAGGCGACAAGCTGCGAGTTGCAGAAGGGAAGGTTTCCAGGACGTCTGAGAAGGGCATATGCGGGCTCACTAGCTCCAATTTTCATAGGCGTGACTGAAATGTTCTGGGAAGCTGCATCAAGCACCTATCGTCTACAATTTATATTGCGCACCAATCAAGCGACAAACTTCGATGTCATTCTGATTCTGTGCAGTTTCCAGCGGTGATCTGTGGCAGAATCCTATCCAATCAGCAAGAAGTAGATAAGCAAGACATGTGTAACTCCGCGATAAGATAAGGTCAAGTACTTCCGATTACTAGGGCGAGATTACGCAGCCCAGCCCTCGGGATGTAGTCTCTCGTGCCAAGGGTTCCTCTCCGTCTTCGAGCGTGACAGTTAATGCCATGTTCATTGTTTTTCACGCGACTCGGTGGATGATATGTTGAGCACTATGTCTGTTTCTATCTTGTCTCCTGGCGCAGAAACGGAGTCGTCCTTCCAGCCTTTTCAATGTTCTATTTGCCATGCGCGCTTCACCCGACACGAGAACCTCAAGCGACATACTGCACTCCACTCACGCTCTCACAAGGACACCTCACTCTTTTGTGACATCTGCCATGCTACCTTCTCGCGTCCTGATCTGCGACTGCGACACCTAAAGAGGAAGCATCCAGAGATTGAGGACCTTCGGCCTAAAAAGCGGCGCGCAACCAGAGACGTCAATAGCAAGCGGAGTCAGGAAGCAATATCATCTTTGAACTCACCAGGCAGAAGCCGGCATGGCTCGTATACTCAGTATTCAGGTGATGAAGACAAACGCGACAAGACCAGACCTTTACCGCCGACAACACAGCAGCATAATCGTCATAGTATTTGCGGTACCCAGCACTTGCCCCATCGAAACATAGAAAGCACCAGATTTGCAGAACGCGCATCTCTGAGAGACGAACAAGACTCAATCCCCGCTTTGCTAGACCCCATAACGCAACACGCCTTGTCGAGCGGGTCAACAAGCACCAAACAAAACTCGCAACCTTCGACTCATCTGGATCTGAGTTCGATGCTGCTACAATCACTCTTCGATTCAAACAATGGCTTCAATAACCATTCTTCCCTGACTACAACGCCACCTGCTTCGTTCAATGCAGCATTGACTGGTTTCGACTTCGACCAATGGAGCCCCGACAGATTGCTATCCATAGACTTGCCCCAGGCCCGAGACAACTGGTTGCCTTCCACTGCCCAGGTCACACAGGGTTGCGGGTTATTCTTCGCTCACTGCTCATCTTTTCTCCCCTTCTTGCATCGAGCAACATTCAGTGTTGAACAAGTTCCAAAGCACCTGCTTCTTAGTTTGCTTTGTCTTGGTTATCAACATGGTGCAAATCCTGGAGATGACTTGGAGAAAGGCTCAGGCGAGAGCTTATCAATACATTGTTTTCATCGAGCACGAGCACTTATTGCCGCGGAGGAAGAAAATCTTGATAGCGAAACTGATGGCCTTTGCATGGTTCAAACGTATCTGTTTCTACAGGTCTTTGCCATGATGTATTCATGCGACAACGACTCAGCATACGGACTGAAGACACATTCAAAGATGATCTCGCTTGCGCGAGGTATCGGATTGATGCAGGACAAGTTAGCCGAGGCACCGGAGACCAAACATCTGGACTCGCTGTGGCAGCAATTCATCCAAGCCGAAACGCGCAAGCGAACAGCCTTTGCCATACACCAGATCGACACGCTTTGGTATCAAATCATGTCTACACCGCGATTGATATCACATCTCGAGGTCAAGCATGAACTACCATGTCCGGAAAACTTCTGGGCGGCATCTTCTTCCAGCGAGTGGGCGTATGGGCAACTGATTGCAAGAAACTCCGGCTCAACGATGCAATACTCGGATGTTGTTCGACGAATGTTGTCATCCCATGGGGATCTCAAGTCTATTCCAGCCTTTGATCCGTACGGATCTATTAACATCACTCAGTTCTTGACCTCGAGTGCACGCGAGATATCTGGATGGTCTACGATGACTGGAATGCTAAGCATGGAGAGACTCGAGCCTATCAGAGCGTCACTCCTGGCACTCGGTGTATTCATTCGTCCCGAACTCCATGTGGCGACGATGAACAATATGGCATTATGTGAAGCTACCTGGGAGGCAGCCATGATCGAGATGCAGATGTGGTCCCCATCACATACCGGTGGCATCGTCGCAAGCAGTGTCGATGCAGCATTAGACCAGTTAACACACTTTTCTCCCTCGTGCGAGTTCTTGTGTGAATCAAATATTGCGAACTCGGTCCAACCCCATGTGGATTGGTTCTTACGCTATCTGGATACGACTACGCGACCGGATTTTGAGGCCCCATGGATCACGATATACGCTTGGAGAGCCGTTATGATTGCATGGCAGCTCTTTTGCAGCGGTATCGCAGGAGCATTGCAAGTCGTTGGTGTGGAGGATGGTGATAAGGAGGAAGCCTTGAGATGGGCACGGAAGGTATTCCAACGCAGAGAACGCTGGAAGCTTGGTAAGACAGTTCTTTCGTGTTTAGATACTCTAGATAGGTAGAAACCAACTTAGGTAACACTAGTAAGAACCACTACGGTGGCCTCCTTGCCTGCTGAGTACAAGATATCAGTCGCTTGTATATAAGTAACTTGTAGGGACGTTCACCAACTGGTCGGAACTATTGTGGTCAAGAATGCTACAAGAAAAGGGATTAATACAGGAAGTCGAGAGAAACGTATACCCAATGAGGACTAGGGGAATTTCATAACTGTGAAGTTGTGATTCAGCTTATATATTCTATTTATAAAGTTCGCTCTACAACACCTCGGCTGCAACGTACAATTGTCTGACAGTGTCCACTATGAAGAAGCGGCCTAGGGCATGCGTAGCACTATTGTCGAATCTGAGAACGACCAGATTCATCGAAGCTGACAGGTCTATAATGAGTACCAGTAATATTATAGAATGTTAACTTATGTACGTTCCATTGGACAAATTAATTAGACCGATTTCACAACCATCTTCTAACGGCTCTTGGCCTGGTGTCTATTCGTATAACTGCATTGTTGATGGTCGCCATGGGTATCATTCAGCTCAGCGAATCAAGACATTATCATATTGATGTTCAACACAGCAACTTACATCTCTCCGACGATTGGCATTTTCAACAAACTTGACTCGACTTGAACACATATCATATCAAGCCGTCTCAAGGTAGTCAGGAACTTTGGACTATCAGTCTCGAAATGTGCGATCGATGCCTTAGCGAGCTGCAATGTCCCCTGACCAACAGCTGCTCGCCGTGCTACTTGGGAGCTAGAAACGCCCAAACTGAGAGTTGCAATCGTTCCAGGCCTCTCAACATGAGGTCCGCGAGAGCCGAGTAAGTAGATCACTGCCCACGATCTTCAACAAGGCCCTCGCCAACATTGTGAGGCTTGGGAAGACACTGCACAGCCTATTAAAGCTTTTACGAGCATCTTTGTGATCACGGCCCACCTGTGTAGCGGATCATATCCACCCCACCGCTCATGTTCTGTCTTTCTTCCTTGAGGTCGTGATGTCGCACATGAGGGGCCCTGCCATAGCCAGATTTCGCTATCTATCAAAATGCTATGGACTCTTTCACCGTGACCTTAGGGCTGCTGACTCTTCTCTTTGGACAATGAATTTTCACAGACGCAATAAGTGGAGGCTCAAAATGATATATGTATGCACGAGCTCGGCATTTGTAAATTGTTATAGTATAAATGGGTAATGATATACTGTCCTCCTCTACGCTTCTCGCATCGCTGACAGCTACCTTGTACATCATCTGCAGATAATTGCTTAACGGGCTATCAGTCTACCAGGACTACCTTTTTGCTTTTCTTCTGCCTTTTTCACAACCCAAAAGATTTTCTCCCAATGGAACGTGTGGTAGCTCATCGGAATACACTTGCCTGAACTCAATGTACTATTCGAAACACAACGATTACATGGGGTTCACCGAGCACTTTGTCAACAACAATACGCACATTCAACTCCCCTCACGCTATATCGTCTTGCATAGCCGCCACCTTAACTGCATCGCCCGTCTCCACGATTGCTCACTGCGATCTGTACTTTGAAAAATATGTGTGCATTAAAGCCTATGGGGTAATTGCAGTACCTCTCGTCGTTACCATCACTTCTTTGGTCAAGACTGTAGTTGTTCAGTTCTCAGCTTGCAACGTATATCGACAATAGTCAAGATCTTTGCTTCCTCGCGAAATGCCGAGCTAGGTACGGCCAGTATGGCTCAGCATCGTCCTGACCCTCGATATTTTCATGTTCGAGGGTATCAACAGCAGAAGCAGCTCCTTTGGACAAAAGTCCATATCCTCTCCAGAATCATCTGCAGTCTCGACCTTGATCTCGTCAACCTCAATTCCGTCTAGGTGGATCACATCTAGCCTAACGGTATTTTCCTTTGCAAGTTCAAGTGCCTTGATATTCATGGCTCTCCAGCACTTCGATTGTCAGAACACCAACACCTCATATGACGTTGAGCTCAGTGTTCTTCAAGTCTTCGAGCCGATCCTCAAGTTCTGCCGCAACATGCACTTACTTCGCTGTCACCGAATCTGGCACTCCAGACGAAAATAGCAAAGTTCTCAGGATTATACAACTCCTGTAATTGGTAATTTGGAGTTTTCTTGCTGTGACCTTCAAGACTGTTGGGAATAATCACGTTGATCAAGCTAACAACGTCTAGGAAAGTCATTGTCACGGGTATTTCTATCTAAGCTCCTGTTGGCCTACCTTTAGTAAACCTCTAGGCTAAGAGTGCAAGGCCCTTAAAGCTTAGTAAAAAGTACTAATAAAACTCTATAGTCTTTATTCTAAGTATTAAACTAATTTCTTTAATAACACCTGGTTATCTTAAATTTCAAATGCCTAATTACAGTGTGCTTATATTAATAAGAAATCTAAAAAAGCAATATATAATAGTATATTATTTTATTGTTTTTAAGAAATAAATCTTAAAACACCTTCTTACTGTATTAGAGATATAACTAAGAAGTAATAGCTAATATACAAGTCTTTCTTATTTTAATATATATTATTTTTAATAGATAATAAAAAGATTAATTTTAAAGAAATAGAGTACCTTTATTTTTTATTCTTAGTACTTTAGAAGTAAAAAAAAAAATTTATTTCTGGTATTTCTTTATTATGTATACCTTTAAGTTTTTTAATAGCTTTTGAATTTAAAGCCAAAAGTTAAGTATTACTTCTATATAAGTTACAGGAGCTTTGTTCTACTACTTAATAGTAACTTATCTCTAAAACAATATAATTAATATATAATCTTATTATTATATTTTTAAATTAGTATTTTAATTATTTCTTAGTTTTTATTACTTATACTAACTATAGTAGCTAAAGTTTAATTACGTTTTTACCCTCTACTTTCTATTACTATTGCTGTTGCTATTACTATAACTATTACTATTACTTCTACATTGAAATTAGCTAGCTTTATCCTTATTTTATATTTATTATACAAGATAGCTCTATAGTAAGGTATTACACCTCTTAGATTACTACTTTAAATCTTTTTTCCTAAGTAGTATACCTAAGATCTAGAAATGCTTACTTAAAGTAACTTTTATTATTAGTTTAAGTAGTATTATTATATTACTTAGTAGTAAACTTATTAAGTTAGAAAAGCTAAGTATTAAAGAAAGCCTTATTACATTTATTAATTTATATAGAAAGAAGATAGACTCTAACTTTATAAAGCTATACTTAAGGTTTCTTATTAAGCTAAAAGTACTATAAGATATTATAATTTACTAAGTAGAAAGTATTACTAATATACTAAGTAATACTTTTAAATTTCTTTTTTTACCTAACTAAGTTATTAGGAATCTTACTAGAGATATAGCAAGTATTATACTAGTACTAGTAATTACTAACTTTAGTCTTTAATTATTAGTTTACTATCTAATACAGTATAGAAACTCCTAGGCTATACTAATAGAATAAAATTAATAGTTAAGTATAACTTGTGTTAAAAAGAAAGGTAAGATAAAATAGATAAATAGATAGAGAAATAAAGTATTTAGATTTTAACTTTTACATTATATAAAATATTTATATACTTACTTATATCTATAAACTATTATTACTTATACCTTTTCTAAAGCTACTATAGCTATATATTTAAAGTTACTAATTAATTAGAAAGTTTTTATAACTTAACTATAGTTTATAATATAATCTAATCCCTAGAGGGCAGGAATTAATATATTACGTTACTATTGTATTTTAGTTGCGTACGCGTTTTGATTACTTATTAGTTCTTTTTTTAAAGTTTAACCTAGTTATAACCCTTTAGTTCCTATTACTATTACTATTACTATTACTATTACTACTACCTTCTAATAAGATTAGCTAACTTTGTCCTTATTTTATATTAATTTTATAGTCCTGTAGTATAGTTTTATACCTCTTAAACTACTTCTATAAGTCTTTTTTTATAGGTAGTATACCTAGGATCTATAAAAGCTTACTTAAAATACCTTTTATTTTTAGTTTCAACAGTTTTATTATACTATTTAGTAGTAAAGCTATTAAGTTAAAAAAGTTAAGTATTAAAAAAAGTCTATTAGTTTTATAAACTTAAATAAAAAGAAGCTAAACTTTTACTTATAAAGCTATACCTTAAGTTTCTAATTAAGCTTAGGGTACTATAAGATATTTATATTTACTAAGTTAAAGATAATACTATTATATTAAGTAATACCCTTTAATTCTTTTTACTACTTAATTAGGTATTTAGAGATTTTACTAGAGATATCTAAAGTACTATACTAGTACTAATTATTACTTACTTTATTCTTTTAATTATTAGTTTACTATAAGACGTAGCGTAGGAACTTTTAAGCTATACTAATAGAATTATATTATTAGTTAGTTATAATTTAAGTTATAAAGAAAAATAGGATAGATAGATAGATAAATAGATAGATAAAGATTTTAACTCTTAAAGTATAAAGAATATTTATATTTAGGCTTATTTATATAAACTATTCTTACCTATACCCCCTTTAAGGCTACTTTAGTAATATATTTAGAATTACTAGTTAACTAAAAAGTTATTATAACTTAGCTATAGTATATAATATAAACTAGGGTTTATAACCTAAGTAAACTTTAACTAATAGCTGCCTAGGCTCTTAAATATCTATCTGTACTAGTATATTTAGTAGAATATAACTAAAAAACAGTTAATCTACTTATTAATACTATTATTATAGAATTTTACTAATATTTACTGTGTATAAAAGGGCTAGGTATTAGCTTTTATATTAAGTTACTAGACTGTAGTCTTACTATATTACGTCTATCTGCTTATACAACAAGTATAATTACGCTATAACCCTAAAATAATAATATAATCTAAAGTTTATAACTAAACTAAACTTTTACTAATAGCTGCCTTGGCTTTTAAATATATATATGTATTAGTATATATAGTAGCTAGTTATAAAGAAACAATATACTAATTAGCCTTCTATTACCTTTACTATATACTCCTACTAATATTTACTATATAAAAAGAGGCTATATATTAGCTTCTTTACTAAGTTACTATAATAGAATCTTACTATATTATATTTATCTGCTTGTACTATAAGCATAAATACGCTATAAACCTAGAAAAATAGAAAGTTATAAGAGTTGAAAAATATAAACTTTAATAACTAATGAATTTCTAGAGAACGAAGATTAATAGATTATATTACTATTTTGTTTAAGGTAATTATACGCTGTAATTACACAAT